GCTTGGAGTACCTCCCTTGTTAGTGCTTTCTGGGCTGACCAAACAATTTTGATCTTACAATTGGGATGGGTAGTAACCCATGTGATTTTTTTAAGTTGCACTCACGCACGAGGCTCGGTTTTCTTTTACAAAACTTTACTCAAAATTTGTGCGAAGTTTCATCAAAATCTGAGCGTCGCACTTGGGGTGCCTCCCTTTAGGTTCAAATGCTCCTTTGAACTCAAACGAGCAGCCATGTGGCTGATTAAGGCCTGTCATTCGGCCAAAAAACCTTTCAGCCTGTCGGGAAAATAATGATTACAACGCCGCTGCGGCGTGTCGCTGAAGAAACGGTACTTGTTATTCTCCTGCCAGACTCACAGACTGCCCAACAACCCTACGTCTTCAAAAAATTCCGCAAAAATTTGTTTGCACAAACCTCAAAAAACCAAAGTTAAAAGACCATTAAATTCCTGAAATAGTAATCAAAAAGTTATCACATAAAACGAAGGCCACATGGCCCCCAATCAAACCAAATGTGCGTCTGAACCCGGGTCAGAGAGTAGCTTATAACATGCCACGGAATTAATTACCGCGTATGTCATGGCTATTTCAAGGAAATGAGTTGAAGACGGCGTGGAAAATGCGGTGGCCGACAGAAGTCGGTAATAAAAATTATGAGAATGCTACAAGCAAGATATCAGAGGCGTGACGGCCGCCATTCTAGACTATTTTTGAAGCCGACTGGCATCGGGAAAAAAAGTGAAAAAATGGACGTTGCCCAATACATTTTGGCCGATATCTCGCTAGTCGCAAAGTGTTGAGTGAATGCGAAAATTCAACTTTATTTTTGACGTCATTGTCGTTAGTAGTATGCTAATTTTTTAATTGCAATCATTATGTACGACATGGAAATGTCTCGGCGCTACGACTTTTCGGGTCAGCGACAGTTCGGTTCAACGCTACTATGAATCGCGTCGGTTGTCGTTGTATGCATGGGGAGGCTAGAAGAAGGCTTACAAGGGAAGTACTCCAAGTGCGACGCTCCGATTTTCTTTAAATTTTGCACACACGTCGGGTATGGACTAAATATCAATTCCTGAAAGTTTTAGCTCGCGCTTTGCGGCCGCCAGATATCGAACGATTTTTGCCGCGGAGAGAGCACGCTAACCGTGGAGAGCGGTCAGAGAGAAAAGTGCTTTTTGGCCATAACTTTGGCAGTTTCGTGCGGAAAAATTTGATTTTTTGCAGAAACATTATCCATTACGGTAGAAGTAGACATGAAAATTTTCGTGCCGAAATTCGGCAACAAGTCCTAAATTTTCGCCGACTTTCGATCTGAAAATCTCGGCTGTTTCTGCAAAAGCGAGCTCAGATTTTTGCATATATCTTAGAAAAATTGTTTCTAAATTTGAGCCAAGTTTCATCAAAATCTGAGCGTTGCACTTGGAGTCAGAGAGAAAGCGCTTTTTGGCCATAGCTTTGGCAGTTTCGTGCGGCGAAATTTGATTTTTTACAGAAACATTATCCATTACGGTAGAAGTAGACATAAAAATTTTCGTGCCGAAAATTATTCTAAATTTGCGCCAAGTTTCATCAAAATCAGAGCGTCAAACTTGTGGTAGTTCTCCTGTTATTAGAAATAACAAGACTGATCGGTTCCTAGGATAGCTTATCAAATATTTTTAGGTTTTGCATGCCCTTACATCAGTAATGTCTAGATAAAAGTTACGGATCTTCGTTTTTTCCCCGTAATAGCTAGAAGTAGAAAAAGTGGACATGTTGCAATTCTCCGCTGATCCGCCGCCAAATCTCCGCCGACCATTCAAACGGCTGTGCCAGGCCTTGTAGGCATTTCCTACCACCTTTTTTTGGGTACCAACCTGCTCTACACCCGGTGTCGATTGATTTTGTGTTGAACCGAACTGTCCTCGACCCGAAAAGTCGGGACCACGGTGAAGACTTTTTCGTCCAAAGACCAAAAATAAAATGATTAATCCGCCCAAGAACACAAAAGGAAATGACCAAAAAATTACCTCGCACCATAGTTTATATACTTATAATATGTTCACAAGAATTTTTAAAAAGTTCGGGAATTATTTAATAAGTTCATATTTCATGCAAAATTAAAAGGTGGTCCGAGTAATCGAAAACAAAAAAATTTTTCTGTTGACCCGAACTGTCATCAACCCGAAAAATCGGGACTTGAAACGTTTCCCAAATGGGAAAATTTCAAAATTTTATGTCAGAAAAAACACCTTCTCAGTTTCAGACCAAAAAGTTATGGGTTTGCTCCTAGTGTAAAGCACAGTACGTATATATTGTAGTTTGCCGTGTTTCACCTTCGACGGTTCTATTACATTGTAACCGTTGTAACTTTATGTCACTCCCTGGACGGTCGAGTTTCGTACAATGATAAATAACAACCTCCGAAACAATTTGAACGGAGGATTTTTTACATGTACAGGGTGCGGCAATTTTTCGGCCGGATTTGAATTGGCTATAACTTTTTTAGTTTTTATCCGAATGTTAAAATCCTTTTTTTCCCTGAATCCTCAGACAACCCCATTATGTTTAATACCAAATATATTATATATACAAGGACCTAGTTCATAGTTATTGGCATTTCGGTCGTTTTCTCTGCTTTTTCGGCGTGTGTGAAGATCGCCAGAAAAAATGACTTTTTTTTACGAATTTTGTCGTAAAAAGTTTCATCCCTGTTCATGCCATGGAGAATACCGTTTCCACAAAAAATCAGCTCTCTCCGCACAAAACTAGCAAAGATATAGCCAAAAAGTTTTTGTGTGTGACCACTCATATTCCATTGTCAGCTATGAAAATTAGAGCTTTTTCTTTGTCTCGATTTTTTACTGTAGTCGAATGAACGGGTATAACATATTTGGTATTAAACAAAATGGGGTTGTCTGTGGATTCAGGAAAAAAAAGAATTTTAACATTTGCCCAAAAACTAAAAAAGCTATGGCCAATTAAAATCCTGCCGAAAAATTGCCGCACCCTGTATATACAACACTTTTAAAGGTCAAACAAACCAAAGAACTGCTACAATCGCGGGTTTATTGTAATTTTTACAATATGAGACCATCGTCTACACCGAGGACCAAAAAGTCTTTTCAAGACTTTTTGGACAATTATGCGAAAAAAACCCGCCAAAATTAAACGTTCCTTGGGCCAATAAAACGAACGCCTTTGAAGGTAATCGAGCTGCGTGGCCAAGGTGAAATTCCTGGGGCCACGTTCCGAACCCTTCTCTTTCAATGCTTTACATCCCCATCTCTTTGCAAAACATCAAACAATTTGGATATTTTTATCCAAAAAAACAGATTTTACAACTATTTTTATGTGTTGATCTTACTCATCCTTCAACAGAAAAAGGTGTGTACAAAAAATCCAAGGTTCTCGCGTGATCTCAGTGGGTGGCATGGAGAACGTATAATTAGTGGCGGAAATTATTCACACTGCAGTCTGAGTGTGGAAAGGTTTTAATATTTTAATGTTGCGGACTTTGGGTACAATTTGGGGATCATAATGTGATGTAAAGTAATTGTTGAGCACGACAGGAAACGTGAGAAGAAAAGGAAGAAATGCGATGTAAAAATGATGTAGCTTATAATTAGGATATAACCAGACATTGCCACGGTCAAAATTTTCGGATCCCGTGTAAAATTTAAGAAAATATATTGTTACAGGAATAAGAGGTATTAGTGTCAGAGATGTATGTACGCAACGCATCCTTCCCAGTATTTTTCAAGCAATTTGGGTTAACAAGATCATAAAATTTTTTCTTTTCTGAACGCTGAGAAGCCTGGCTCCGACTGTGGGCTCAGGACCCAAAATTTCAGGCTCCGGCTCTGACTCGAAGCAGGAGCCGCACAGAGCCGGAGCCAAGAGCCGGCTCCAGAGCCGTAGTAATTTCTGGCTGCAGCAAAAAACACGAGAAAATGAATGGCGCCGCGACAAAATCAAATTTCTTTTCACTTCAGCGACGCCACCGGCGGAGCGACAGTGTGCTCATTATTTTCCCGACATACTGATACTTTCTGTAAACCTCTATGATCCCCATAGCAAATCCTGAAAGTTCTAGGTCGCGCTTTGCAGTCGCAGCCAAAATATTCAACAAAATTTAGGGCCGAGAGAGCATGCAAAATGCGGATAGCGGACAGAAAAATTATTTTTTTTATTTTTTCCTTTTTCTGACCTAGTGGGAAGTTTTTTACACTGAAAACCAGTTCAAGAGAAAGGTATATGGAAGGGTTGTTTACTACGCTTTTTCAAAAGTTCGCAGTCTTTTGTCGCACGGCCATACCGCGCAAAAACTCCCATTTTGCAGCGGCATTTGACATTTTGCAAGCAAACGAAATATCGCGCGACAAAAAACCTTTTTCAACAGAGTCGCTGCGACGTTTCCGGAGCAATTTGTGCTATGGATGAAAGGCTTGAGAATCACCAGCCATGACTTTTAATTTGGCTCAAACATAACAAAAAAAATATTTTTCGAGCCGCGCCCGAGCCTCAAATTGGATCTTCATATAGCTGGCCCTAGGGGTTTTATGGGTTCTGGAAGATTATTCTAGGCATAAAAAATGTGTAGGCTTCTAATTTAGCCTTAAAATTAAGTTTTGCAACAGCCGCGAAAATGAGGAAAAGTAAAAAAACGATTTCACGCCATTTCTCATCAAGGTGAAGGTATATTGACTTATAAAAATCCGTTTCCCACTATACTTACATTTTTTTCTCTCCGAAGAATTCCAAAACTCTTCAAACTCTCAAAACTCCGACCGATTCTCACCAAAAAATTTTTGAAAATCAAAATATCGACCAATTTTTCGCGAAAAATTAACAAAAATCGAAAAATTTTTGCAAATTTTGGCAAAAAATTCGCCAAAAGTTTGTGGTGTCGCATGGGGGTATAAAAGCGGTGGATCCGCGGAGCGGGACCATTATTTCCGGCTGTGTTCGGCTCAAGAGTTCTCGTCTCCTTCGTCTCTCGCTCCAAAGACAACATGTCCGGTGGATACTCTGGTGCTGGTAGGTTGGTGGGATGGGGGTGTAAATAGGGGTCGCAAAAAAATTCTTTTTTCTTTTTTTTTTTTTTTTGTGTAGCTAGGAACCCTTAAATTTGATGGTACTATTTGTGCGTACATTTTTTGTCACGGTGCACAGTGCATATCATCGCCTTTTCGCATGGTCTTTTATAGCGGGCTGGGCAGCCACCAAGCATTTTTCCACTGAAATTTGAGCGCTTTGGAGACTGTTTTTGATCTAACGTTTTTAATTTTTGAAAATTTTTGAAAAATTTTTTTGTGATATTTTTGCATAACGCGGTCTAAAATTTCCCGGAAAATGTTGGAAAATTGTCTTTTTTTGATTTTTGCACGAATTGAAACAAAATTTTGCCTTTGGAAAGGAAGATTATGAATTATGGATACTTGAAGTATCCATAATTCTCTTATTTCTGCATAACGCGGTCTAAAAATTACTTAAAATCTCAATAAAACGGTCTAAAGTTTCCGGGAAACCTTTTGCTGTTTTTCGCACAGTGCAAAGTGCGATATTTTTTGGGTGCACTGTGCAATTGGTCAAATGCACAGTGCAAAATGGATTTTTGCGCTTTGCACAGTGCGGAAACGTCTAAGCACTTGGTAGTCAATTTTGCGTAGCATTTGATAGTTTTCTTGTCAAAATTCAGGAAATTTTAAATTTTTTAGTCATTCCATAAAGTGCGTAGACTTTTTGTCGCGAATTTGCAACACTGTGCATGTAACCTTGTGCATGGACAATTAAACGGTGCAAAAAGAAGGAAAATGCACAGTGCGCAGCGAAAAAAAGTCCACGCACTTTATGAAATGGCTATTAGGCGTTTTTACCATTCATCTTCCCATTTTTTTCTTTTTTTCCAATTTTTTTTCATTTTTTATTCATATTTTCTATACATGCCCGAAATTTTCAGGCATTGTCCCCCAATCCGGCGCACTGTACGGCTCGGGCTACGGTGAGCGTGTTTTGGCGCCGCCAGAGGTGCAGAAGCAATATCAGGGCAAGCCCGCCTTCTTCGACTCGGAGCACGGCGTCTTCTTCGACGGCCAATTCGCCTACATCTACCAGGCCGGCGAAGCGGGCTACCGCGGCGAGTTCTCGCTGGAGGGCGAGGTGCAGACCGGCATCGAGCGAAGCATCGTCCTCGGCAACGGCACCGAAGGCAACCTGGCCGAGCATGCCGGCGCTCTCTCTTCGGCCTATCTTTTGGACAAGCCCATCGCCGTCTACGAACAATAAATCGATCGGTATTTAAGTTGAATAAATTTTAAATATGGATATTTGAGGGTTTGAATGAGTTGATTTTTGCCGATTTTTGGAGTGTTTTTGGTACTTTTGGAGGTTTTTTGATACTTTTCTCATCTGATGTCTAGTATAATATAATTTTGGTCCAATTATAGGCAAATAAGGTATTTATTGCTCTACTTGTGACTAATTATGAAAAAAAATCAATGCCTAAATCTTTAAGGATTGATTTTTCGATTTTTGGAGGTTTTTTGATACTTTATCTGATGTCTAGTATAATATAATTTTTGTCTAATTGTAGTCGAATTAGGTATTTACGATGCAATTTCTGACTGAGTATGCATTAAAACTTAACTTTTAGGGATTGATTTTTCTATTTTTGGAGGTTTTTTGATACTTTTGGAGGTTTTTTGATACTTTTCTTATCTGATGTCTAGTGTAATATAATTTGTGTCTAATTGTAGTCAAATAAGGTATTTTCTGCGCAGCTTTTGAGGTACTATGTCTCAAAAAATAAATTTAGGTTGTGGGTTTTCGATTTTTTGGAGGTTTTTTGATACTTTTCTTATCTGATGTCTATATTTTCTTATCTGATGAGTATAATATAATCTTGGTCTAATTATAGTCAAGTGAGGTATTTACCATGCAATTTCTGACTAATTACGAATAAAAACATAATTTTTAAGCATTCATTTTTCGATTTTTGGAGGCTTTTTGATACTTTTCTTATCTGATGTCTAGTGTAATATAATTTTTGGTCTAACTGTAGTCGAATTAGGTATTTACCATGCAATTTCTGACTAATTATGAATTAAAACATAATTTTTAGGCATTGATTTTTTTGATACTTTTGGAGGCTTTTTTTGACACTTTTCTTATCTGATGCCTAGTATAATATAATTTTGGTCTAATTGTGGTCAAATAGCGTAATTTTAGGCGGTTATCGTCTCACCACGGCAAAAAATATGACTTTTCATTACCACTTTTTTAGTCTTTTGAGGTTTTTTTGATACTTTTGTTGTCTGGTGTCTAGTATAATATAATTTTTGTCTAATTTTGGTCTGATAAAGTATTTTTTGAGCAGATTTTGAGTTACTATGTCTCAAAACATAAATTTAGATTTATGTTTTCCAATCTTTTGGAGGTTTTTTGATACTTTTCTTATCTGATGTCTAGTATAATATAATTTTTGGTTACTTGTAAACTAGTAAGATATTTTTTGTGTGTTTTTTCATATACTTAATTGTTTCATATGTCCAGAAAATCAATTACAGTATCTAATTTTTGCTTTTTTGGAGGTCTTTTGACACTTTTCCTATCTGATGTCTAGTGTAATATAATTTTTGTCGAATTATATCAAATCTGGTATTTTCCGTGCAATTTTCGTCCTACTGCAACAAAAAATACAACTTTTCATTTCCACTTTTTGATTTTTTGGAGGTCTTTTGACACTTTTCCTATCTGATGTCAAGTACAATATAATTTTTTGCCAAATTCAGCGATAAGACACGATTTATTACAAATTTTTACGACTCGACACGACTTATTACATCTATGTACACCTAGAAATCCATGTTGTCGGGGAAGATGCACGGGTTCTTGGCCGCCACATTCCGCATCAGGTCGCAGTGTAGGTGGGGCTGGTAGTCGAACATCTCCTTGCCCTCCTGCATGCGCTGAAACATGACGCAGGACGGGAAGCACTGCTCCAGCTTCTCCAACGAGTCCTGATAGCAGTTCTGTGGGGCCTGCGAACGCACTTTTTTGGTCGAACACTCCATCGCCTTCTGGATCCGCAACTCTGGCGGGATCCAGATGGAGCGTAGCGTCTTGACGCATTGCCTGCGGCAAGACAGCGAGCTGGGCAGCCAACAGCATTTTTCCACTGAAATTTGAGCGGTTTAGAGACTGTTTTTGAAGCAATTTTTTCAATTTTTGAAAAAAAAATCTAATTTTTTTGTAATATTTCTGCATAACGCGGTCTGAAATTTCTGAAAAAACGTTGGAACATTATCTTTTTTTTTAATTTTCACCCGAATTCAAACAAAATTTTTGCATTTGGAAATGAAATTTTTTGAATTTGAAGTGTCCATAGTTCGGTTATTTCTGCATAACGCGGTCTTAAAATTACCGAAAATACCGATAAAAGGGTGTTTTATCGTATTTCGACAGCTACGACGTCAATTTTTGGCATTAAAAAATTAAATTTTTTGGTTTTTAAACTCTCAGATTTCGGTTGTTTCTGCATAACGCGGTCTGAAAATCTCTTAAAATTTTTAAAAAATTATGTTTTCTTAAATTTGGAATGCTGCGACATAAATTTTCATTTTTAAAAATGGAATTTTTTGGTTTTTAAACTTCTGAATTTCGGTTATTTCTGCATAACGCGGTCTAAAAATCTTTCAAAATTTTAATAAAATGATGTTTTCTCAAATTTAAATTGCAGTGACGTCAATTCCGTGATTTAAAAAATGAAATTTTTTGGTTTTTAAACCCTCATACTTTAGTTATTTCTGCATAACGCGGTCTAAAAATTTCCAAAATTTCTCACAAAATCATCCTCTTCATTTCCCCCAGCTTTCATTAAAATCAGAAAACAAAAATTTTTTGCTGCAAAACATAAATACTTGTGATTTTTCATATGGCCCGGAATGCTAATCAGCCCCATCGCAATCTAAAAGGGCAACTTTTTCCGCTGATTTCAATCTATTAAAAATTCAACGGGGCCTTCGGGAAAGCGTTATTCATATTAATTTGCACAGAGATCTGTTCGGAATGATCGCAATCCAAAAAGAAAACGTTCGCATAACTCACTTTTAATGGCCAGCAATGACTGCTGATGTAGCTCCATTTCCAAACATATTGAGGCATTGCGGAAGGCCTTGCATTCATCGCCGTTTCCGGCCTGATTCAGTTGTTTTAGACAGCATTCTTCCGACTCTGCCGTACAGCACTTTTTGATCACTGAAAATGGAGCGTTTTTTTGGGTTCAAAGGAAGTGATAATCAACGTTTGTCGACCACTAGACCTTCCAGAAAGTCGCTGGAGTGATTTTCGCTACATGTGCGAAAACAAAGTTTCACTGTGCACTGTGCAATTTCTTGTTTTTTGCACGGTACAATAGGTTTTTTGGGCTGTCGCTTTTTCTCGCAGTGCAAATGCCAAAAATCAATTTGGCGATTTCCCGGAAGCGTTTTTTCTACAGGGTGTCCAGAGAAATGTGCCGGAAAGTGTTTGTCGATTTCTTGGCGCTCAGTCAAGATATCAAAAAAATTTTTTTTCAGGAGAAACGAGGATATGGGCGGTTTTTTCTCCAGAAAATGATTTTCTTCGCCGACGCGGAAAGTGCCGTATTCGGCGGAGCCTTTTGATAGCTTTTTTGGTCATCACACTAATCTTAAAAGCGTTTTTATGAATTTTGATGGTTGGAAAGAGGATTTTTGTTTATTTTTATGTTTTTCAAGCATTCGGCGGAGGTAAAATTTTATATAACTTTCTCCTGAAAAAATTTTTTTTCTGATACCTTGATTGAGCGACAAGAAATCGACAAACACTTTCCGGCACATTTCTCTGGACACCCTGTATTATAGTAGCATTTTCATAAAGTGCATGGACATTTTTTTCGTCTTCGCACAGTGCATCTTGAACTTTGAACTTTTGTCATCATCGCACTGTGGATTTTTGCTTTTCGCATGTGTCCAAACCTCAAAAAAGCCGATTGCACTGTGCACATTTTTGAGAAAAGCTTACGTCGCAGCGATATTTTAAACGCACAGTGCAAAAGCAAAAAAAAGGCGAGTGCACGGTGCAACAACATGGGGATTTTTGTGCACGGTGCGGAATAGAAAAAATGTTCATGCACTTTGTGAAAATGCTATAATATCAGTCTGTCGGGAAAATAATGATCACAATGTCGTTGCGACAATCGTGTCGCTGAAGTGAAAAACAATTTGATTTTAGACCAAAATTCATTTTCTCCACGGCAATGCGAATTTCGCTGCGACAGAATGCTGATTATTTTCCCGACAGCCTGATATTTCCCACCCCAACTCACTCTGATCCACATTTTGTCCAGCCACCATTAGTGCCGCACCCAACACGAGCGCTCCAGCGTATCCGCACAACATCTCTGTTTTCCGTCGCACTCTCCCGAAACTCCACACCAAATATATATAATAATAGTCTCGACGGCGCTGCTGCTGATTTGTCTCTGCAAATGTGAACGATGAACTGGGGAATGTAGCCGCTGACACCGCCTTTCACCGCGTCGCAAGACGAATGTGCCGAAGAATTGGGGGATGAGAGGCGGAGAACGACCCGATCGTTTTATGGACACTTTTTCATAAGGCCGGCCGAAACTTTAAGTGCTTAGGTGTTTTTTTTCTCAAGCGGAAGCGGCGAGAAGTTGCACAATTTGGGAGCAAAGGCGTAAGGGGGTATCCCCACCCCAGGCCGGGGTCGAATGAAAAAAATGTTTAAAGGGGGACCAAGGTACAGTGGGGCTGTACCAGAGATTGCCACCGCTCCGGAGCCGGTCTTGGCTCCGGCTCTGAGCGGCTCCGGCTCCCCAGCCAGGAGCCAGAGCCGGAGCCGGAAATTTTGGGTCGGCTCCGGCTCCCGAGCCCAAAGTCGGAGCCAGGCTTCCCAGCGGTCAGAAAAGTAAAAATTTCGTGATTTTGTTAAACCAAATTGCTTCAAAAACACTGCGGAGGATGTAACTTGACTGCAAAAACGTTGGCTGTATGATCTCTGGCACTAATAACTCTTCAAAACGAAGTTTTTTTCACTTGGAGAGGGAAGCATTTTGCCATGTTTTTGATACCTCCCGGATGCAAAATGGTACATTTTTTGCCACTGGATCAGGTCCGCCACTGGAATTTCCGAAATTTTTTTACATTGGTCAGCTTCTACCCGAGGCAAAAATGTCTTGATTTTGCAGGGCGCGGGCTTCTGCGTTTCTACGTCGCGTGTGATTCCCTTTTTTCGGAGCGACAAAATTTTTATTCGGAATTTCTGGAACGACCAGTAAAGCCGTCCACTCCGTGCCGGGCTCGAAGGGAAAAAACGGTAAGGGGAATAGGGTAATTTTTCGAAAATTGTTTACAAAGTAACCCTCCCCTTCCCAGAATTTTTGATCAGCTATGTTCCTGGGTTGGGGGAAATCTGTTTTTTCGAAATCTTTTTTTTTCCGCGGGGAACAGCGTAAAAGGGCAAACGATCGGCAACAGTGCGGGTAGGAAACGAGATCTTATCGCGAATGAGGGCGATAAAACAATACAGTGATTTATAGGGAAAGGGCATTTGTGTAAAGTTCCACTGTTAATTTTAAAACGATTGTTACAAGGTTTACAAAGGATCAAAAGCGCAATTAAGGTGTGTACAAAAGATGTGTCAGTCTGTCGGGAAAATAATGAGCACTCTGTCGCATAATTGCCGATGAGAAAATGAATTGAATCGCGACAAAATCAAATTGTTTTTTGATTGAGCGCCGCGATTGTCGCAGTGACATTGTGTTCATTATTTTCCCGACAGTATTTTCGATATTCCCGTAAGGTGCGGGATTTTCGGGCACTTTTCGCTGAGAATTTCCCGTAAAATGGCTTCAGAAACCCCTAAAAAGCATAAGTCAAACGGGGTCTCCCCGCTTTTTTTACCCCGCAAATTACTCCTTTTCAAGGAGAAACACTGGTAAACACTATTGTTTTCGTTTCACCCGCGCGACTTCCTCTTTTTTTGCACTTGCGGCATGCACTTTTCTGCGCACGTATCAGTCTGTCGGGAAAATAACGGCGGGTTTTCGCGCTTTGGAATCGCCCATCATCGCTCTGCGACTGCAAGCCGCGGCTTGGGAGTTGGTGCGCGATAGCGGCGAGGCGAGACATTTTGCTGCGACGATCCGCCGTTATTTTCCCGACAGACTGATATCCCGCGACTCGCCGAAAAAATTCTACGAATTTTATGGCACGACGAGTAGTCGTTCCAGAAAGTGCGTAGACTTTTGTCGTGCGCCGCACCGTGCACAAAACCTCTTTTTTACGGCATGCATTTGATCTTCGACACCGTGGAAATGCAATATTGCAGCGACGACACTTTTCTCATATGGCGCGAATTTTTTTAAAAGAAATTGCAGAGTGAAAAATGTTTCGAAGAGGATCGCGTCGCGCATTATGCACTGTGCAAAAAAAAGGCCGAAAAAAGTCTACGCACTTTACGGAAACACTATCAGTCTGTCGGAAAAATAACGGCGGATCGTCGCATCAAAATGTCTCGCCTCGCCGCTATCGCGCACCAAATCCCAAGCCGCGGCTTGCAGTCGCAAAGCGATGATGAGCGACTCCGAGGCGCGACGATCCGCCGTTATTTTCCCGACAGACTGATAGTACTAGGCGGGCCAAAAAGTCTTGACATTTTTGCACAGTGCGCCGTCGTGCATGAAATTTATCGCGCTGCGATAAGCAAAATTCACGGTGCGCTGCGACCCGGCACAGTGCAAAAAGATTGTTTTGAAAAAGGGTAAACAACGCACAGTGCGCTCTTCATTCGCACCCCGCCAAACTTTTTATCGCGCGACACTTTGTCGCAACGCCGAATTCATGCGTCCGCACGGTTCAAAAACATGGCAAGACTTTTTGGCCCGCCTAGTACTTTCCAGTCGTGCCATAAAGTCCGTGGAATTTGCACAGTGCCCTCCCCCGAGTTGCTGCGACTTCCCGTTCTTTGCACTGGCGACAGTTTTTCTGCGAGCTCACCGCGCGACGTCGCCAAAAAAGTTCTACGGACTTGATGACGCGACTATCTCCGCGCGACAAGTGTTGCGAACAATGCGAAAACCTCTCAAGAAATTTGGGCCGCCTAACACGGACTTTGGAAAAGGCGTAGTAGTACCCAACTTGTCCTGAGAATGCACTTACAAATGAGCTTCAAACTCCACTCTCTCCGCTCCTTATATACCACACCTGACATATCGAGATTCCCTAAAATAGTTCCGCCACCCAGATCTTCCCCTCCCCCCACTTTTCCTTACTCATGCCTCAGGCAACGTGTTCGCTGGTCTAAAGTGTTCCCGGCATTTCAAACAAAACCGGATACGTGCGCAAAAAAGGCGGTTTTACAACGAACAGCCTTTTTTTACATTTTAAAACGGACTTTTTTACAAAGTGAAGCATGGCCCGGACATTGTTGCGGTGACCATCACCGAATTTCTTCAAATTTGGCTCATAGAAGACCCACAGGGCGTACATCGAAAGTGTCAAACGTTTTTGCGAAATTTGCATTATTCGAGGATTACTGTAACATTTTGTGTTATGTAAAGTTTCTATTGTGATGGGCTGAGGGATGGAGCGTTGCGAATGAAACCTACCGACTGGATGTTTTCGACCATGGCCAACATTTTCCTAATTGAAATGTTTTTTGTATCTCTTCATCTTTTGGTAGTACCGTAACCCTCAACATACCATATCGATTACTGCCAAAAACTGGGAAAAGTGTAACCAGTTTTTAAGCTTGATTATAAAGGTTGGACACACTCTCCGTAAAATAAGACCAAAAAATCGAAAATAAAAATATAAGTTTTTGAGATATACGCGTTCAAAGTTGCTATGTTCGGTTACTGTAAGACCAAAATGAAGATGATGAATTTTCAAACGGTACGATTGATTGCCACGCCTCACCCATTAATAGACTAGCCTGAGAAAAATATTTTCAGATAAAAAAATAAATATTTGAGGCTTTATTTCAGCCTTTATACGATGGTTACTGTAGTTTCTAACTTTTATCAATTTCGCAAACCATTTTTTTCAAATGACGCATTTAGACCAGCTATCCCATTGAGAAATGTGTGTACAACGTAAAAATCAAAAAATCAAGGTTACAGTACTCTCATTTCTTGAAATAAAGGGAGATTACGGTAGCCGTATCCGCTTTTTTCGCTGTTTGGCCGCGGCATTCTTTGGAGCTGCAAGTGTAACCAGATTTAAGACTGGAAATTTGTTCAGAATATCCAGGGGAGTATTTTAGAAAAAAATCGCGAAAATAAAAATATAAGTTTTTGAGAAAATCCGGGATTACGGTCATTTTAGGGGGTTTTTGGGCTGTTTGGCCGCGGCATTCTTTGGAGATGCTGGTGTAACCAGATTTGAGACTGGAAATTCACTCAGATTGGATAGAGGAGTATTTTAGCAAAAAATCGCGAAAATAAAAATATAAGTTTTTGAGAAAATCCGGGATTACGGTCATTTTAGGGGGTTTTTGGGCTGTTTGGCCGCGGCATTCTTTGGAGCTGCTAGTGTAACCAGATTTGAGACTGGAAATTCACTCAAAATGGATAGAGGAGTATTTTAGGAAAAAATCGCGAAAATAAAAATATAAGTTTTTGAGAAATTTCGAAATTACTGTGATTTTAGGGGATTTCCTGTCCGAAATTACCGTAATCCCGGATTTTCTCAAAAACTTATATTTTTATTTTCGGGATTTTTTGCTAAAATACTCCACAGTATATTCTGAAGATATTTCCGGTCTCAAATCTGGTTACACTTGCAGCTCCAAAGAATGCCGCGGCCAAACAGCCCAAAAACCCCCTAAAATGACCGTAATCCCGGATTTTCTCAAAAACTTATATTTTTATTTTCGCGATTTTTTGCTAAAATACTCCTCTATCCAATCTGAGTGAATTTCCAGTCTCAAATCTGGTTACACCAGCATCTCCAAAGAATGCCGCGGCCAAACAGCCCAAAAACCCCCTAAAATGACCGTAATCCCGGATTTTCTCAAAAACTTATATTTTTATTTTCGCGATTTTTTTCTAAAATACTCCCCTGGATATTCTGAACAAATTTCCAGTCTTAAATCTGGTTACACTTGCAGCTCCAAAGAATGCCGCGGCCAAACAGCGAAAAAAGCGGATACGGCTACCGTAATCTCCCTTTATTTCAAGAAATGAGAGTACTGTAACCTTGATTTTTTGATTTTTACGTTGTACACACATTTCTCAATGGGATAGCTGGTCTAAATGCGTCATTTGAAAAAAATGGTTTGCGAAATTGATAAAAGTTAGAAACTACAGTAACCATCGTATAAAGGCTGAAATAAAGCCTCAAATATTTATTTTTTTATCTGAAAATATTTTTCTCAGGCTAGTCTATTAATGGGTGAGGCGTGGCAATCAATCGTACCGTTTGAAAATTCATCATCTTCATTTTGGTCTTACAGTAACCGAACATAGCAACTTTGAACGCGTATATCTCAAAAACTTATATTTTTATTTTCGATTTTTTGGTCTTATTTTACGGAGAGTGTGTCCAACCTTTATAATCAAGCTTAAAAACTGGTTACACTTTTCCCAGTTTTTGGCAGTAATCGATATGGTATGTTGAGGGTTACGGTACTACCAAAAGATGAAGAGATACAAAAAACATTTCAATTAGGAAAATGTTGGCCGTGGTCGAAAACAGTCACACAAAAAGTTTTGGACTCATACAACCATCACCCGGCCCACAACCAACGCCACTTTATAAAATACAAAATGTTACAGTAATCCCGGAATGGATGAAATTTCGCGAAACCCTTCTTCGCTTTTCATCAGCATGCCCAGGCCCTTCTCCTGGCCTAGTTTCAAGAAATTTGGTGATGGTCGTTGCAACAATGTCCGGGCCCCTTGGAGGGAAGCTTCAGTTTGTAAAAAACTCTCTTTTAAAACTTACAATTTTAAAAAAAATTGTAATTTTTAAAAAAAGTGTAATTTGCAAAAAATTGTAATTTTAAAAAATTTCAAAAAAAAACAATTTAATTATCAAGACTTTTCCGGATCTAGTGCCTACAAATTTTTTATATTACATTGTAAAAAATGAAACATCATTGTGCCGGTAATTGCCTGAGGGGAAGGCAGCAAAAATTGGTTAATACATTTTTTTATTTTTTGCTATTTTTGGCCAATTTTAAGGCCGTTCCAGTACCAAAATAAAATTTTTTAAAAAAATCATCACACTTTTTCGAAAGTGCGTAGACTTTTTTTTCGCGTCAAATCGTGCCATTTTACCTAATTTTTTGCAACTTTTTGAACATTTTGCATTTGCACTGTGCATTTTCCCCACTTTTTTGCACCGTTCAAATCCACATTATCTTCCCGACAAACTGATATCATTCTGTCGGGAAAATAATGTGGATTTTTCGCGCCCAAAATTGCATTTTCCCCACTTTTTTGCACCGTGCCAGTCCACATTATTTTCCCGACAAACTTACATCATTCTGTCGGGAAAATAATGTGGATTTTTCGCGCCCAAAATTGCATTTTCCCCATTTTTTTGCACCGTTCAAATCCACATTATTTTCCCGACAAACTGATATCATTCTGTCGGGAAAATAATGTGGATTTTTCGCACCCAAAAACGGCCCATCATCGCTTTTCGACGGCTCGCAGCGACTGAGAATTTGACCCAATACTAATCCTCATTATTTTTCCGACAGACGGACAGTAAGCCCAGCCATTTGCAGCCCTCAAAAACACGACAAAACGCAACAAAACACACGCCTTTGGGAAGTTGTTTAGTTTTCGAAACCTCTTTGAATTGTAGTCAAATCCGACATGTATAGTAATTGTAAGAGTCAAGGTTGTTATACTTTTAAATTAAACCCTATCTTCGTCTTCCCGGATTGTATTTTAGGTCCACACTCTTCTCCACAACAATTAATGTAACACTTTCTATTTTTAGCAGTCTTTTTTTACCGCCATTACACTTTAAGATTAGAAGGCCGGAACGCGTGGCCACGAATTTCGTTGATAGCCCAATCCGCGGAATCGGAAAGAATGTGAAAATTACGCACGCGAGGCAAAAAATAAAACGCAATTTCCGCAGCAGTGAGTGCAATTCAACCCGTGAAACTTGTGATTTTAGTATGAAGATTTTCAGAGGAGTCCTTGGTACTAATCTTTTTTAGTAATTGGCAAAAAACGGCGGATTTTTTTAGGCAAGCGGTAGAAAATGTTTCGGAAAATGACTAGTGGATCGAGCCGTTCAACTTTGGTAAAAATACCCGCTTTCCAGCTGCGGAATAAGACGAGAAAAATCGACCGAAAAATTCGCAAAAATTTCCTCTTTCTCTTCCCTCGGAAAGCAGGGACTTGAAAACGGACTGATACTAGTCGCGCCATAAAGTCCTGACACATTTTGTCGTGGCCGTCGCGCGAGAAAAGTGGCAAGTTCGCGCGAAAGTGCATGTCGCCAGTGCAAAAACGGGGAATTGCCGCGACGGGTCCGAAAGAAAAACAAAATGCACTGTGCAAATGTGTCAGGACTTTAAGTCGCGACTAGTACTATTAGCATTTTTGCAAAGTGCCTTGAAATTTTTTCGCTATCGCACAGTGCATGTCGCCAAAATCACTCGAGCGACTTTGCGGATCGACTGTCAGTCTGTCGGGAAAATAACGGTGCACGGCAACCCAGGGATTTTTCTCGGAATTATTTTATTTCTTTTGTAAATTTTGACACTTCATTTGGACGAAACTTTTTTGGGTCGTCGACTTGTGCGAATTCTTGTAAGCTTTGAAACGCATTACGGAGTATGTTGGATGTACTGGTTTTAAGCTCTGATAAAGCGCTTCTAAATCGTATATGACAAGGCCAGATAAGGTCCACCTGCTACCCACACTGCCCCGATATTGTACTTGACATTATGAAAAATTTTGCCTGCTGATTTTAAAATGGACATATGCTTTTTAAAACTCGCGTTTTGCAGGCGCAGTCGAGATATCGAAAACTCCTTATGACCTTGCTTCCATTACTTTCCCGACAAACTGATAGGTTCTGCAAAAGACTGGGTATTTGTGGCTGTCCCGAAAATCCAACGACTTGCTAGTATGTACTATAAAAATCTAATAAAACCTTCACTTAACCCCACCACCATATCGCCAAACCCGACCTTGATCCCCTCCCCCTTGCTGACCGGACTACAGAAAACCGACCATCGGTCGACAAGATCACGACAAGCCGAGGACCAGCACACTTTATATGGCCGGCGGCGGGAACGCGGGACGCTGTAATTTCCGGACGAAACGTTGAGAAACTGAATTTCAATTATTACAAAGCGCACGCTCTTCGGGGCGCAGATTTCCATTTTTAGCCGACGCATTGGAATCGGTAATTTGTTCGAAATTTTTCGTCAAATTTTTTTCGCCCCAGGCAAAAAAATGCGGCGAGGAATGCGATCTGACCAAAGGTCATTCAACCCATTCAATTCATTCAATCCATATTCATTGAGCGCATTTATACCGGGCATTATAACAGTCTGTACAATAAGATGGCAGCAACAAGAGAAGAGAGGCTGAGTACGGTCGATGTGCTGGAATTACAGCCCTCTTCCTTGCAACAATGGAGATGCAGGCCTTTGTAGAAGACGAGTGTGAAATGGCCTTCCGTTTGACACATCTTGGGCGTCGCGCAGGCTCTGAAAAATCGAGGGTCGAGCCAAAAAAAGTTATGAAAAAAGGTATCAATCTGTCGGAAAATAATGAGCACAATGTCGCTGCGCCGGTCGTGCCGCTGAAGTGAAAAGCAATTTGATTTTGTCGCGAAACAATTCATTTTCTCCTTCGATTTTCGAGGCGACAGAATGCTCATTATTTTCCCGACAGACTGATAAAATTCGACAGCCCTCATTGATGAATGTTCAGAATGGCAGAAATATCAGTCTGTCGGGAAAATAACGGCGGATCGTCGCAGCAAAATCTCTCGCCTCGCCGCTATCGCGCACCAAATCCCAAGCCGCGGCTTGCAGTCGCAAAGCGATGATGGGGGGATTCCGAGGCGCAACGATCCGTCGTTATTTTCCCGACAGACTGATAGGTCTAATTTTAAAATGAATTCAGTCTGTCAGGAAAATAATGAGCAGAATGTCGCTGCGCCGGTCGTGTCGCTGAAGTGTAAAGCAATTTGATTTTTCCGCGGCACAATTCATTTTCTCCTGCGATTTTCGACGCGACAGAGTGCTCATTATTTTCCCGACAGACTGATAAGACCTTTTTGGTCGGATAAGACTAATTTTGAGCCATATACAGTGACGGAGCCGATCTAGTGGCAAAAAACGTATCATTTTGCATTCGAGAAGCATCAAAAATGTGGCAAAATGCTTCCCCTTTCAAGTGAAAAAACTTCATTTGAAAGGGGGCCCTTTCCCCCTTATAAAAAGACCAGGCGCGCATTTTGAAATTCGAGTTTTTTTCACTTGGAGTTGGAGGTATTTTGCCACATTTTTGATACTTCCCGGATGCAAAATGGTACGTCTTTTGCCACTGGATCAGGTCCGTCACTGTGTAAATTTATGTGAAAAAAAAATAGAAACAACGGACCTGTACTCTTCGGATCCTTTCACTCCTTTGTCGTTGATCAGTTTCGCACAGTAATCCGTGCCGTCCTCGCACTCTATCAGTTCGAAGCCTTCGCCGTTGATGACATCTGAAAACAGGTACATATCTACGTAGGTATAATACATATATAAAATTGAAATATTTAACAGGCGGTTTTTCGTACGTAAAAATTTCATCGCTCACAACCGCTTTTTTATCCAAACTTACCCACAAAAATTCATGCTACGCTTTTTCAAAAGTGAGGCAGGCTTTTTGTCGCAAAGCTATTTGCAGTGTGCTTTTTCGAAAATCGCCGCGACGCAAGCTTTTTTTCAACTGCGTCGCCGCAAAAAAACAATGGTGCAAAAAGGGGCAATACGCAATGTGAGCCGCGAAAAAAGTCTCCGCACTTTTAAAACAGCGTAGTATTTTGTCTGGAAAAGAGCGTTCCTTCCTCTCTGACTCACTCTTTATTATCAGTCTGTCGGGAAAATAGTATGGAATCGTGGAGCCTTAAAACCGGCGGTTTGCGGCGACCTTCCGCTGGAGATTTGGCGGCGACAAGGCGACACGTTTTGCTACGACAAATCCACACTATTTTCCCGACAGACTGATATCACTGTGGCCGAGAAGGAACCGGGCTTCCCCTCACTTCGAAATCGCAACCCCGGAAATGAAAGTTTTTGCAATGCGATGCAAGAAAGCGCGCGTGGTTTGGAAAAATCGCCAAAATTTGGGGAATTTTGCTGATTGCACAGTGCAAAACAAAAAAAAACGGTTTGCACTGTGCAAGAGCCTCTTTTTTGGGTGATCCGTCGTTCTTGCTGTTTTCCGTAAGCATGGCTGCAAACCGGGGTAGTCCGGCCCGGCCCGGCCCGGGCCGCAGGCCCGGGCTTAAATCTCCAAGCCCGGCCCGGCCCGGGCTTGAAAAATTTGGAAAGCCCGGCCCGGTTCGGCCCGGAAATTTTTTATACTAGGCTGGAAGGAAAGAAAGCGGACATGAAAGGAAAATTATGACAAATTTTTGCAAAATGTAAAGAAAAATTTAGCAAAACCTAGGTACATAAGATCATTTTACGTTTGCTATCAGCATTGTGTTTGAAAAAATGAAAAATTATATCGAAAAAGTTTGTTTTTTCCTTTTTTTCCGGGCAAAACTCAGATTTCACAAGGAAAGTACTTTTATGGGGGCTCCTACTTTTTGACGGGACATATCTCAAAAAATCACAAAAAATGTGCTGATCAAGGATATATAAATCTTAGCTGCCCATTTTGGGTTTTTAGGGGTGAAAATGCCCAAAAACTGGCTTAAATTCCCTACAAAAGGCGCAGGCATTCGAAACGATAAAAAGCGCAGTCCGTCTCTTCCCTCGGAAGAGAGCGGTGTGGCCGAGTGGTTAGTGCCGTAGTCTGGGAATCAAGAGGGGGAACGCCGCACGGGTTCGATTTCCCTTTTGGGCCGAATCAACTTTTTTTGAAGTTGAAGGTCGGAAAAGTAAATTTTTGTCCCAAGACTGATTTTTTACGTCTTAGAAACTGAATAAACATAATTTTAAGCCAAAATAAAAATTGTAAACCTGTGAAAAATTAAGCGAAAAGGGGTTTATATAGGACTTTAAGCCCACTTCCGATTGAGTTTTCACCCCTAAAAACCTAAAATGGGCAGCTAAGATTTATATATCCTTGATCAGCACATTTTTTCTGATTTTTTGAGATATGTCCCGTCAAAAAGTAGGAGCCCCCATAAAAGTACTTTCCTTGTCAAACAAACCGGGCCGGCCCGAGCCGGGCCTAAAAATCAAAGCCCGCAGGCGGGCCGAGAAATCAGTCGGCCCGGCCCGGGCCGGAAAATTTTGCAAAGCCCGGCCCGGAGCCATGCCTAGTTTTCCGGCGATCCAAGTTTCTCCGTGATGCAAATTAGACTGCAAAAACCTGCGACGGAATGCCTGCCGGTTCTTTTTTTCGGCCAGACTGATATTTATGAACTCACTTTTCTCTACCGAAACTTTTCATTTTTTCGCTGACTCACTCTCCTCATAAACCCTTGAAAAGCATTTTGAAACACCTCCAAATTCATGGCACCTTACCTTCATGACACTGCAGGCAGCAACATTTGTCAATGGCCAACAAGAGCGTCGCGAACAAAAGCAATTTCCGCAGCGTATAGGACATTGACAAAGTTGCGGCAGAGAGTATGAATAACACCTTGAAGCGGAGGGGGAACTGAGTCGTTTCCAGCAGAATAGGGGAGTGGAGGAACTGATAAGCAAACATGTCCCATGTAAAGACGATCAGAGGCTTTGCGTAAGCGCGCCCCCAACTCTCCGTCGATGGGTTAGGGGTTAATGTTTATTTGCAAACGGAAAGAAAATTAATGCCATTGTAATCCGGACGTTTTGTACAGTAAGTTTTGTTGTTTATTTTTGCTGTTTGTATTCATCGCTTTTTGATCGTGAAAAAATAGCAAAAGTCTTCTAGTTAGACCGCAAAAAGAGAGTGAAGAAATAAAATTGCTTATAAATTTCATAAATCATTTCTTTTTTATCAGTCTGTCGGGAAAATAATAAGCCCAATGTCGCTGCATAGACCGTGTCGCTGAAGCGAAAAGCAATTTGATTTAGCGACAAAATTCAGTTTCTCAGCGGCGATATTTTCGATGCGACAGAGTGCTCATTATTTTCCCGACAGACTGATAGCCTCGTCGAAAGACCGGAGAGATTTGTGGTTTCCGCAACTGTGGGCCCGCAGAGAGATCTGATCGAGTGGCAAAAAGTTTACCATTTAGCATCCGGGAAGTATCAGAAACGCGGCAAAATACCTCCAGAGTTTGTTTCAGTTGGAGATGGAAGTATTTCGCATGCACATATGTCCATAAACTATAGCAAATGAGCAAATGGATCTCCTGAAATTTTCACTGGCATACTTCGTCTGGACTGTTGATCAACTCCTCAATTTTATGTAACTCATCTTCCATGTCGACCAGAGACTTGGCGCAAATGCCGCGCGTAGGTTCCATATTAACCCCTGAAATTTTGCGCTTGTGCTTTGCAGGCCCATCCGAGATATTGAAAGAGAGTTGCGACCTCCTCAAAGTTTTGCGAGAGTACGCAAACCGGGGAGCGCAGTCACAGAGAAAGGCACTTTTTGGCCATATCTTTGTCATCCGCGACACGATCCATTTTTTCGGCGACGATGTGATTTTCGATGCGTCAGTGGGCATTATTTTCCCGACAGACAGATACTAGTCGCTCCAGAAAGTGCGTAGACCCTTTTTCGCAGCGTACAGTGCATTTTTCATCTTTTTGCACTGTTGCAACAAAAAGTCCATGCATTTTATGAAACGATTAGTGCATTGTCTTCAAACTTTTTTGTTCCAATTTTCATTACTTTCGAATTTCCCTTCGCCTTTTTCCTTTCGCCGTCGTCGACGGCATTCTTCTTTTGATTCGTTCCGGAAGACGTCGATCTCTTACCGGATTCATAAAGACAAAGTGGTTTTTTTCGCCGCTGAAACCACTTCACCCAACTTTAATCTTATCTCTGATTTCGTCGACGAACATGATCAGGGTGCTGCTTTTGGGGGTTGTTGGTGTGGTAAGTTCTGCATAGCACTGTCTTAGTTACTTGTGGGAAATAAAAACAGTTTTAAACTGCCAACTTTCAGAGCTTTGGCCAAATTATTCGAGAGATTGAGCGGGGACCGGAGGGCAATTTGATCATAAATTTGGGAGGGCTTCCGGAACAGCGGTTTGTGTATCAACAGGACAATGTGTTTAGAGCGGTAAGTATTTCTTACTTTTTTTATTTGAAAAGCATATAAATTGTAAAATACGGAGTGCTTAAACTGAATATTAGTTCTGAAATAATGAACGCAATTTCGCGTAGCTGAGCCGAAAACCAATTTGATTTTGCTGCGACACAATGCATTTTCTCGACAACGATGCGATTTTCGATGCGACAGAGTGAGTGCTCATTATTTTCCCGACAGAAGATGAGCTTTTCGGCCGGATAAAACTGAGCTTGAGCTATATACAAATTCATGTGAAACGAATGGAAATAACTGACCTGTACTCTTCGGATCCTTTTACTCCTTACGAAAGATCTGTCGATCGCGCTTTGCAGAAACATTTTTCTGCTGCTTTGAAAAGGTCTCAATCTGCCCCCACGTATTTTTCAACAAAAACCATCTATATTTTTGTCTTTCTACCATCCCTTTTTACCATTGTAATCCGATAGTATCCTTTGAGGGACAGACTTTTATTTTTTTTCATCAAAAATTTATAAAAAATTTCAACATTTTGGTCATTTTTGAAAATCGCAGGTTAAAATTTTTGCAAAGCTCTTCGCTGATAATACATAGTCTGTCGGGAAAATAATGTGCACAATTTCATTGCGTCGACAGATGACATTTATATTGATGTTATTTATATTAACCCGCATTTGAGAAGCTTCCGGCATTTTTCCAATTTGACAACATTTACATTTTTCGGATTTCATATCGAATATCTTGACTACGTGGCAAAATGCCGAATTTTCAAGATTTGTCGATCAAAAATCTTCAAATTTTTTCAATCACCTTGCCGCCAAACATACATTTCTTGAAAAATCTCCATTTTCAGCGAGCCCGCGGAGTTGTCAACGAAGACAACCGAAAAGTGCATGGTCTCGAAAACATGAAGCACTCCCTTCCCCAGTCCGAGGACTACGACTACGATCTTTTCGGGCAAATTACGGAGGTCAACTCCAAGGACGGGAATAAGCAAAACAAGAAGGCCAAGTCCAACCGCAACGGCGTGATCGAGCTGCTCTCGCCGAAAGAGGACCAAACGCAGACCGAGCGACCGGTCGCAAAACCTTACATAGATGTGGACATCCCCAACTACGGAGTGAATCACGAGGCCGCGCTGGGGCCTCGAGACAGTATTCTGAACGAGTTTGTGACGGCGACGGTCAGACATGGAGGCTGCAGTTTCAAGGACGAGCCGACGAAAAATGAAACCGCCATCGATGTTCCAAGGGGGACTAGAACCCCGGTAAGTGAATTGTAGCGTAATATGAAATATTGGCATTTTCATAAAGTGCATGGACATTTTCCGTGGGCTTCACCGTGCACAAAAAACCTCATTGCAACGGCATTTCAATTTTTTTTCTTTTTAGTTTTGTACTATAGGTTCAAAATGGGTTTTTTCAACTTCTTTCCAAATTGTGGAAACTTTGCAAAATAATTTTTTGACACAAGGTTTATAGTACACTAATACATATTGGAGCCAAATATGGCACAGTTTTATCAACAACCACAAAAGTTACAGCGATTTTAAAAGTGCATTTATAATTTTGTCGAGCAGTGCATGGAAAAGAGAAAAAATGTCCACGCACTTTATGAAAATACTAATATTGTAATTTTTGCCAACTTTTTAACCCTCAGTTTTAACCTGACCCATTTTCAGCGCCAAAACATTATCAACAACGTGGTCTCGCCGGCCGCCTTGAGCGCCACATACGAACGCAACGGCCAACTTGTTGAGCCCTCCGGCAACGCCGGCCTCCCTCTTCCCGAATGCTACAGAACACAGCAGGGAATGTTGTGTTGTAACCGGATCCTGGAGGAACTGATTTATCAAGCCAGCGACTTGATGGTGAACCGCAACCAAAACAAGTGCAATATCGACATCTACAGCGAGATTTTGAAGGTAAATTTTAGGATTTAGTGGGCCTAGAAATCAAGAAGGTGATGATGTCGGGTCCCTGACAGGATCCATGCATCTTTTTGGTATCCTTTCGAATCAAAATTTTTTCAGAACATGGCAGAACAGGAGTTCCAAACGACCTTTGAGGTGATCGCCGCCAACGGCGATTTCGCCGCCAAAGCCAACTTCAAAGACAATTTGCTGTGCAAATCTCTGGTGAACTCCAAGTTTGTCCTCATCTACGCCACACCAGAGTCCTATCCAATCAACCAGAAGAACGTCAAACTACCTCTTACACAGTAAAGCGTGCAAAAATCGTTTTGAATCGTAATAATATGTAGAGTAGTCTAATAAAACTCATGCCCTTGGATTCACACGCCTTATTTTAGGTTGTTGATTTGAGTGAGCGCTCATTGTCAGATTTTCATCAAATTTTGCGAGTATCGGTTATACAGGGTGACCCAAAAAAACGATCATCAAGACTTTTCGTAATAAAAAGTTTGTTTTTCGGTACAAGCGCAAATTTATGAATTCAAACGATAAACAACAAACCTGGTGATCAAGTACTAAGCTAGTTTCTTTCGCAGCAGCACTTGGCGGCGATATAGAGCGCCAAACGTAACTTAAAATTTTGGGCTCGGGGCCGCAGTTTTTTTCGGGGAAATCGTTCCCGTTCTCAGCGCAGCGATCACTCAGTGACTCCAAACTTTTGTGACGTGTAGTACAGGTACTGCCCTCCAATTGAAAAAAATTTATAGTTCATCGGTCTCAGATCCGGCGAGCAGGCGCACTTTTCGCAGACTGGGTCAAATCGGAAAAATCGGTCCCATTACTGGTCTTGAACCGCTTTTGCCTTGTGAGCCAGCGCTGAGTCTAGTTGAAACGCCAAATTTGCATCGTCAAGGTTCTTCTAAGTCAACGGAAGCACGACGAGATGGAGATTAACGCAGAGCTAGAATTTTGCCCCCTTGATCCACTAAAAGCATGGATTTCTTGCCGCTGGCACAAATTCCGCCACAGAGGGTAACGGTCCGCATTTTTTCGGGTTTTGACGTTAGCTAATGTGCTCGGGGTCTCATTGGACCAGATCCTGTCGTTCTGGTGGTCGTGCATCCGCTAAACATTGAACCACGAAAGGAATGCGCTCACACCTCTGAGCTGCGGCCCGACCCTTAAGTTTCAGGCATCTCTGGCGCTCTACGCGCTTGTTGCCGCCCTTGAGGGGTTGACCTTTTTGCAGCTTGTACAGTACGGGGTTGAGCTTATCTTTGGCTATTCGGTAGACGAATCGATCGCTGATACCGTTCTTGCAGGCGATTTTTTCTCGAAATTCGCGGATTTTGTTGTTAATGATGCCGCGTCTCGCAGAAGTGTTTTCGGTGCGTTTTCTTTCACTTCCTGGACGCTGACTACTGTTGCCAAGCTACTTGTATCTTGTGATTGCTTTCGACACAGCGTCTTTTCCACATCTAGCAAATTAACAAGTTTCCTTTTGTCGAAACGGTCCCAAAATCGCAGTCCCTTTCTTTTGACATTTACAGGGTGACCCAAAATAACGGAGACAAATTTTTGAAGGGTCCCACCGCGAAACCCGGGCGTTATAAAAACACAAGCGACAGTGGGTAATATTCTATAAGACTTTCTCTATAATTCACGAAAATTTGGCGGAGTCATCATGCCGCAGTAAAAAGTTACAGCTTAACAAAAATGCCTTGCGCCGTTTTTTTGGCCTTCAATTTTGGTTCCTTTGTGTTGCGTAGAGCATGGCTGTACTACAGCCGCAGAAATGGCAAGTTCATTTGTTTTGCTAGACTACTACGTCTCTAAGCAAGCAGTTATGTAGGTTTCTGGGCTACGGTTTTAATTTCTACGGTGGTACCAATCTCAACATTGAAGATCGCCATTTTTTCCAAATTTTTTCTATAAAAAATTCAGTTTTTTTAGAATAAAGCTAAAACCGCTAGAACGTATTCTATTCATAAATACAATAATTCTGGAAAACGCTGCGATTGCTTGCTGGTTGCAACAGATTTTCCTTAACAAGTTTCTCGCCCAGAACTACCCCATGGCACGCGGCTTTGAGAAAGATGGGTTATCGATAACAAAATGACAAGATAGATAAAAACGGCGCATTCTGCTCATGTACACTTATGAATACGACTCTTGAGAATCAGCCTAGGGCACTTTCAGTCTTTATGTGTCACCGGCTCGACTGGTATTCCGCCTACGGCAAAAATAAGGCAGAATCCTAGTGATTCCATATAGCATTCCGTAGAAGTTACAAAATGTTTCTCTTTTGGTTCTATGGTGTTCCTTGAATCATGTTCTAGTAACTCATATTACATTTTGCCTTATCTAACATTTAAACTCCTTTTTACGCCTACATTTTCAAAAAAGGCCGATTTTTGCACTTCAACTGCCTGAAAATACTCGGCTGTAACTTTTGAACCATCGATAGTTGAGCTTAGTACGATGGCTCGTTTTAAAGGACATATTATGATAATTAAGAACAACAAATCTCAAACTATTCCGAATTTTCTTTTTTGAGTAAAGCAGCTTTCTTGCAAAAAGACCCCACGGGCAGAAAGCTCCGAGTCAACCGGATATATTGATGTGGTTCAAGGCACAAGAGCGTCGTACAACAAAACTTCCGGTATATAAAACTACACTAACGTGGTACTGTAGTATAAATAAGGAATCACTCATGAATCTTCATAAGTCGCAGAAAAAACGGGAAATCTTTTGTCTCCGTTATTTTGGGTCACCCTGTACAAAAACATGTTAATCAATCGATATGGACATGAAAAGGGAAGTACTAGGACAAAAGAACACGGAGAATTTACTAGTGTAATAATTATTTCCCTGCATCTAAAAATTTTCGCGTTAGGACACAAACAAATTTGATGATCGTTTTTTTGGGTCACCCTGTATAGGCCTAATCTTTTTGCCAGTCTCACAAAAGGAGCCCTTGACGAGGGCCAAGAGTACGAAAATTGCGTGTTCCGACTTTCCAGGTCGACTGCAGTTCGGGTCAGCAGAAAATCGATCGAAACGTGGCATAGGGCAGGTGAGGCCCAAAAAAATAATTGTAGAGCTGCCTATAAGGCCTAACAAAGCCTGGATACTAGGCTGATGCTCGGAGGAGGCTCGGTGGAGACTTAGTGAAGGCGCGGCGGAAACTTACAAAGGCTTGGCGGAGACTTGGCGAAGACTTATTATACGACCGCTTTTCCAACTTTGGCACAAAAAAACCAATTGTTAACCTGGGCTTTATTCACTAACTCGAAGCTACTGTAACACAGCAAAGATCAAAACCCACTCCAAAAAATGATGATCCGTAAGCTGTATGGTTACAGGAGGAAAGCGCGAGCTAAGATTGTGAGTTAATACTCCGGAAAGCCGCTAGAACGATTTTTTCGGCATGCACTATGTAAAAAAGTCAGACAGCAAGGGACACGTAAAAAACCTATTGCACAGTGCAAAGTCAACTTTTGTTTTCGCACAGTGCATGTTGCAAAAATCACTACACGCGAGTTTGCGAACGGACTATCAGTAAATTTGGAAAAATATTGACGACAATGTCGCTGCGTCCCTCGCATCGCTGAAGTGAAATGCAATTTGATTTTGCAGCGACACAATTCATTTTCTCGGCTGCGATGCGATTTTCGATGCTACAGAATGCTCATTGATTTCCCGACATACTGATAAGTGGCTTGTTCATTATCGCACACAAAATTTTTGTCCTGTCTGGACTTTTTTTCCTCCAATTTGCTTCCAAACTTTTTACAGACGCTTTCTGCAACGTCTCATTTCTTGCGAACACCCAATCCCATTCCAAATCCCTCCAAACACCAAATCTCAATTACCCGTCTAATTGAAACCGACTCTGTTTGGGTTCTTTTTCGCGCATTATGCCAAATGAATACCGCATAAGTGTCTTGTTTAATTAGATGGAATCCCGTTCATGCAATAGGCGCTGCATGAAACGTTGCGCAAAAAGCGGATGTGCATCCAAGAAAAATCTTCAATTTTACTTGATTGAACCGCAAATTTGGAGCGCTCCGAAAAGCGGAGAGCGCCGAGAGAAAGAGCCAACTCAAAGAGTACGTTGAGAAGTGGCGAGAAGCTGCAACGATTGGAAGAAAATGGAGATCGCAAGGGGTTCTTTATCCCCCCATTCCGAGAAACTCGTTTAGGGCGGGGCACGGAGCAACGTTGAGCAAAAAACCCGTTGAAAAGGGGACCTACTGACCAACAAATTACTCGTTGAGGGAAAGCGTGGGAGAGGGTTACCTGAATGCAGGTTCGCGGGGGCGTTTAGAAGGTCACTTTGCCAACGATTTTGTCATATTTTAGTGAAATATCGACGGCCATGTTGCCAACGATCTTTCATAGTTTGGGCTTATGGTCTTAGGGTTTATTTACATGGAAAAAATTGAACTTCCAGAAGCGCTGCTTTGAGACACATCTCAAATTTCGCAGTCCCACATACAATTTTTAGGTCAAATTTTTTGTCGCTGAAAATTTGATCTTGCGCCTTGCGGCGACGGCCAAGATATTCAGCAATCTTTGCGGTCAAGACATTAGATAAGACCGTACCAAAATGAGGTCCTCAACTTTTGAGGCTCATGTTAGGACGGTCAGATAAATCCACCTACTTTGACTACAAAAGTAACCCTTCAAAATCTGCAAGAGTCACGGCATTGCGCCCTGCCCTGTACAATTTGTTGCTTTTTGCACCGTGCAATAGGCTTTTTTGGGCCGTCGCTCGCACTCTGACACTTTTGCACAGTGCGTGTCGCCGAAAACACTCCAGTGACTCTGCGAACGGTCTGGGAGTTAATGGATATTTTCAAATCCTTGTTTTGACAACAGAGCTTTCGTAAATCCTAATTTGAACAAATACAAGACGTCTTTAATACATCTTCTACAGCTCTGTTGTCAACCAAAGCTATACAGTGAGGGGCTTGATCCAGTGGCAAAAAACGTACCATTTTGCATTCGGGAAGCATCAAAAATGTGGCAAAATGCTTCCCTTTCCAAGTGAGAAAACTTCTTTTTGAAAGGCGCGCCCTTCCCTCACAAAAAGAGCGGGTTTGAAATCGGAGTTTTTTCATTTGGAAAGGGAAGCATTTTGCCACATTTTTGATACTTCCTGGATGCAAAATGGTACATTTTTTGCCACTGGATCAGATCCCACACTATAGCTGGATTACAGTTCAAAATTAAGGCGCCCTACTTGTTTCAGACCAATCTATAACCTTCCCTTTACATTCCTTCCCTCCCAGATACCGCAATTTTCGAAACTCTACAGTTTGCTCACATCTCCACCCTATTATCTTCAAATTCCGTCTGTCCAGACAGTCATCCCTGTCATTATGTCATAACTTAACCTTAAAGTTCGTTTCCTCCATCCAAATTACCGCTTTTTTCTACCGTATTCCCCCCACTTCGCACAATGCAATCGTAGACATTATTTTCTTGCCCTTTGCTCTTGTGATCTCGGGCACGCCGGCCGGGGCAACCAGCGCGCGAGTCCAAATGTCTTCCCGAAAAACACCTTCGTACACACAATCGATAATTGTTGACAATTATAATGGCGCGCACTCCGCCCCGTGGGGGGATGGGATCGTATAGTATGTTTTTCCCGCCGATAATTGCCGCGACCCGATGACAATGGGGGTTACACGGAACACATAGCCGGGCGGTATATACAGGTTGGCGCGGACGGCTTCGCACCAAGCCCATCACGACTTGTGCCGGGGGTTGTTCCGTTCGCAGGGCGACGAAAGTTTTGTCGACGGTCAGCCATTGTTCTCCGCGCACGCGGCGCTCTTATCCGGAATCCGCGCCGTGTTTCAGCGTCGCGGATTCCGGATCCGCGCGAGTGATAGAGAGGTGGCGTGGGCAGCGAGGCGGAACCTATCATATCAGCGTATGTTCGAGGCTGTGATATTAAGGGTTTGTGGTTGTAAACGAGGTGTTTTTGACCTTATACTCGCTGCCTTAGACCGCTTGAAAGCACTCTAAATGCGGAAGATACCATATCAGCATACGTTGGATGCTGTGGTACAGAAGTTTTGTGGCTGTAAATAGCTTTTCTGACCTTATTCTCTCTGATTTAGTGGTTCCCACGTACTAAAACCCTTGGAAATACTGTAAAATCACCTTTGTTTCCCTCTATCTTTATTAATCGCTCTATAAATATCAAAAAACAACTATCTTTTCGCCTAATTCGCCTAGTATAATCACCATAACTTGCAGACTTTCCCTTCAAATCATACCCCTCCACTTCCTCAAAATCTGTGTTTTGTTACTTTGTTTTTATGAACGCTCCCAATGTTCCACTCAAATCAAAAATATTGAGAGGAGAAAGGGATCGTCAAGTAGTGCTATTACTCGCAAATGGCATCTTATAAAAGTAACACGTGCAAATGGAAGAATGGAGAAGGTTTTGCATATGGCTGACGAGCCTTTTTGACTCTTGGCCTCGGCTGCAGACTCTTAGGAATTTTTAGTTACTATATTGCCCTTTATCTTTGTTATATGGGATGTTATGTACATTATATCAGTCTGTCGGGGAAATAATGAGCACAGCATCGCATCGAAAATCGCATCGGAGCTGAGTAAACGAATTGTGTCGCTGCAAAGTCATGTTGCTTCTCACTTCAGCGACTCCACTGACGCAGCGACATTGCACTGATTATATTCCTGGAAGACTGATAAAAATTTCTATAAATCCCAGTCGGCCCGAGAGCCGCACCGAATCGAGACCAAACGTTTTTGTGGCGCAAAATGTTGATATTGTCGTTTTTTGCAACCACACTTTAATTTTTTGGTTTTTAATGCCTTACTTTGTCTTTTTGGTTCTTATATACAACAAAGATCGCTCAATTATCTACCTCTCAGTTCCTCAAAGCGTCTCGGCGCTCCAAAGCACAGCCTTGCGCAGAGATAAGTTTGCACTCAGACACCTCTTGATCGCCTTTTTTTTGATTATCGTATCATCGCTTTCCTCATCCCTGTCTACTATTCTCAATCAACTAACCTGTATACTGTTGCCCTGCATCTAGTCTATGAATTAGTTTGTACTGTAAAATTAACTTTTTTTTAAATCTTAGTACCTTCTCATTTGATTTCTACTTAACAGACTCCCATTCCTTGTCTACTACCTTTCCTTAGATGATCAATGATTCCTATACTTTCACGGTGAGACACTCGTATAGACCTCTCTAATTACCCTTGATAACGGTCCGTTCACAAACTATTTCTGCGACTGTAAGAGAATTCATGCTACGAGCGGCGCTCGAAAAAGCCTATTGCCTGGTGCAAAAGCAACAAATTGTACAGTGCAAACCGCACGTTTGTTTTCTCACAGTGCATGTCGCGGCTTCGTGGAAAATGGACAGAGTGAACTTGGACATTGGACGGAGCGCGGAAATTGGACAGAGTGAAATTGGACAGATTTTTTTCACTGCAAAAAATAGTTATTTGATGATTGAATAGTGACATTTCATACGATTGCAGCGAAAAAAATCTGTCCAATTTCACCCTGTACAACTTCCCCCTGTACAATTTACACACTCCGTCCAGTTTATTTCTGTTCAATTTCACTCTGTCCATTTTCCACGAAGCTGCGACATGCACTGTGAGAAGACAAAATTGCGGGTTGCACTATATAATTTGTTGCTTTTGCACCATGCAATAGGCTTTTTTGAAGGTCGCTCGCATCCCGACTTCTCTTACAAGTCGCAGAAATCACAGTTAGACTTTTTGGACTAGTATTCCATTTTCTTATCACCCTATTCTCCTATTCTACTTCCCCCTCTACCCCATTCCCCTCACAGCCCTCCTCCATCTCATCGATGACCTGTCCTGAAACTCTTAACCAGTTGAGGGCGATCGTAAACGGCTTTGAAGTGAGCTTGTTCATTTGGCGATCTTCCTCCTTTCTCTTCCCATTTTTTTCAGTGTTGGTCACTAATTTTGCGCGTGCGAAAAAACTTGCCTCCGGGCTTAATTCGCCTCCTCCGCATTCGGAGGGCGATGCTTCGGACGACGATGTAATCGTCGCTCTTCAAAGTCATTCGAGACTCCCCTCCGCTGGATGGGCTAATTCAGCGGCGTTGGTCGAGCAAGACGAGGAGACGCGCCATCGTTCCGTCATCAAAGGGCGACGGCGGCGGGATTGCGAACAGTTTGCTGGCGTTGGTCCGCTATTTGACGGTGTAGTAAAACAGCCGGACTAACTAGACTGGATATGCTTTGCTTGCACGGCATTTCTTATATTACCCATGACAACCTAGTCCGTCGTTTCAGCGGAATCCCCGTTTTTATCATCTTCTTTTGCGTGAAACATGAACTATTCGAGCCGACAGGCCTAATAGAGCCATATAAAACGATTTTTTCAGATAACACAGAATGAACCGACTCATCATCGCCGCCTTGGCCCTTCTGGCCGTCAGCGTTTACGCCCAAGATGACTCATGTTATATCAATGACTCCGGCTTCACCTGCTGCAACAGAGATCTTGGTAGGTCGCAGAAAACCCTTCACCTGCACTACACGTATTTTACAAAAAATGGATGAAATTCGCATTGTGCAGATTATTCAAATAAGGAATTTGCACCGTGCAGATCCCAAGGAATTTGCACCGTGCGGATCCCAAAAAATTGCACTGTGCAGATCCCAAGAAGTTTGCACTGTGCAGATCCCAAGGAATTTGCACCGTGCAGATCCCAAGAAGTTTGCACTGTACAGATCCCACGAAATTTGCACCGTGCGGATTCCAAAGAATTTGCACCGTGCAGATCAAAAGGAATTTGCACTGTGCAGATCCCAAAAAATTTGCACCGTGCAGATCCAAAGGAATTTGCACCGTGCAGATCCCAAGGAATTTGCACCGTGCGGATCCCAAAAAATTTGCACCGTGCGGATCACAAGGAATTTGCACCGTGCAGATTTCTCAAAAATCGCACTGTGCAAAAATTCCGAATCGCTTCCAAACCCAAAAATACTCCAAAATGTTTCAGAAAACGCAATGAAGCAAGCTATGACCGCCTCCGACCTCCTGGGTTCGGCCGACAGCATTCAGGGCTCGGCCGAGAAGATGTTGGGCGGCAAGTTCGAGACGGTCGTCGCCACCGACGACTTCGCCTACAAGTCCCACTTCAAGGACGGGAAGTCGTGCAAGGTCGAGAAGAACGGACAGTACGCCCTCGCCTGGCAACCATAATTATTTAAATGCGAATATTTAAATATTATAATTACCGGTAGAATGGGCGCAGCCCGCTTATTATGAGTCAAATATCTTCTGCATCTTTTGTAAAATACGGCCCGCGTATTTTGCAAAAGATGCGTGGATGATATTTGAGCCAAAATAGGGGCTGTAAAAACACCTACAACGTGCTTTCCTCTTCTCGTCAACCTTTATTTAGACACCCTCCAGAAAAAATCTCCGTTTAATTTTTTGTTATCGTGCAATATCACCACTTTTCCTATTAATTCAATAAATATTTTTGTGTGTTTTTCTCCCACTTTTCCCCGTTTTTTCGAGAAAAATAAAAACTTTTCAAAAAGTTTCGGCAATTTACATAACCAATATATTTTCTGACAACTTTACAACTTACAAATCGACAATAATTTATGTGGAAACAAATAAAAGAAGACAGAGGGAATAGGCTATATTATCCAACAACTCTGTAGACGAGCGAAAAATGCGCAATTTAAATGTTGAATGAGCAAGGATTTTGGGGATGAAAACAAAACGTTATGAAACAAAAAAAAGGAAAAAGAGGATGAAACCAAGAAACGGAAGAGGATAAATCTGCTCGAATGGGTATAAACATTTGTTGCTGCGATCATATACATATGTACTGTGCTAATGAGTTTTGAGGAAAGAGGGGAAAAAATAGTTTAAGAAGAGAGCCAAATAAGGAGAAAGGAGGGAAAAATAGCTTTTAATCTCCATCCTACAGACAGGACAGAGCTCTCGGAGAACATTGGACTTGAGTCAGATCCAAAAAAATCGAAATATTCCCAAATCATCACAAAAAAATATATTCTCCATGGCAAAAAACTGGTCAAATTTCCAATTTCAGCCCCTTTTCCCACATAAAATTCTCTCGGTTTCCCAAATCCAACATTCTTCTTCCAAACTATTGAGAAAAATTCAAGATCCATGGCCGAAATTTTGACTCAACACCCCTTCAAAAATCACATGGAAATCAAATTACACGTTACGAGATTCTACGAAAAAAGAGGTTAATACTGCTGGAAAAAACGAATCTCTCGACTCTCGGCGTGGCTCGACTATGAAGTGTGACACTGAAACTACCGGGAAAGACATTGATATTCACACCCAAACCACAAAAATCGACCTCATAGTCAAGCCCAAAAAGGAGAATCAAAACCAAAAAAAGTAGAAAAAAAAAGAAAAAAAAAATGACAAACACGATAGCGCTAGGTCCTCAGGACTCAACAGAGATGATATACTCAGGGAAAAGAAGCTCGACAAATTCAAGTTTCTTGTTTAAAATCAAAACCGAAAACCCGTATACATTGAATGTGCATGTGTAATATAAATTTAAACGGACGTCGTCTGGATCTCGGCTTCGTGCTGCTGCTGCTGCGGCAGGCGCTCGCCCTCTTTCAGGATCTTGGCCTGGAAGTCGCCGGACTGGTCGACAGCGTCGGTTGAGGCGGTGATCTGGTTGGACTGGATATCGTTTTCGGGCAGGTCGGACGTCGAGTCGGGCGAGTGATTCCGGTGGTTCAGGCCGTTCTCCTTTGGCTTTTCGGGCGACTAAAATCATTTTCTTCATTTATACCGTCTAAAAACCCTCAAAACAATCAAATTCTCGACAAATCCCCAAAAAAATTATATTACACTTGGTCTGCACCCATCAAAAAACACCCACCTCCGTGCTGCTCGACGGTTCGGTGACTACTTTCTCTTGCTTTTGAGGCTTTCCTTTGCCATTTTCTTTCTTCTCCACTTCCTCATTCTCATCATCTTCATCATCATCACTTTCATCGTAATCCACCAAGCTCTAAAGACAAAATTCAATAATCTTCAAAACCACTTACTTTTACAATAATCGGCTTGTCAAACTCCAGTTCTCCATTTCCAGCTCTTTGAGGGCTCGAGTTGGGAGATCTTGTGGTCGAAACGCTTCGATTCATATTGAACATGGCTCTTCTCATTCCCGCCGACGCCGGTCTTGGAGTGGTATTGTGGGCCGAGTTCGTGGCTGGGGACGAGTTGAATCTTGGGCGTTTTCTTTCCGGCTCCGTGGCCGATACCGACGAGGTGACCAGGGGCGAGACCGGGGCCGAGTTCGAGCCGAACTGGACGGGAGCAACGTTCACGGTGCTTCCATTTTCTTCATCATTCTCTGGAGGTGGGGATGGGGTGTCCAGACGGTCACTGGCGACTTTGATGAGGATTTTGCGGCTGGAGGATGAGATGGATGGGGAGAGGGAGCCGCCAAAGATCGAGGCAACACCTTCTTCGTCCGAGTTCACTAAAATTCATCAGATTATATAACATTATATTCAATCATGACCCCAGCTGACCTAGTATAATATAAAAAAGTCTCCCAAAACCCCTCAAAACTCCCTTACATTTCCTCTTCGCCACCGACGGGTACATTGGCTCCATGCCGCTCTTTCTTTGCGGAGATCTTCGGGTAAAGTCGGTTTCCTCCTCCTCTTCCTCCTCATCTTCATCGTCCTTGGAGAAGAACAGCTCGTCATTGTCGTAGTCCCTTTCCTTGGACCATTGGGTAGGCAGTCGTCGCACCGGCGACTCCTCCGAACTCATCGAGCTTCCAATGTCCACCTTGCAGTTCTCCAACGCATCATGGCGGATCTTCATCTGCTTGAACAACTGGACATATTCAATCTCCTTCAGGGTCTCAAAGTGATTTTCGACGGTGTATTTCAACAGAGGGACGACTGATTGCTAAAAAACCAAAGAAATTAACACATTTTACCTTATTTTAGAGACTTTCATAAAGATGCCGGACTGATTTTTGGTTTTTGCACTGTGCAAAAAAGCCAGGGTGCGAGCGACAACCGAAAAAAGAAGCAATTGCACGGTGCAAAAAGCAAGAAATTGCACAGTGCAAGTTGAACTTTTATTTTCGCACAGTGCATGTCGCTGGTCCGATATTTCATTTGCACTGTGCAAAAAAAAGTCAGGGTGAGAAAAGCAAGAAATTGCACAGTGCAAGTCGAAATTTTGTTTTCGCCCAGTGCATGTCGCTGGTCTGATTTTTCGTTTGCACTGTGCAACAAAAGCCTGGGTGAGAAAAGCAAGAAATTGCACAGTGCAAATTGAAATTTTGTTTTCGCACAGTGCGTGTCGCTGGTCCGACTTTTCTTTTGCACTGTGCAAAAAAAGGTCAGGGTGCGAGCGACAACCGAAAAAAAGGCTCTTGCACAGTGCAAAACCCAATAAATTGCACAGTGCAAAAAAAACTTTTATTTTCGCACAGTGCGTGCGCTGGTCCGACTTTTTTCTTCTTCACTGTGCAAATTGAACTTTTGTTTTCGCACAGTACATGTCGCTGGTCCGACTTTTTTCTTTTGCACTGTGCAAAAAAACTTCCAGGTGCGAGCGACAACCGAAAAAAGCCTATTGCACGGTGCAAAAAGCAACAAATTGCACAGTGCAAAGAGAACTTTTATTTTCGCACAGTGCACGTCGCAAAAATCACTCCTGCGACTTCCCATAAGTCCTGGAACCCTCAAAATCCACCACCCAACAACCAGTACTTACATGTCGGGCCAGAATAAAATCAAAAAACTCGAGGATGGCCGAGTTCATCAGGTTGTATCTGTTTCCGTTCGTCAGCAGGGCCTCCACAATCGGATCGACCACCTTCTTCTCCACGATATACTTGATGTAGGCCTCGTCTTCGTGCTGGACCACCTTGCGGATGACCCTCAGGGCACACAGTGCCATGAACTGATGCTTCGATTTCAGGAAAACGGCGACCGTGGACAGCAGATCCTTGGCGATCACGAAGTTCCGCATCGACTGCATGTGGTTTTCCACGCAAAAACTGAGAAGTTCCAGGATCAGGGCCATCTGATTGGCGCGGTAATAGTCATCTGGAAGGAAAAAATATTAGAATTCATATCAAAAACCGTAATTTTAGACATCAAGTCTCATGTGTAATATAAAAAATCATCTCAAAATCATCGCAAAAATACCAGAACTATTTCAAAAAATCATTTCATACCTCAAAATACCATGTACAATATAAAAAATCCCCAAAATCACCCCAAAAAATTACCTCTAATAATATTTCCATCCTTAATATTGACGAATAATGGCTGCACCAAAGTGTCGATCACTCTTTGGTAAAACATAAAAAAGAAGTCCGTCTTTTCTCCCTTGCCCGAGCTCTGCTTGTCCAACAAACTTCTGGGCGAGGTGCGGGCCACCGCAGCCAACGTAACAATGCTCTCCGCGTCCAGCAAGTTCCGGATCAGCAGCGAAATATTATTGGCGGTGGTGAGTTCGGGGTCCTTGTCGAGCATGATCAGCTTCACAATCTTGTTTAGGAGAACATCATCCTAAAAACGGAAAAATCCAAAAAAAAAAAAAATTCAGCTTACCGGTTTGTCCTCGGGGATGCTTTTGGCCTGTTTGAAGAGGAAATCCCTCATAAAAATGGGATTATAGTCAATAATCATGCTGATGACATCAATGCAAGCGACTCTGGTGCTGGGATACGGCGATGAGATGCACAGGTCGATTCCGGCGAGCATTTCCTGATTCAGGATGGTCTTGAAGAACTGTTCACGGCCGCCGCCCGAGGCCTGCAGGGAGTGGACGAAGGAGCAGAACTCCTTCAAGAACTTGGTGAGGTCGCGGCGTCGGATTTGCGGTGTTTTGGGGTCCTTGAGCTCATCGAAGAGCTGTCGCATCAATTCCTTGTCGTTCTGAAAAATGATTAGTGTTCATGTGGAGACAGAGTGAGGAAGGAAAGAAGGCGGCAGTCTCATCGTTGAATAATTCAATTTTCAGTCGCACAAAAAAGGACAAAAAATTCGACAATTTCGAAACCAAAAAACGTCTTCCTTTTCTTTTTCTTCTTACCAACAGCGCCGAGACGATCTCCGCCCGCGAGAAAAACAAATGGCTGCTCAGGCAGGTCAGCAGATTCTCCTCGAACAGCGATGGTGCTGGCAGGCAGACGTCCTAAAATACGAAAAATTAGCCAAAACTTGGACCACAGCATCAAAAATCCCCAAAAATCATGAAAAACACCTAAAACAATATAAAAAATCTCCCTCAAACCGCCAAAAATCTGAAAATCTCCTCTTTCTTCAACAAAATCATCCCTCAACTTACTTGGACATACTGTGCCCGATATGTCATTTGAATTTTCTTCTTCAATTCCTCAGTTTTAATTGGCAAAACCTCTCTAAACTTGGACTTCTCATACAGAAATTCTCGATGCTTCTTTGGGCCATTCGTTGGGTCATATTCGAGCATGCCGACCACTGAGTAAAAGTACTTCTCATCCAGTAATTCGTTCAGAATCATATTACTATTCAGAAGGAACATGTTCTTGGCGATATTGTAGAAGGAATGCAAATGCTTTTCGCTCTCCATGTCTTCGCAAATTTTGAAGAGGTCGCAGAGTTTGGGGATGTATCTGAAGACAGATTTTAGATACAGAAGTCGCCTAAATGTGAAGAAAAAATAATTTTTATCAAAATCTTACCCTTGACTTTGCAGACTGGACGCCATTCGCTCTCTCGACGACGGACTGCTCATATGGCCGCTGAGCAAGGTCTCAATGTCCTGTAGATTGGCCAGCGTGCATGTTGGAATGGAGATGCTCGGCCCCGCCGAAAGGGATCCGTTCGAATTAGAGGAGTCGCTCTGCTGATCGTCAATGTCCGCCTCTTCGTCCGCATCCGGATCCTTGCCCTGGATCTGACATATCCGGTCCCAAATCGCCGTACATCCATTCTTTTCTTGGAATGAGAGGGCCAGGTCGCACGATTCCGACTCGGACCACACGATCAGAGTGCCCTGCTGTCGTTGATACACGGTATCTCGATGCACCGGGCTCTCCAAAACGTTCTTTTCTTTAAAGACGTCAGGAGTTGAGACTGCCGAATTACCTGTTGCCTCGAGACGCACCACAATGCACCAAGTGGCCGGATCGTCTGGGTATTGGACACATGCGACATGGCCGGTGCCTCGATCGTCCCAGATCCGCTGATCGCACAGCACGTAGAGTTTGACTCTGTTGGTGCTGTTCTGTAAGAAAGTTGCAATTATTGTGGGAAAACCGCGATTTTACGGACAAAATTATATTATCCATGAGAAGAAGGCCTAAAAATCAAGAAAAAATAAAAAAAAATCGACTCACTCTCGCAATCTGAATGTCATTCAGTCTGTCTGCACTCAGTTCTGATGTCGAAGGGACGGCGCCATCACTAGAACCCGACGAATTTGAGCTGCTATTACTGTTTCCTTCCTCTCCATTCTCGACCACCTCGTTCTCCGGCTCCTGATCTATGGCGTCGGACTTCACCAACTTGTCGGTCTTGACCTTCTGCACTTCCTCGGCCTTGTTTTCATCTTCACGAACGGCCATTTCCACTCGTTCCTCCGACATTCGTAGTTGGGGAATTGAAAGTCCAAAATCTTCAGAAATTTGGGGGGACTTTTTGGAATTTATAAGCTACAGATCATATCAAACTGGGTCCCAAAATTTTCTGCAAACAAAAAAATATATTACACGCGAGGGAAAATTGATTCGAAACGGTTTAAACGACGAGTTCCGCGGAAAAACACGTGACGAAACTAAAATAAGGTAAACAAATAAACAAAGCACAAAAGTAATAAGACTTTTTATCGAAAAAAATGTGTAAAAATCCCCGCTCAACCTTGTTTTTGTGTTTTCCGCAAGTCATATGACCTATGACCACCAAAAAAGTCGAAAATTTGAGATTTCCGTCGAAGTTTCAACAGATTTTTAAACTCACACTTGTGGGTGGCAATTAGAGTCGGATTGAGAACGAAACCCACAAAAGGAGAGGGCAAAAGGTGCCATGAAGCTTTTTTCTTCCACTTCACCAAAAAATTTACCCATTTTGTGGCGCCTCGAACCGAATTCGTACTAACGATCAGCTCCGAGGAAGAATATCAAAAATAAATCAGAAAACGCCCGCCAACCGACTCTCCCCAAAAAAAAAGTGCAAAAAGAGCAAAACAAGGAGAAAAACAGCTCCGCCGAAAGCAAATCAGATCCGGCTGGAGATTCGGCACCGCGCCGATATTGCACTTGAGCCGGTGGATTCCAAATGCGTTCGCGGTCCATTCCGTTCGTCTCGGTTTACGCGAATTTCGCGTTTTCGAAAATCTTTTTTCGCAAAATTATTTTTTTTCCAGTTTTGCGCGCGACCGGCCACAAGTGACGCACAAAACTATTTTTGGGCGGCGGGTCTCGCCGCGAAAAGTGCGGCCACACGGTAGAATTTGAAAGTCTTGGCATTGTGTGGCAAGAAAAAAATTGCTCGGAAGAAACTTATGGATAACGAAATCGAGTGAAAAAGGGTGGAGTTGGTGAGTAATTCGGCGAGAAATTCACTTTCTTGACGAAAAATTTTTATCAGAGGGCAGATTATATTACACTTGATGTTATTTGTCAATTTTTTGCTGTTTTAGACGTGTTTTTTTCTGAATTTGTTGATGAGTAATCTCCAAAGGTTCTTATATTATTTCACTGTTTACTTTTTGTTTGGAAAACGTCTTTTTTACAAGTTTTACCTCTTTTTTTCTCCCGCTGATATTATCCATGACCTCGTGGTTTGATTTTTCTATTTTACTTATCTAAAACTATTTTCCCTTCTAGCTCTTCAGTTATGAGGCGAGTGTTTGGATCCTCGAAGCCAAAAGCACCTCCACCGAATCTCAGCGATGCGATTTCCAACATCGATGCACGTGCTGATACCATTGATAAAAAGATTGGGAAACTGGATGCGGATCTGGTCAAACTGAAGGATCAGCTGAAGGGAATGCGAGAAGGACCGTCGAAGAACCTTGTGAAACAACGAGCGCTTCGGTAAGTCGCGTATTTTTTTATTTATACGCGTTTTAGATTGCTCAAGCAAAAGAAGCAGTATGAAAACCAAAAAGCTCAGTTGGACACGCAAAGCTTCAACATGGAACAGTCCAACTTCGCCATTCAGTCTATGAAGGATAATCAAGTACGTTCTGAGTTTGTTTTTATTTATTTTCGACGTTTAGGTCACGTTTTCGGCGATGCAAGATGGACTGAAGGTGATGCAAAAAGAATATAAGAAGATGAACATTGACAAAATCGACCAGCTCAACGACGAGATGGAGGACATGCTAGAGATGAATAACGAGGTGCAGGACGCTCTATCACGGCAATACGATTGCGCTGATGTGAGTATTCGACTAAATTTATATTATCCATGCCAACTTCTTGGAAATTTTTGCGGATTTTGACATGAATCTTGATTTCAGATTGATGAGACAGAATTGGAAGCCGAGTTGGAAGCTCTGGGAAATGAGCTGGACTTTGATACGGACACCTCTTACCTCGATGAAGCCCTAAATGCCCCAGGCGTTCCGAGCAAAGACCCCGGGGTCCCAGCGAGCTCGAAACAAAGCGGAGTCCTCGTGGACGAATTCGGACTCCCCAAACTCCCGGCATAACCTATTCATGTATTCTGGCTGGTCTAAATTTTCAACTGAATTTCTTTTGCTGCTTTATACTAAAATTCTAGATAAAATCAAGCGGTAAATTGCAATTTCAGCTAGTTCCAACTGTGTTTCGTTAAAATCAATGTAATTTTCACCTTAAATTTGTATATAAACACCTTTAAACTCGAGTTTTGAAAAAATTTTTGTCTAGTGTAATATAAATTTTTTTCAAATCCCGCCGAAAAAACGTGATTCCCGACGCCGGAAGTGAGCAAGAGAACGGCTAAATCAATATTGACCCTTCGCCGCGTTTGGCACCCGTCCAAAAAACCCCCCGATTCGCAAAAAGCTCTTCGGCTGACTCAGAATAATAAAAGCGCCTGTTTTTGGTCCCGAAATGCGTAGGCCGTGGGGGAAACGAGGCCAAGCAGCCCATTCGACGGGCTTCGGAACCGAAAAACTCGTCCGATCAATAGGAAAATCGAATGCGATTCGGGGTTTATGCGAATTTCCAGAGCCACTTTCGAGCGGGAATTTCGGATTTTTTGTCGTATTTTATAATTATTTTTGCTTTTTCGTATATTAAGCTAATGAATTTTGCGCTGGAATACGAGTTTTTTTGGGATGCTTGTCTAGTGTAATATAAAAAAATCGTTTGCTGCAGAAAATGGGGCGCGAAAAGTCGGTGGAGCCGGGCCATGAAGACAGCGAAGTGGAGGTGGTGGATCGAGGAATCACCGGCTTCAGTCAGATCAAAGTTAATTGTAAGTTTAGTGCGAAAATTTGGCCCAATTTTTGGCTGATTTGACGGGATTTTAATGCAATTTGGAGGTGATTTCGAAGTTTCAAGATGATATTGCACAGTGCAGAAAGAAGAAAAATCTCACTGTGCGCCTCGAACCGTGCACTTTTTTGTTTTTTGGACTCCGCACTGTGCTGAAATATCGCTGCGACGTAAGCAAAAAATTTGCACAGTGCAAGCGGTTTTTTTGAGGTTTGCACGGTGCGAAAAGAAGAAAATGCACAGTGCAAACGGCTTTTTCGAGGTTTGCACAGTGCAAAACGAAAAAATTTGCACAGTGCAAACGTTCTTTGAGGTTTGCACGGTGCGAAAAAAAGAAAAATGCAGTGAGCGACAAGCCATGCGCAAAAAGACACCCCATTTTGCACCGTGCATCTCACTTTTTTTTTGTTTTTGCACTGTGCAGTGAAATATCGCTGCGACGTAAGCAAAAAAAGTGCACAGTGCAAAACGAAAAAAATTGCACAGTGCAAACGGCTTTTTTGAGGTTTGCACGGTGCGAAAAGAGGAAAATGCACTGTGCGTTCGCGACAAGCGTGGGAAAAAGTTCAAAATGCACTGTGCGAAAGGAAAAAAATGTCCACACACTTTATGAAAAATGTGGCCTAGTAAAAGGGTTTCCTCAAAATTTTACGATCTGATTTTGGAATCACTGTTAAAAAATTCTCAGTCTGTCGGGAAAATAATGAGCGCAATGTCGCTCGCGTCGCTGAAGTGAAAAGTAATTTGATTTTTTCGCGTTGCAATTCATTTTCTCGACGGCGATGTGGATTTTCGATGAGATAGGATGTTCATTATTTTCCCGACAGACTCATAGATACTAGGGTCGCCTCTAAAAAACCTTTTTTCTAAATTTTTCGATTTCAAATTTTCTCTGGTCCCCTCTTACCCTGCCCTCTTGCTAAATCATCCACTTAAAAAAATTTTTTTTGAAATTTCTTTCCCAAATCTCCGTTTACAGTCCAAAATGAGCATCTGACCCGTCTGACGCTCTCGCACAACAAGATCTCCTCAGTGCCGCCGAATATCAGCGACCTGGTGAACCTGGAGATCCTGAACCTCTGGAACAACCATATCGAAGAGCTCCCCACCACCATCTCCTCTCTCCCCAACCTGAAGATCCTGAACGTTGGCATGAATCGGCTGTACAAGCTGCCGCGCGGCTTCGGCTCCTTCCCGCGGCTCGAGATCCTCGACCTCACCTACAACAACTTGCGCGAGACCAGTCTGCCCGGAAATTTCTTCTTCATCCCCACGTTGAGGGCGCTCTATCTGGGCGACAATGATTTCGAGTCCTTTCCGGAGGATGTGGGCCATCTCGTGAACTTGCAGATCTTGGTGCTCCGCGAAAACGATCTCATCGATTTGCCGCGACAGTTGGCGGCCTTGACCAAGCTGAAGGAACTGCATATCCAGGTGAGGACCTGAATTTATTTTCTCATTTATTTTGCGGGCGATTTGGCTTCTCAAATTTTGGATTTTGCGAATTTTATTTTTCAAGATTTTTTAAGTCATCATCAATTTCAAAAGGTCATAACTTGCTAGTAGCACAACCAATTGCCTCAGAATTTGGCACATGTTTGTCGCATGGTGTCGAAATGGCTTTAACTAGAATAGTTTTTGATTCATGCCCCCAGGGCTTAACCTACAACAATTTAAAAATTTTTCCGAAATTTTGGCACAATTTCTCTCGAAGTGCCGCAATTAACCTAAAATTTGGTATATGCTTGTCTTACAGTGCTGAAATGACTCAAGTAAAATAGTTTTTGAATCACGCCCTTAGGCCTTTACTTACGGCTATTCAAATTTTTTCCCTGAAATTTTGGCAAAATTGCTTTCAAAGTGCCCCAAATGATTTAAAATTTAGTATATGGTTGTCTTATAGTGTCCAAATGACTCGACTAAAATATGTTTGAGTCTTGCCCTCAGGGCTTGAATTATGGCTATTTCAAATTTTTTACCGAAATTTTGGCAAAAATGCTCTCAAAGTACCCCAAATGACTTAAAATTTAGTATGTGGTTGTCTTATGGTACCCAAATCGCTCGACTAAAATAGCTTTTGAATCTTGCCCTCAGGGCTTGACTTACGGCTATTTAAATTTTTCCCTCGAAATTTGGGCAAAATTGCTCTAAAATTGTCCGCAACAGCCAACAAATGTCTGAAAACCTCTATGGACCTCAATTTCGCTTCAGGGCAACCGTCTTCAAGTGATTCCCCCCGATCTCGGCGCTCTGGACCTCATTGACAAGAAGCCGAAGCAGGTCACCCGCGTCCTTCGCGTCGAAAACAACCCCTGGATTGGCCCGCTGCGGGACGCGCTGTATCGCGACGGAGTCAACGGCTTCTGGAGCTATGTGCGCTCCGACAACTACCATCGACTGTACAGCGGGCATCCGCGCGGAGTGGGCTCTCCGCCGCCGAAGCGAAGCAAGGAAAAGAAGATCAGCCGGATCGGAGGCCACAAGGAGTAAAAATGCCATTTTGGAGAGAAAAATATCGTCGTATTTAACTGCCATATGTTTTTAGAGAGAGGTTGTTATATTGTCTTGAATTGTAGTTACTTTTTCTTTTGATTTTTAGCGATTTTTTATCGGAAATTTATCGAAAAATGTCTTGAAGTCCTGAAAAATAAGGTTTTCAGATTTTTAATGTAATTTTTAGACTATTACAAGATGCTGATAGGTCATAGCAATCGTATTTAGACGTGTTCTTCTCTGTTCTACTATTTTCTTTTAGTTTTGCTACCATTTATCTTCTCCATGACTAAAAAATCATCAAAAAATAAAAAAATTTTGTCAAATATCGAGTATAACATTGTTATATCTCCTTATAACGTCCTTCTTTGCTCTTCTACCTTCATCTAATCCTGATTACATAGTGCCTTAGAGCCTGCTCTTCCCTTTGCAACTCAAATTTCTCAGCTGTTCCGTCTCAAACCAACAGTTCAAAGGGGTTTCCTCCCTCAAAACCGCCGTTCTAGTCATGGGTGCTACCTTTTGGCGGCCGCTATCACCCGCACACATGTTTTCTGGACACTCTCTCGTTATCAGTGCCTCTTGTCCGCACATTTATTTGTATAATCTCGCCGTTCCCCGCCACATAATACGTGCCATTAATAAATATCTATCGTATTTCGCGAATTGTCATCATTTTTTCCGAACTTTTCGGCCCGACGAAATTTGAATTTTTTTTAATTCTTATTCAAATTTCTGCGCTCAAATTTCGAAATGTGAATGAGAATGAGCCGAGAGTGCGGGTTGTTTACAGTTTTTTGCGAAACACATCAAGTGCTTCTGTCAGTCAGCGTTGATAGTGCGGTCGGTGGCGCGTTCAGCCTTCATTCGAGTCGAATTCGGAGCGGAAAAGATGGTCAATTGTAAGCGCTGCGGGCCCAACATCAACTGCGATGGGTGTGCCACCCTCATCAAGAAGAGCAAGAAGCCCGGCGAGCAGAAGGTCAAGCTGGAAGACGTCAAGGGTGAGATTTTGGGGCTTTGGTGATCAGCTGATATTATACTTGAAAATTTGATGTGAAATCGAGGTAAAATTGAGATGAATGTTTTGTGAAAGCTAGGTAAGGATATATAGGTGAAATCTAGGCTTGTTTCTTTTGTGAAATCTAGATGAAATCTAGGTAAAAATGAGATTTTGGGCTTTGGTGATCTGCTGATATTGTACTTGAAAATTTGATCCAAAATCTAGGTAAAATTGGTGCCTAGAGGCTTGAATTAGCTTATATTTGGCTTATTTTGTCACCATGAGGTCTGATTTTAGTTTTTTTTATAAAAAAATTTTTTGAAATTGTTTGATTTTTTTAAAATTTAGTGTAAAATACGACGGAAAATTGATTGCAGACGCTTTAAAATCACTCTCTATGAATTTTAGCGCCAATTTTGCACAATGGCCTAAGGCAATTTTTTTAAAAAAAAATCCAAAATTTTAAATTTTTTCTCATGGATAATATAATTTTTGTCTCGAAAGTCCCGAAAAACAGACCAAATCATAATAGCCGTATCTTAAAATATCGAAAATTTGATTTGATCTTCATTTGCGATCCTGTTGATCTCCAAAATCTCAAAATTTTTTTTAAATTTTCAAAATTTTCAGCCCTGCTCAAGGAAACGAAGCCCCTCCAACCGTCAGAACCCACCGGGAAACTCATCCCGGGCCAGACCTAGCCTCCCCCCAATCTTCTCCACCATCTGCCTCAACATGTACCGTATTCTTTGTGCGTAATTAGTCAATAAACGGTTATGATTTTGTCTCATTCCGATCGTTTTATTACGTCAATCCGAGCCCGCCGCGGGTAATGAGGCGAGCGCCATAAAGTGGAGAGGAGAGAGCCGCGTGGATATCGCAAAAGTTTGTCCAATACAAACAGAATTCGAAGCGAGATTGATCCGCGGATCATATTGGAGTTGGGCGGGCTGGGATATAATTCATATTTTTGGTATCTTTTATACGAAATATACGATAGCTTTGACTATAATACGCTTTTTTTACGTAAACTTTTTTTGTGTGTAGACTTTTTGGCCAGGCGCACAGTGCATTTTTTCGCCTTTTCTTCGCACAGTGCAGGCTCGTCGAACATTTTTCGCAGTGCAATTTTTGCACCGTGCATTTTCCATTTTTTACGCACAGTGCAGGCTTTTTGAATAATTTGCACAGTGCATTTTTTCGCTTTTTTCGAACAGTGCAGGCTTTCCGAATTTTTTGCACAGTGCATTTTGTCGCTGTTTCCGCACGGTGCAGGCTCTTCGAATTTTTTGCACAGTGGATTTTTTCGCCTTTTCTTCGCACAGTGCAGGCTCGTCGAACATTTTTCGCAGTGCAATTTTTGCACCGTGCATTTTCCATTTTTTTGCGCACTGTGCAGGCTTTTTGAATAATTTGCACAGTGCAATTTATCGCTTTTTTCGCTCAGTGCGGGCTTTCCGAATGTTTTGCACTGTGCATTTTGTCGCTGTTTCCGCACGATGCAGGCTTTCCGAATGTTTCGCACCGTGCATTTTCCATTTTTTATGCACAGTGCGGGCTTTTCGAATCATCTTGCACTGTGCAGATTACCTCCTTTTGCACGGCGCAGGCTTTTCGAAGTTTTTGCCCTGTGCATTCGCTTGTTGAACAATACAGGCTTTAGAATTTTTTGCACAGTGCATTTTGCATTTTTTGCGCACTGTGCAGGCTATTCGGTTTTTTCGCACGGTGCGGGCTTTTCGAAAATTTTGCACAGTGCACTTTGCCTTTTCTTCAAACAGCACAGTGCATTTTGTCGCTTTTTTGCACTATGCAAAAAGCGACTTCACCCATCGCGCAAAATGGCTTCAGGAATGTCGCAGCGACTCTGTTCAAAATGGCATTTGTCGCGCGATGCTTCGGCTGCACAGTGCAAAATCTCAAATGCACGGTGCAAAATGGACGTTTCTTCACTTTTTCTCCTTTACTGTGCAGTCCCGCGGCTAAAAAACGTACTCATTGTACAGGCGTTTTATTGTACGCTGTACCAAAGATCAGCTGAGCAAATATTGAAGAATTCCTCTTGTTGGCGATCAAACAAACCCCAAATTTTTGGCCATATTTTTGCCGGTTTTGCGCGAAACAAATTTGATTTTTTGTCCTTTTTTTTCATTCCGAGCAATCCGATTTTCGATCATTATTTTCCCTGCACACTGATAGTATAGAAAAAAATTTTTAATACCGAATTTCAAGTTTAGTCATCGTCTTCTTTCAGCGCCATTCTCCGCGATGAAGAAGATCCCTCGACTCCGTCTCCCCACACATGATGAAATGGAAGACTTTGAGGCCCGGCTGGAGCTCCTCTACCTCGGGTTTCATCGCATAGTCTTCGGCTCACACGACCTCAAATCCACGGGAATTCTGAATGGATCCAATTTGAAATTCCTGAAAAAAGTAGGCGGATTTTCGGAAAGGCCTTGGGTCATTTTACAGTGTGCCGTGTTTTCATATGCAAAACGGAATTTTTAATTGTTTTTCATCGACATAGGGGGGAGGGTAAACAAAGTAACATTTGAGATATTATGGGAAAACCCAAAAATATTATTGGTTTACCTGACTTTCGGCCAAAACATATATGTTATTTTTGCAATTTTGGATTTAAAAATTCAATATAAAGGGTGGAGAAAAGTGTGTTTTTGATAAACATGGGACTGCCGAGTTGTCAAATAAGCGTTTTCATAAAGTGCATGGACATTTTTTAGCATCGCACAGTGCATTTTGAACCATTTCCCGCGCTTGTCGCCAACGCACAGTGCATTTTTACTTTCCTTTTTCCGCACAGTGCAATCCTCAAAAAAGTCGTTTGCACTGTGCAGACATTTTTCTTCTTTCGCACAGTGCATTTTGAACCTTTTCCCACGCTTGTCGCCAACGCACAGTGCATTTTTACTTTCCTTTTTCCGCACAGTGCAATCCTCAAAAAAGACGTTTACACTGTGCAAACTTTTTTTGGCACCCGCAAAGTGCATTTTGAATCTTTTCCCACGCTTGTCGCCAACGCACAGTGCATTTTTACTTTCCTTTTTCCGCACAGTGCAGACCTCAAAAAAGTCGTTTGCACTGTGCAAACGTTTTTCGTTTTGCACAGTGCATTTTGGACCATTTCCCACCCTTGTCGCCAACGCACAGTGCATTTTTCTCTTTTCGCACAGTGCAATCCTCAAAAAAGACGTTTGCACTGTGCAGACATTTTTTTTGGCAACCGCAGTCGCCAATGCACAGTGCATTTTCCTTTTTTCGCACAGTGCAATCCTCAAAAAGGCCATTTGCACTGTGCAAATTTCTGACAGCGACAAAGTTGAAATTTGCGGGCATCGCAGCGACATTTCGCCGCACAGTGCAAAAACCAAAAAAAAGGGGGAGTGCACTGTTCGAAATCGGGATGTTTTTAATGCACCGTGCGGGTCGCGACAATTGCCCATGCACTTTCTTCTGTCTGTCGGGAAAATAATGTGGATTTGTCGGAGCTTTGGAATGGCTTCGCTTTGCAACCGCTAGCGGCGGTTGGAGATCTGGTGTGAGACATTTTGCAGCGTCAAATCCACATTATTTTCCCGACAGACGGATATTTCCATGCACTTTTTGAAAAAATCCATGTATTTATAGGCACTATCAGTCTGTCGGGAAAATAATGAGCACAAGTCTCTTGTCGCGGCTAGCCGTCGCAAAACGCTGATGGGCGATTTCAAGGCCAGACGAATCCACATTATTTTTCCGACAGACAGATATAGTAACTATCAGTCTGTCGGGAAAATAATGAGCACTTTGTCGCATCGAAAATCTCATCACCGCCGAGAAAATGAATTGTGTCGCGGCGGCAGAAAACTCATTATTTTCCCGACAGACTGCTGTCTATAATACCTTTTCAAAAATACTGATCTCTGCACAAATAAAAGCGATACGAAAATCCGGAGTATTTCCGGATTTATCCTTCAAATCTTTTTTTTCGTAAACAACAGGATATCAAGACATATGGAGTCCAACATTTCTATCATATTATTGCATTTACATCTGTCTGTGCGGGATTATCTTCCCAAATCTGGGGAGCTTTAATCTCGGTGTGCTCTCTAATCTTGTTAATGTTCTGGAGGTAAGGTTGGATTTCATTACCACTCGGATTAAGAGGGGAAAGGTGTTAGGATTGGGCTGAAGAAGGTGTGTATAAAAGGTGGAGTTGAAATTGAAGGTGTGCATTGTATGTATGTATATTTTGAGAGGGAAAAAATACAGCAGTTTTGTGGCTGATATACCGTAACCACTACGGTGATTAATGAACGGCAATGAACAAATTTTTTCTCGCGTCGGCGGAACGACAATCTTTCGACGAAGAGATTGGACGCTTTTTTGAAAATTACACCTCGTTACAAACGCTGCAGGCGAACTCTCCCCTTTCCTGAACTCTCCCCCAATCCGAACTTTCCTGTTTTTTGAACACTCCCCCATTTTGAAAATTGAAAAAGTTAGAGGCGACATGTTATACGATAAAAAATTTTTTCAAAGTGAAAAAAAGGTGTGACATGTTATACGATGGAAATTTTTTTCACGTTGAGAAAAAATAGGTGTGACATGTTATACGATGAAATTTTTTCAAATTGAGAAAAAATAGGTGTGACATGTTATACGATGGAAAATTTTTTCAAATTGAAAAAGATAGGTGTGACATGTTATACGACGAAATTTTTTTTTCAAATTGAGAAAAAATAGGTGTGACATGTTATACGATGAAAAATTTTTTCAAATTGATCGTATAACATGTCACACCTATTTCTTCAATTTTAAAAATGGGGAAATGTTCAAAAAAGGGGAGTCTTCATTCAAGGGGGAGTGTTCAAAGAGGGGTAGAGTCCCTGCTCAATCCGTTACAAAGCCCAGACATCTTGACTGCGGATGACATTAGGTTTTTCTGGGCTGGCTTAATATCAAAATTTTGGCTAGTGCTTTGCATACACAATCTTTGCTGACGAGACAGTACGCGGAATGCAGAGAACAGTTGAGAAATTTTTTTATGCCTTTGTTAATTTGAAGTGATGAAAATGGGCTTGTCAAGTTCAAAATTTCCCATATTTTCTGGCCTTTTTTACACTGCAGTGATCATTGAATAATGAGCTGAATTATTATTTAATAACTCCAAAATTGGTTTCACGAGATTCCGTGTTGACATTTAGGGCAAAAAAATTACACTCAAGCCTTGCAAAATTTCGAGCGACAGCTTGATTAACTTTATATAGACATTTCCGGTTAACTTTTGATTACTTTTTGACATTAATCTTACTTTTTGACCTCAATTTACCATGTAAAGGCAAAAAAAACTTTTTTTTTGCATTTTTTGCTTGCAAGTGTTCGAATAATAAGAATACAAACAATATACTAAAAAAACTCCATTTTTCCGGTTAATTGGACTCATAGGCTTACATTGAAAAGTCAAGTGGGTCAGAGACCAACGCCGAGTGTCAAGAGCGGATCCCGAAGCCGACGGTCCGCCGGCTGTTTGCGCTTTCGGTTCGTCTTGTAAATAAATATTGGCTGAGTGCGCGATTATTCATTTTTTTTTTGATTATTTTCTTTTCGAATGTTGAGTCTGGCCACTTTTGCATGTTTATTACTTTTTTCCTCGTCTTACATTCTCGTTTGTCGTGGCAAAATCGCTGAAGACAGCGCTAGGGGGTCGAAAAGTCTTGGATTGTCTTTGCACTGTGCAGTCGGCATCGCAAAGTGCGTTTGCGCGACAAACAATTTGCACTGTGCGAATGGAAAAAAGCACTGTGCAGTTTTTGGCGCAAGAGAAAAATGCACTGTGCAGTTTCCGGGGCGGGTAAAAAAATGCACAGTGCAGTTTCTGAAGCGAGTAAAAAATGCACTGTGCAATTTTGATGGGGTTGAAAAATGCACTGTGCGGTTTTTGGTGGGGGCAAAAAACGCACTATGCAGTTTCCGGAGCGGTTAAAAAATGCACTGTGCAGCTCCTGGGGCAAATAAAAAACGCACTGTGCAGTTTTCGATGGGAGCTGAAAACGCACTGTGCAGTTTCTGATACAAATAAGAAACGCACTGTGCGGTTTTTGGTGGGGGCAAAACACGCACTGTGCAGTTTCTGGAATGGATAAAAAATGCACCGTGCAGCTTCTGGTTCAAGCAAAAAGCGCACCGTGCAGTTTTCGATGGGAGCTGAAAATGCACTGTGCAGCTTCTGGGGCAAATAAAAAACGCACTGTGCAGTTTTCGACGGGAGCTGAAAACGCACTGTGCAGTTTCTGGTGTGAATGAAAAATGCACTGCGCAATTTTTGGTGGGGGCAAAAAAGGCACTGTGCAGTTTTTGAAGCGAGAAAAAAATGCACTGTGCAGCTTCCGGGTCAAATAAAAAACGCACTGTGCAGTTTTTGAAGCGAGAAAAACTGCACTGTGCAGTTTTTGGCATGCCTAAAAAACGCACTGTGCAGTTTCTTATGTGAATGAAAATTGCACTGTGCGGTTTCTGGTGGGAGCGGAAAACGCACTGTGCAGTTTCTAATGCATGCAAAAAACGCACTGTGCAGTTTCACCTCGCGACATCAGTGGGATCGAACTTTTCGGAAAGTTCGTTTTGCACTGTGCACTTCACGTTGCCGCCGTTTGCGGAGGCGACAGGATTATCGGACTTGGAAGTTGTTTTTTTGGACCCTAGAAATGAGATTTTTCCATAATAAAATCCGTCCTCATTTCAAACTTTTTTGCAAAGAACCCCACTCTTGTTTACTTTCTCCGTTATGACGCACGACATTCTGCACTTATTTATTCTCTAGTTCGTCCCTAACAGCCGAAGAAACCTTAGAACACCAGAAAAAGAGAAGGCGATATGACGGCCAAGGATGCCGTTCCTCTCTGATCGCGTTCTGATTTTCGCGCGCCTCCCGACTTTTCGGGTCGACGGTAGTTCGGGAAAACCCTCGATAAAGGGCATAGTTCAGGTGGATACCCAAAAAAAAGGCTGTAGGAAATGTCTACGAGGCCTGGCAAAGCCGTTGGATGGTCGGCGGAGGCTCGGCGGAGACTCGGCGGAGATGGCGGAGACCTGCAATATGCCCATTTTTTTTCTTTTATCTACAGTGAGGGACCTGATCCAGTGGTAAAAAACGTGTCATTTTGCATCCGGGAAGTATCAAAAATGTGGCGAAATACCTCCCTCTCCAACTAAAAAAAACTCCGTTTTGAAAAATGCACCTTTTTCTCTCAAAAAAAGAGTGGGTGCGCTTTTGAAATCAGAGTTTTTTCACTTGGAAAAGGAGGAATTTTGCGGCATTTTTGATGCTTCCCGGATGCAAAATGGCATGTTTTTTGCTAATGGATCAGGTCCACCACTGTATTACTAACGTTAGTTTTCTTCATGCTGCATTATTTTAGTATATAAAATACGAAAACTTACAGAGAAAAAAACGAAGATCCGTAACTTTTATCTAGATATTATTGATGTGAGAACATTGTAAAATACCTCAAAATAGATGATAATTAAGCTATTTTAGGACCTGATCAGTCTTTCAGTATTGTTATTTCTACAAACTAAGCCTTCTCCTAGCCCTTTTCAATCCGGAATCCCATCAACATGCCCTTTTCCGGCCTCCCCAATTCCCTCTCCAGACAATTGCAATGAACCCTGATCCATTTCGGAGATCAAAAGCCCGTCAGAATGTCGGCGAAACCCCCCACTTTAATTACCGGAAGAAGCGGGAAAACAGACAGGTGCTCAAGTCGGCGAGAGATTGCGGAAATCGCAGAGTGCCCGAGGCCATGAAACGGGCATTCCGTGCATTCCAATTGCGAGCCTAATTGCCTCAAAGTTCGTGAAAACGGTCTTGAAAAAGTCATATGGATTCTTGGGCTAATGCCATGGATAATATTATAATATCGGCTGTTTTATGGGGAATTGCTTCGAAATTGTTGTCTGATTTTGCGAACGGAGGAGTGATCGATGTGGCGAGCGTGATTGACAAATATTCGGGCCGGCCCTAAGGCCTTTGAATGGGGGTTTTTGGGGCCGTTTTGTGAGAAATTGGCAACTGTTGAGGATGATTGAAATGGAGAAATTGGCAACAAAAATGAGGGCAGTAGCTGCGAGATAAAGAAAAAATCAGATTTCCTCTGACCCGCTCTGTGTTATTAGTCTGTTCTGTCTCTCTGACTCACTTTATAGTGTTATCAGTCTGTCGGGAAAATAATGTGGATTCGTCGCGCGTTTTGGAATCGCTTATCATCGCTTTGCGACGATTGCCAAAACTGGATGTTTGGTACGCGACAGCGGCCAACAAAACCTCAAAAATTTTGACATTTTTTGGGGCGAGAAATCCACAGTATTTTCCCGACAGACTGACAGCATTTTTTTCAAAAAGTGCGTAGATTTTTTTTGTGGCGACAAATCCACACAATTTTCCTGACAGATTGACAGATTTTTTTTTCAAAAAGTGCGTAGACTTTTTCTTCGCAGCGCACAGTGCATTTGTTTTTTCGCCTTTTTGCACGGTGCAATGTCTGTCGCGTGCGCCAAATTCGCGGCGACGCTGTCGAAAAGCCTTTGCGGTTTATGTCGCGCCCTGCACTGTGCACAAAAAACCTCTGGTCTTTTTGCACCGTGCATTTTATCTTTATTATTTTGGGGGTCTGCACTGTGCAAAACGAAAGAAAAAATGCACTGTGCGTTTGCGACAAGCGAGGGAAAGAGTTCAAAATGCACTGTGCGAAAGAGAAAAAAGTCTACGCACTTTATGAAAATTTTATGCTTTTTCAAAAGTGCGTGGACTTTTTGTCGCATGTTTCTCGGCCCCCTGCATTTGACCTTTTGTACTGTGGAATTGAAAAATCGTCGCGTCGCAAGTTTTTTTTAAGTCTACGCACTTTTTGAAAAAAAAATACTATCAGTCTGTCGGGAAAATTCTGTGGATTAGTCGCAACTTTTTCCCCAATTTAAAGCCCGGCCCGAATATCTGCAAACGAACTTATAGTTATTGCATAAAGTGCATAGACTTTTTTTCGTTTTCCGCACTGTGCATAAAACCCCTTTTTTCGGGGTGTATTGGACCTTTTGCACCGTGCAATTGCAATATCGCTGCGACGCCCGCTTTTCTCAGCTGAATCGGGTCGAATTCGGGCGTGCGGAAAGAAATTGCAAGTGCAAAGTAATACGAAAATTATCGCGTCAACATGCCCTGGGAGAAAAGGCCGAGAAAGTCTACGCACTTTATGGAAAGACAAGTATCTGCACGTTCCGCTTGTTTTTGTCCATAATACAATTCCACTTTCTACCTGAATTCGAATACAATTATCGGCGTGCTCCTCGTGGAGAGTAAGGCGTTTTATTCTGCACTTTTTCTTCAATAGCTTTCGTAAAAAAGGGCTAATTGAAGGTTGATTACAACTTTTATTACATCACAAATGGCGCTTACTCTGCGATGCTCGCGGCTTCATTTCAATCGTTTTTGTAGTCGAATACATATTTTGAAGAGGTATTTGACAAAAAGTTGATTATTTAGAGTTTGAAGAAGGTGGATTTTACAAGGAAATAAGCCAGATTCGACAGCAAATGCGACGCTCAAATTTTCCTCGAATTTTGTGTACACTTCGGGCACGGGCGTCGACGGAAGTTCGGGAAAACCCTCGATAAAGGGCATAGTTTAGGTGGATACCCAAAAAAAAGTTGTAGGAAATGTCTACGAGGCCTGGCAAGACCGTCGGATGGTCGGCGAAGGCTCGGCGGAGGCTGCGTATACTTGGCGAAGACTTGCAAAATGTCCACTTTTTCTTATTTTATCTACAGTGAGGGACCTGATCCAGTGGCAAAAAAGTACCATTTTGCATCCGAGAAGTATCAAAAATGTGGCAAAATACCTCCCTCTCCAAGTGAAAAAAAAACTTCGTTTTGAAGAGCTCCATCAGAAAATGAGCTTTTGAAACCAAGTTTTTTCACTTGGAGAAGGAGGTATTTTGCCACATTTTGATACTTCCCGGATGCAAAATTCCAAGGACTTTTTGCCTCGAATTCATTTTTTGAAAATTTTTGCTCTTGCCGCCGAAAGAAAACACAAAACGAAAAGAAATCATAAAGACTGAGCCGTCAGAGAGGAAAAAATTTTTTGGCTTTCTTTTGTCCATAAATTTCCTCAATTGGTGCACTTGTCTGCTAAATTATTCGGGGCTAAGGTAGTACAGCCCCCCAGTCCAGTTTCGCCCCCCATGACCCAGTACAACCCCCTTCGTCCATTCTGAACCCCAAAATTTATTTCAAAGAATTAATCCAAGTTGTATGGTCCAGCACAAGCCCCCTACGTTTTAGATGAAGCCCCCTACGTTTTAGATAAAGCCCCCTACGTTTTAGATGAAGCCCCCTCCGTTTTAGATAAAGCCCCCTACGTTTGAGATGAAGCCCCCAACGTAGTAGATCAAACCCCCACTTACATTTTTTGTATTATTCTAATTTTTTCATTATGTGGGGTGTGAAACGGGCAAAACAGTGGGGGTTTGAACTACCTTTCGTTGGGGGCTGAACTACCGAAGCCCCAATTATTCACTAGGGAAGTACCCCAAGTGCGACGCTCAGATTTTCCTTAAATTTTACACACGCGTCGGGCATAAACTAAATACCAATTCCTGAAATTTTTAGCTCACGCTTTGCAAACGCCGCCGAGATATTGAACGATTTTTGCCGCCGAGAGAGTACGCTAAACGCGGAGAGCGGTCAGAGAGAAAAACACTTTTTGGCCATAACTTTGCTAGTCTCATGCGGAAAAAATTAATTTTTTGTGGAAACATTACTCTCTATGGTAGAAATAGGTATGAAAATTTTAGTGCCGAAATTCGGCAAAAAGTGCCAAAATTTCGTGGACTTTCGATCTAAAAATCTTGGTTGCTATTGCAAAGCGCAATCTAGAATTCTTGCATGTATTTTCGAAAAAATTGTTCTAAATTTGTGCCAAGTTTCATCCAAATCTGAGCGTCGCACTTGGGGTACTTCCCCTGTCAGTTCAGTAAGATCGACATATGTGCTCATTATTTTCCCGACAGACTGATAACTGACGATTTCATATAAAAAATTGCATTTTTTCTTTGATTTTTTGATTTTTCATTGATCTTTGTTTTTTTTGTCATTTCCAAACATCACCACTTGTTTCAAACCGCCCTTTTTCTATGATATTTTTGACTTCCCGAGCCCTTCAATTTCCCTCAAAACTACCATGTTCCCTGACAATACGCTTTAATTACCCCTCTCCCATTGATCTTCCCTCATAATTCTCGCCCGTTTCATTACGACTCCCATAACAACCAATTAGTCATGGCGCATAACTTTTCGGCCGCCTTGTTCGTTTCGAAAACCGCATGCCCTGCGGCGTCGAATGTGTTCCCGGCCATATGGCTTCTACATGAGGTTGATCTCGGCTCGGCCGAGATCTCTCGGAAATCCCGGCGCCTCAGGGCCGGTTTTTTTGTTTTTGGGCGCCGCATAAACACGTTTGATTTTTGGGGTGTCTGACATTTGGGGGGATGTTTGTGTGTTTATTTGGGGAAGGGTCGGGAAAAATCTCTATCAGTCTGTCGGGAAAATGATGAGTATTTCGCGGCAACAATCCTCGTGTCGCTGAAGAGAAAAGCAATTTGATTTTGAGCGAGAGAGTTCATTTTCGGCGATGCAATTTTCGCTGCGACAGAGTGCTCATTATTTTCCCGACAGACTGATGATACATCTATACATATAGACAAATATATACTTTTGTAAAGTGCATGGACATATCAGTCTGTCGGGAAAATAATATGGATTTATCGGACCTTGTAATTGCCCATTATCGCATTGCGACGGCTAGAAATTTTGCTGCGATAAATCCACATTATTTCCCCGACGGACTGGTAACTTATACTATACAGAAACAGTGTACTGTAAGCTTCTTGGCAATCATGATTTATCTGTCTGTCGGGAAAATAATGAGCACAATTTCGCATCGAAAACCGCGTCGCTGAAGTTAAAAGCAATTTGATTTTCACAATTCATTACCTTGGCGGCGATGCGATTTTGATAGTTCATATATATGACTATATATTTTCGTAAAGTTCATGGACATATCAGTCTGTCGGGAAAATAATGCATCGCACTTTGAGCCTTTCCCGGGTATTTCCGAACGTTGGGAAAGACTATATTATTATGCCCATCTGACGTAAACCCTAATTAAATCCATTTTGTTGTGTTTTGTAAACATTTTTTGTAGGAATAACAAGAACGGGGAGAACTTGTAGTCGGATTATATGTTGGAGAAGGCAATTTCGTATTTACGTATGGCTTTGTATAATACAATTTAGAGACAAAATTTTGATACTTTTTTTTTGAAAAATGGACCAAAAAATTTTGTTTTTTAAAGGGTTGAGGGCTGACATGAAAAAAAAATTTTGTAAAATACGTCATTTCTAAAAAATAATTTTTTGTGGCAAAAATAAAATTTTTTTTTTAAATTTTTTTAAATAAATTTTGGGTCGCGTTATGCGGAAATGTCAAGAAGATGAGTTTAGAAAAATCAAAAAATTTGTTTTTTTTTATTATAAAAATTTTTTCATAACAAAAATTTTAAGTCGCGTTATGCAGAAACACCCCAAAAAATTTCAAAAAAAATTTTTTTATGCAAAAAATAATTTTTTATTTAAATTAAAAAAATTTTTTTTTATTTTTTTAATAAAAAAATTTTAAGTCGCGTTATGCAGAAACACTCAAAAAAATAAAAAAAATTTTTTTTTATTCAAAAAATGTTTTTTATTTAAATTAAAAAAAATTTTTTTTGTTTTTTCATCAAAAAAAATTTAAGTCGCGTTATGCAGAAACACTCAAAAAAATAAAAAAAAATTTTTTTTTATTCAAAAAATGTTTTTTATTTAAATTAAAAAAAATTTTTTTTTGTTTTTTTCATCAAAAAAAATTTAAGTCGCGTTATGCAGAAACACCCCAAAAAATTTCAAAAAAAAATTTTTTTTATTTAAAAAATATTTTTTATTTAAATTAAAATTTCTTTTTTATTTTTTTTTGAATCTTTAGCTTCTGAGGCGAGATTTTACCCCCAAAAAATCTGAAAAATTCTTTTTAATCTCTCAAACTACTTTTATTATTTATTTATTCTTATTCAAGCTGACGAATTTCCCTCCAAAATTCGATAAATAAATCAATAACACTGTGTATCCATTACCCACCTTTCTAGCTCTCCGCATTCCAAACCCCCGTCTATTTCATACGACATTTCGTATTCCCCGCCAACACTTTCCCATTGTCATTTATTCATCGCACTTTCGACACTTGTTTCCCCACCTTTGTCTTTGTTGTATTGTATGTCGAAAGTGGGTTCCTGGCAATTAATCAGGCATTGTTTGGGGAGATAAATTTAATGATGGGTTGGGAGGCACTGGCCATGGGGGTTTTGGGGGGAGAATTACATCAGACTTGGGGAGAAAATATATAAAGACTTGGGTGAATTTAAGATCGAAATTTGAAAAAATCGTCAAAGAATTGTATTTTTTTAAATTTTTTATTTTTCTACGAATTTTTTGATTTTTTTTTTGATCGCATTATGCAGAAATTCACTTTTTTGGGATCGAAAAACAAAGAATTTTAAAAAGTCTCTGTGATTTTTTTTGAAAAAATATATTGCAAAGCCGATTTTAACGTTTTTTCAAACCGCGTTATGCAGAAATTTCAGAATTTTTTGGATTTTAATTTCAAAAAATTTTATTTTTGATAAAAAAAACTTTGCAAAATAAAATTGACAAATTTTTTAATGAGTTTTATGATTTTTTGGAACATTGCGTTATACAGAAATTTACTTTCTTGGGCGCAAGAAAAGCAAAGAAAATTTAAAAAATCTCAATTTTAATAAGTCATTTTTTTTAAAATCTATATTTCAAAGTCAATTTTGACAATTTTTCAAACCGCGTTATGCAGAAATTTCAGAATTTTTTGGATTTTAATTTGTGCTGGACCATACAACTTGGATTAATTCTTTGAAATAAATTTTGGGGTTCAGAATGGACGAGGGGGGTTGTACTGGGTCATGGGAGGCTAAACTGGACTGGGGGGCTGTACTACCTTAGCCCCGAAAATTTGAAGAAAAATTGTTTTCGACAAAAAAAAACTTCGCAAAATGAAATTTACAAATTTTTATGAGTTTTTTGATTTTTTGGCATATCGCGTTATGCAGAAATAACCTTTTTGTGATCAGAAAAAAAAATTTTTTTTGACCTTTTTTAAATAAAAAAATAAAAAAAAAAAAATTATTTTTTTCTCTTTTTTGTATTTGTAAAATACGGATTTTTATATATTATATATTCTCTCAATTATGACCTTTTTTATTTTTTTTATTTTTTATGTCATCATTTCTGTTGTCGTGTAATCCGAGCCTTCTTTTCTCCCATATATCCGACACTCTGACGACCAAAAGCGTTCGATCACCTGTTCCGAAAAATAAAATTCTCGGCGTGAAGAAGCGTCGATTTCGGACCCATTTTGAACTCTTGACCCGAGGGCAAACTCGTTTTTCGAGGGCCCGGAAGCCTTTTCCCTGCAAATTTCAAGCACTTTGTTGACGAAAAATGTGGGAAAACAAAAAAAAATGGAAAAATATTGGGGTAAAAATTACTTTTCAGCAGTAGGAATTACTGTAGTTTACACAGTAATTCCTAAAAACAAAATTCAAAAAAAAATTTTTTTTTTTTTTTTTGAGGAACCTTACCCTTGGCAGATGAAAAAAACGGCTCAGATTGCCAATTGAGTAGGAAAAACAAATATTCTCGGCGTTACCAGCAGTGTAAGGGTTGTCAAACAGCAAAAGGCCAAGGTTTTTGTTGGAAAAGTTGTTCCGTAATTTTAATTTCATCCTAAAAAAAATAAAAAAAAATATTTTTCGGCGTTTGTACTTCGTATTTTACATAGAAAGCCCTGAAAATTCTGAAAAGTCAATTATCAAAAAAATTTTTTTTTTATTTTTTAAATTTTTTTTGCGGTTTTAAGTTAAAAAATATTTAAAAAATCTTACTGAACAGTCATATTTTACATAAGAAGCCCTAAAAATTCTAAAAGTCAATTTTCAAAATTTTTTTTTTAAATTTTTAAAAATTTTTTTGCGGTTTTTAGTTAAAAAATATTTAAAAAATCTTACTGAACAGTGCAGAGAATTTTTTTTTATTTTTTTTATATATTTTTAATTAAAATTTTTCAAAAAAAAATTTTTAAAAATATTTTTTTTGCACTGTGCAATCGATTTTTTTCTATTTTTTTTACAATTTTATTTCAAAATTAAATAAAAAAAAATTAAAAAATTGATTTTTTTAAAAATATCAAAAAAAAAATAAAAAAAAAATATTTATTTTTTCCGCACTGTGCAAAAAATTTTCTAGCCGCACCTTGCAAAATGTTTTTAATTTTTTTACCCAAAAATTTTAAAAAATCAAAAAAAATTTCATAATTTTGAAAGACCAAATATTATACCCCACCTGAGCTCCCATCTGAAGTGTTTTTTAATCCAATATAAATTTCACTTCTGCAAATGCGCAAAGCAAACTTTGGCCGAGCGTAAATAGCCCTCAACCTTGAGCCGGAACCTTTCAAATTGCCCTTGCGCATCTTCAAATTACTGTAGTCCCAAAAATGGAGCGACGAATGCGTTTCAAGGGAACCGCCATGGCCAGCGGCTGGAAGCACTGGATTAAGGTGGGATTATAATGTGTAATAGACCTTGGAAATTTGTCTTATAGGCAGATAACAGCAAAAAATAGTTCAAAAATATAAAAAAATACAGTAATTTTAAACAAAAATACCGTGAGGATCACTTTTGACGCATTTTTCTCATTTTTTCGCAATTTTTTGACTAAAACTCATAAAAAATCAATCAAATCAAACCTTTTTATTTATTGTAAATACACTGTAGAGTGTCTGCAACCTCCGTAAAAGCTGATTTTACTATCAGATTACTGTAATTTGCCTTAAAATCCAATTAACCCTAAAAATTCCCAAATTTCCCTCATTTTCACTAAATTTCTCATAAAAATTGCAATATCTACGGCAATAATTCTTTCCAACAACATGTCAGAGGCATCAGTCTTCTCTCAAAACTATTAATTTTGCATTTAGATTAGTGTAATCTACATAAAACTCAAAATTTCCCCATTTTTCCGAGATTTTTCGCTAAAATCTCTCAATTTTCTGTAAATACCATCCATTTTGCTGAGCTTCAGTGCATGATACAGGATAATCTGCTGCAATCTGCTGTTGGAAGTTCTATACGTATCTTTAGAACACTGTAATATGCGTAAAAACTCGTATTTCTCTCAAAATCCGGGAAAATTCCCATTTTTCCTAGATTTTTTGCAAAAATCTCTAAATTTTCGGCGAATACTGGTCATAGCGATGTATCTTAGTGTTTCATAGGAAGCACTATGCTCTTAGAACTTCTGTACTTACCTTTAGAATACTTTAATTTAACGTTTTTGCCTTGATTTCCCCGAAATTGCCCTAAAAATCAGCGTTTTTCAGCAAAAAACGCAAAAATGTTCTGCAATACCCACATTTTCAACGTTATCAAACCGGATTAGCCAAGATTTGAGCCGTTAAAAAGAACGTATACGGATTAGAAATGAAATGAATTTTGAATGGGGATTACCAGCTGTTACATTGGTATCTTACCGATGAAAAAAGCAGATATAATGCCTTCAAAATCTCATTTTTGATTCGTTTCATAATTTCCAGTCTCGCTTTGCTACTTTATGAGGCACTGTTTGGTCAGCCATTATCCTAGAGGCTTGTTCAAATACTAATCCCTAAATGGGACATAGAAAAACAATCGCTAAATGGGACATAGATCCGAATAATTCGAGACCTTAAATTGAGCTTCTATTGATCTACTCTTGTTCCTTCTGCTGCATGAAACAGAAGCAGAGCAAGATGAAGTTCTTCACGGCAAATCGCAAGTTCAAAGTGAGAAATTTTGGGGTTGCGACTTTTCGGGTCAACTACAGCTAAGATCAACGATACTATGGAGTATTATTCTCCATAGTATCGTCGGTTGTATGTATAGGAGAGGCTAGGAAAGGGCTTGTTTATAAAGTAGAAATAATAAGATTGATCGGGTTCATTTTACATCTACAGTGGCGGACCCGATCCATTGACAAAAAACATATCATTTTGCATCACGGAAGTATCAAAAATGTGGCAAAATACCTCCATTTCCAAGTGAAAGACTCCGATTTTAAAAGCGCGCTTCTTCAAAACAGAGTTTTTTTACTTGGAGAGAGAAGCATTTTGCCACATTTTGGACACTTCCCGTGCGTTTTTTGTAACTGGATCCGGTCCTCTACTGTACTCACATCAATAATGAATAGATGAAAAGTCAGGGATCTTCTTTTTTTTGCATAAAATTTTTGTGTTTTATATGTTATAATAGCTCAGGGCAAAGAGAGCTAACGTGAGTAAAAGCTAAACTTAGAGGAAATGGAGGTATTTCAAGCTTTTGCCATGTCTCCGCCGAGCTTCCAACGGCTTTGCCAGGCCTCGTAGACACTTCCTATAAGCTTTTTTTAGGCATTTACCTGCTCTACACCACCTATCGGTCGATTTTGTGATGACCTAAACCAAAAGTTAAGACGCAAAAAATTTGATTTTTATCAGCAAAAAACCCCAAATTTTTCTCAATTTTCCCCCCTATATCTCCTAAAAAAACGAAAAATTATTAGTTGCAATAGCACTGAAAGAAGTTAAAACCAAAGTAACCCAGTTTACAAAGCCCATGTCATAATCATAGCCCCATAACAAGCTTATTACGGATGTCTTTTAGCCAATTTCAGGGGGTGTTCCTCTTTCCCTTGCTTTTTATCTTTTTGAACTTTTTGGTAAATAAAATAATTGCCTTTATTACCATCCCCCTGCAATACGTGCATTTTCACACTGCTCTGGACATGACTTTGGACTGTCTTTTTCCACTAGGCCGCCCAGAAAGTCTTGACATGTTTTTGCACGGTGCGTGAATTTGGCGTTGCGACGTGCTGTCGCGGGATAAAAATTGGGGGTTTTTGTGTCCGCACTGTGCACAAAAATCCCCCGATTTTTTGCACCGTGCATTGAGCTTTTTCTTGGTTTTGCACTGTGCATTTGAAATATCGCTGCGACGAAAGGTTTTTTCAATTGCGCCGCTGCGATTTTGATCGAAAATATAGTCCAGCAAAAAAGTCCGCGGAATGGCTGCACTGTGCTGTTCGCGCATGCACTGTGCATTTTTCAGCGCGCACAGTGCAAATTATAGGGTGCGCGCGACGGAATTGGGGGCACAGTGCGAAAAGACGTTTCAAAGTCATTGCACAGTGCAAAAAGTCCCCTTTTTTTGGGTTTGCACGGTGCGCTCGGTTTCGGCCGGATTTCGGCGACGGCGCACGGTGCGGTTGGCTCCCCGGTTGGATGCACAGTGCGGACTTCAAATTACGCTTAGGGGGTTAATAACTGCAGTAAATTCGGACATTGCTCGACTAAAATGCATGATAATTATAAAATGATGACTGTAGAAAGGATTGTGTATTCAGTGGCGTTTTCTAGGGTTGTTTTACACCAAAAATGTTGTCATACAATAATTTTTGCACTTTCTGAGTGCATTTTTTGCGAAAAAAGACCATTTTTTGACTCTACAAAGGTGTTGACAACTTTATTGACTCAATAATATATTTTGAGTCTTTCAAGTGTAAATTTACTATCATTAATTCAAGATTACACAGTAAAAAGCTCAATCTCTGGAGCGCCGCACAGTGCAAACCGAAGGAAACTTTGGGCTGCACTGTGCGCACATGTGCTTTTTTCCCCCCAAAATCATTCCGCACTGTGCAATCAAGTCAAAAAACGAACGATTTCCCAAGCGACAGCCCCAATTTCGGCGACATGTCGCAAGAAATTTCGATTTTCCTTCAAAAATCGCTGCGATTTCCAAGGCGAAACAGAAATCCAACTTGCACTGTGCGAAAAGCCCAGAAATGGCCGCACAGTGCCGATTTTGGCATTTGCACTGTGCAAAATCCAAATGCACCGTGCGAAAAATCAATCGCGCGGTCTGCACTGTTCTGATTCGAAACTGCACTGTGCGGGGTGCGAAATCCATTCCGCGGACTTTTTTGCTGGACTAGTACTAGTCGCGCCATAAAGTCCTGACACATTTTGCACCGTGCGAAAGTTCGGGATTTGGACGTCGCGCCCCCAAATTCGGGTTTGTCGCGCGCGAAAGTGCACGTCGCTAGCGCAAAAACGGGAAATCGCGGCGACAAATGCGAAAAGATGCACCGTGCGGATGAAAATGAAAGAGAAAGCACGGTGCGAAAGTGCATGTCGCTAGTGCAAAAATGGAAAATCGCGGCGACAAATGCAAAAAGATGCACCGTGCGGATGAAATGAAAGAAGAATGCGCGGTGCGACGTCCAAACCCCGAACTTTCGCACGGTGCAAAATGTGTCAGGACTTTATGTCGCGACTAGTACTATCAGTCTGTCGGAAAAATAACGGCGGATCGTCGCATCAAAATGTCTCGCCTCGCCGCTGTCGCGCACCAAATCCCAAGCCGCCGCTTGCAGTCGCAAAGCGATGATGGGCGATTCCGAGGCGCGACGATCCGCCGTTTTTTTCCCGACAGACCGATAGTCGCGCCATAAAGTCCTGACACATTTTGCACCGTGCGACTGTTCGGGGTTTGGACGTCGCGCCCCCAAATTCGGGTTCGTCGCGCGCAAAAGTGCATGTCGCTAGTGCAAAAACGGGAAATTGCGGCGACAAATGCGAAATGAAAGAAGAATGCACAGTGCGAAAGTTCGGGTTTGGGATGTCGCGCCCGCAAATTTGGGTTTGTCGCGCGCGAAAGTCCACGTCGCTAGTGCAAAAACGGGAAATCGGGGCGACAAATGCGAAAAGATGCACAGTGCGGATGAAATGAAAGAAGAATGCACGGTGCAAAATGTGTCAGGACTTTATGTCGCGACTAGTATGCACAGTGCAATCGGCTTTTTTGAGGTTTGCACGGTGCGCAAAGGCAAAATTCCACAGTGCGTTGAAGACAAAGGTTCAAAGTTCAAGATGCACTGTGCGAAAGAGAAAAAATGTCCAGTCACTTTATGAAAGTGCTAATAGTTGCTGGAGTGACCTCGATGACATCACTGTGCGGAAAAAGTCGGGTTGCAGCCAAAAATAAGTCTATTGCACGGTGCAAAGAGCAGCAACGTTGCGCAGCGCAAAAATTCAGACATTTCCGAAGGCTTTTTGGCCCGCCTAGCGTTGCATTTTGCATTTTTTTGAGCTTTTTTCCTCAAATTTCACTTATAGGAGTACTCAAAAAAATACATATATGTGACGCTCGGATTTTCTTTAAAATTTGCACACAGCTCTGACATATGCCATATATCAATTCCAGCAAATTTTAGCTCTCGCTTTTCATGGGAAGCCGAGATATTCAACGATCTTTTCGAGAGAGTACGCAAATCGCGGAGAGCGGTCAGAGAGGAAAACACACTTTTTGACCGTATCTTCGCCATTTTCGTGCGGAAAACACTGATTTTTTGTGGGAACATTGCTCTTTACAATAGAAATAAGTCTTCTTATTTTTATGTCAAAATCCGCAAAAAAAATTGTCTATTTTTTTCAACTTTTGACCGAAAAATCTCGGTTATTTCCGCATAGCGCAAAGTAGGAGTATCATATATGTCTCAGAGAAAATTATTCTAAATCTGCGGCAAGTTTCATCGGCATCTGAGCGTCGCACTTGAAGCTCTTCCCTTGCCAAAATCCTCATTTTTTCTCTCACGCCCGAGTTCACTGTGACCTCGGAACATTCCATTCCGGCGTTCTTTGACATTCACGAAGCCTGTTCTTCAGCTGAACCTGATCAAATCGCCTGTCAAGCGGCCATCCAAAGCCCTCCGGGGATTTTTTCTCTCGCCCCCTAATGAAAAATTCGAACGTCTTCGAACCGCTCTTCAGATTGCCGACGAACGGCGTTTCCGGTGGGAGCGGCGGGGACAGCGAGAAGACCCCCCAACACCTGTTTCTCCCGTCTTAATGCCGGAGGGCATGGCATGCGGCCCGAGTCATTATTTTTTTTGTTTTCTGTCATTTCGACGTGAGAGGACGGGTTCAGGGGTTGGCGATGGGGAGTTGTACGAAGTTTATGAGGTCCCGAGGCTCGTGAGCAGCGGATCCGCAGTAGTTTCGGTGCGAATAGTTGCCATATTGTGTGGGAAACGTGTTTTGATCGGGATTTCCGTGGATTTCGGAGATTTTTTGCTGATTTACGTTAAAAACGCTTGAAGTACTAGGAAAATCAATGTTGTTTTTGGTCTACTATACACCTCATGGTCTTGTAAATTTACGCGAGGAGTTTTGTCTTCTCTGGGTTACTGTAATTTACCGAAAAAATTGATTTTTTGTCAATTTCCTTCATTTTTGCTCGATTTTTTGCTGATTTTACGTCAAAAGCACTTGAATTACTTGAAAAATCATAGTTGTTTTTGGTCTGCTATAGACTTCATGGCTAGAGTAAAGTTTTTAATGTCTCTTGTCCCGTATTGGTTACTGTAATTTACCGAAAAAATCGATTTTTTGTCAATTCTCTCCATTTTTGCTGGATTTTTTGCTGATTTTACGTCAAAAACACTGGAATTACTGGAAAAATCATAGTTGTTTTTGGTCTACTATAGGCCTCAAGGCTAGAGTAAAGTTTTTAAGGACTTTTTTCCCTATGGGTTACTGTAATTTACCGAAAAAATCGATTTTTCTCCAAAATACGACATTTTTCTTCATTTTCCAAGATTTTTTATGTAAATCTCCCAAATTTTGTAAAATACTGCATAAAATATTCTTCAGTAAGATGTGTCAGAGTGTAATCCACATCCAGAGCTTGTTTACTTTCCCCTGGATTACAGTAATCGTCATTTTTCGTCGGCTTTCCCGCGAATTGCGCTAAAAATAGCGGTTGCTCGTCCAAAAAAGGTGATTATCCCCCGTGTTTTGTCATTTACACCCTCGGCGACAACCAGTAACCCCTCTCTACTTCATAAACACTAATAGGCTCTTCTGCCATTATTTATTCGGCTTTTGGCGGCGGAACGCGGCTGAGATGACCAAAATTATCCGAATCTGCCTTCATAATTGCACTTTTAATGGCCCTAACTGAATAAATAAACATTTGACGTCGGCGGGCTCAACTTGTCGATGCCGTTTCGCCAAAAATACGTGCCTTCTTCGACGCACATTCAAATGTTTACCGAAATTTGCGCAATTTCTGGGGGTTTTGCGAGAAAAAAGCGACAAATCGAATCGCAACCGATGTGTAGCCAGCCACAACTGATTAGGGATTGGAATACATGTGGTGCCGAGTGTACCGAGTGCTACAGGCGCTCAAACAAGCCCGCTCTTCACGCCCAATTTCCCGCATTTCTTTCGCTTTCGCTTTCTTCTTCGCTTGCTTCGAGTTCAATTCAAAGTTCCGGCTATTTGCAGGTCTACGAGACAGCCATGGCGTTGGGTGCAGGTGCTCCGCAGTCTTCCGCCTCGATGATGCAGTTCAGCGAGGAGATTATCAAACAAGTAAGTGCGGGGAAATTCGCAGGAAATTGCTGCTGGGCAAGTATAATATTGGAATTTTTGAATAGAAAAAATGATGTAAACTCTGGGAAATGTTGCTAAAAATACTGTAATTGGGCTTAGAAACAATTTAGAAGGTGTTAAATTGAATGCCAAGATGATTCATGTTTTCGTGGTGGGACTCAAATTTAGTTGTGATGACTGTTAAATTATCAATAAGTAATAGTAAAAATTAGCCTGAAATTGATAACAAAAGATTTTAAATGTCCTAGAACATACCGTACAAGTGATAAAAATGAATGCCAAGCTGATTCATGTTTTCGTGTTGGGACTCGAAATTATAGCCATCAATGGTTTAAAATCGCCAAAAATATTTACACTATGTAATACTAACCGCCTTTACAAACATTTTTAAATGTTCAAAACTTAATGCCAAGAGACTTCAAGTCTTCGTGGTGGGACCCAAAATTAATTGCAATTCCTTGGGAAAACGCTTTTTGGTCTGTAAATTCTTTATTTCGTAGTGTATTGGGTAGTCAATGTTTTTTTGGCAAAGTCCGGGCCAGACGCCCTCAGGGTTTTCGAAGTTGAGCAGACCTGAACTCATCAAAAATCCCATTTCCAAAACTTGCGAAACGCACGCCGCCACTTCAGCCGCCGGTTGTGTGCAACCTCAAGAGGCCCGCAAAACCGTAATCGACGCCGGAAAAACAACGCAATTTGAAATGCAAATGGCCAAGGAGTGGCCAAATAAAAAAGTGCAGTCAAAGATCGAGGAATTGCGAATTCACCCCGAACAGCACACTTTAATGACGTTGAATCGGGATTTGCGACGTTGTAGGGAGCAGTGAGCCCATCGCTAATTACTCGAAACTAATTAAAATTTAATCTTTCTATTTTTTTCGACCCTTTTTTCAGCGATTTTATTGGCCTTGAGGGATAAATTTAGCTGTGACGACGATTTTTTTGATCGACGGGGGGAAAAAGAGATAAGGAAGAGTGGATAAAAATAGCGAAAAAGACTACGTAATGGTGAGGTCAGAGGGGGGATCGAAGAACAATAAACAACAGTGATGGGACATTTTTAGGGTCAAGAGAAAGAGCAGTGATTTACAAGGTAGTCCATATATCAGTCTGTCGAAAAAATAATGAGCATTGTCACATCGAAAATCGCATCGCAAAAGCAAGAAGAAATTTGATTTCCCAGCGACACAATTCATTTTTCGGCAGCATTTTCGATGCGACAGAGCATTCATTATTTTTCCGACACGCTGGTATTAGTAAATATCAATTCCGTAAAAACTGGGGTCTCTGGGAAAAAGTCCTTGATTTTTTCGTTCATGCTCCTCGATTTTTTCGCGCACCATTTTAGCAATATGTGCGTTGTCGGGCAAGAAGTGCACTTTGTCCATTTCTCCTCTACCATTTTTTGCAAAGCGCTCTAATTGGCTGCAATACACTTCTGCAGTGACTTAGCCATTCTGCAAGCCCACCAAACGCACAACATAACCTTAGGAAGTACACTTTGTCCATTTCTCCTCTGGCATTTTCTGCGATTCATTCCAGTTGGCGGCAATACACTTTTGCTGTGGCTTTACCATTCTGCAAGTCCACCAAACGCACAGCATAAGCTTAGGAAGTACACTTTGTCCATTTCTCCTCTTGCATTTTCTGCGACGCATTCCAATTGGCGGCAATACTCTTCTGCAGTGACTTAGACATTCTGCAAGTCCACCAAACGCACAGCACAACCTTAAGAAGTACACTTTGCCCATTTCTCCTCTTGCATTTTCTGCAAAGCGCTCCAATTGGTGGCACACGTCAAAAAAATCTTTCAAAAAATTGAAAAAACAAGGAATCCCGGATCATTGATTTTTTGCGAAGTGTCACCGAATTATCGAGTCCGAAAAATTATTTTTCTTCCAATTGGCGGCAATACCCTTCTGCAGTGACAGCTGTACAATCAGGGAGTATGTATATATAACGAAAGACAACGACAAGGAGATTTGATAGTCGAGAGGATAACGGCAAAGAGTAGTCGATCGGTCAAGACGGAGAGTTTATTCCTCAAAAGACGAGAAAGGAATGAGACAAAAAGTGTATTCTTGTGGCTTTTATAGCCGAATCCATTATGCAAATTTGGCACTATTGCCAACAGTATGTTCCAATAGATCACTGCTCTCCAAGTACCTTATTTATCGCTCAATTTTTCTCATATTTTTAAATCAAAGTTTTTTACACGTGCTTCCCCCCATTACTCCATCAAAATTCCAAAAATAAAACAATTTTTTCTCCTTTTAAGTGCAATTCTCCAATTATTTTCCCCTGATTTTGGCAGTTTCTCGGCGCTAACATGTTGCTTCGTATCTAGTTTAATCAAAAACAACTCCCAAGTTCGGCGTGAAAAAACAGCCACATATACGGTGCAAATGACGTGAAACCGACGCCCTTTTTGATGTCTCAATAAGACAAAAATTAACATGAGACATGTCCAGACATTCCTCCTCATCATTAACCTCATATTTCAAGCTGATTTTGGGTTCGTCGCCTGCGGGGATTTAATTGAATTCGCGTTTAATCAGCCCCCATTTAAGGAGGGGGGCAGTTTGGGCCCGGCCCACCGCCGCTGCCGACAAAACGGAGAGTAAAAAATCTCGAGGAAAAAACGCCCGAGGGGACAGATTATCCGCTCTCTCTCCAATATTGCGCTTCGGATTCTGCGAACACGCGCGCTCCCGCTAATTTATTCTAATTGGCCAATATTCGACTAAAGGCCTCCGAAAAAGTATCTAAATTCCCCCGCAAATACGTCAAATTTACCGCTAAAAATTTTTCAACACCTGGGGGTCCTTGAAATGTCCTCTACATCGGATGATTTGCAGCTGACTCCCGAGGAGATCGACGAATTCCGCGAGGCCTTCATGATGTTCGACAAGGACGGGAATGGGACCATTTCCACCAAAGAATTGGGCGTTGCGATGCGATCGTTGGGGCAGAATCCCACTGAACAAGTAAGCTACAGTATTCACATCTTGATTTTTTATCTTTTTACATCTACTTGACATCAAGTTTGAGTTGAAATTTTCAAGTCAAGTCTTGTCATCTAAAATTTAGAAAAACCTTCGTATTTTAGTTGCAGAAAAGTTGTCCAGCATGAAAATGGTAGCAAAATAATCCACAGGCTATGTAGAATCTATTGATGTCAACTTTTGGAATTTTAGTCCGTCATGATGACGGATTTTCTAGACACTTTTTGAAAATTTGATTTTTGAAATTTTGTATTATCAAAGTTTAAAGTTTGCTTTTTTATCGTTGATTCTATTTGATAGTAGGGTATAATGCAAGTAAAAACATAAAAAATGTTTTTCATAAAGCATTCACACCTTATACTAGACGTTTTCTGACTATACGTCATCCAAAAGCGTTGAATTCAAAACAACCACTTTTACGGCGTTTTAAAGTTAACGTATCATGCTCCTACGCTCTCACACTTGGAGATTATCCCGTCTACCGCATGTTTAATACCTTTGAGCCTGCGCCACACCACTAATTACATCCGTTTTCAGGAGATTCTGGAGATGATCAACGAGGTCGACATCGACGGCAACGGACAGATCGAGTTCCCCGAGTTCTGCGTGATGATGAAGCGCATGATGAAGGAGACGGACTCGGAGATGATCCGCGAGGCCTTCCGCGTCTTCGACAAGGACGGGAACGGCGTGATCACGGCCCAGGAGTTCCGCTACTTCATGGTCCACATGGGCATGCAGTTCAGCGAGCAGGAGGTGGACGAGATGATCACCGAGGTCGATGTGGACGGTGATGGGCAAATCGACTACGAGGAGTTTGTCAAGATGATGAGTGAACGATAATTCCCACATTTTTGGATACTTTTTGATACTTTTTCGCATTTTTCCCCATTTTTTGAAAATTTCTGGCGATTTTTGGCCGTTCTTGGCCGAAAATGTCGAGATTTTTGGGGTTTTTGGGAAAGACTTGTGACAACCATCCTATACGTGTTATCTCAGCCACATGTCATCCCCGTCTTCCTACTGTAATTCGAACTGCAAAACGTTTCTTCCAGTCGCCGGGTTTTTTCGCAGCCTCGTGGAAATTTTTTAACTGATTACGAATCTGAGAGTACATTCCACTAACATTCCACCTTACTTTGTAAATTGAGTCATCATGACGGGATTTTTTAAACATTTTTTTTTTATTTTTTGAAATTTTTATTTTTGAATTTTTGATGTCAAAAGTAATATAAGAGACCTCAAAACGCCCTAAATTTCTTTTAAAATTCCTCATGGCGACATGATTTCCCAATTTTTCATTGTTTTTGTATATTAAATTTGTCATTTTCCACGGTAATTGTAAAGATTTTACTTTGATACTCGATAAATATGCAAATTTTAGAGTGATTGGTTGATTTGATGAAAGACAAGACAGTGTGAAGCTTACGTAATGATTTGTTAAACCGTTCGAGAAGTTAGGCAAAGACGCGAAATAAATATTCAGCCATATATTACAGTACCAAGTACAGTAGTCCGACGGGGTATTATACAGGCAAATCCGTGCGTTTTCTTGGCGAAATTTGCATAAATTTTTTAGCTATGGGGTTTTTAGAGAATCTACGAACTGCTCAGAGTATAAACGACCCAAAAATCAAAGGGTTACTGTGACTTTTTCGCAGCTCCCTCATGTATAATATAACAGATGGAATCTTGCGCATCTCGCAAGTTTCGCCACCATAGATCATTAAAAAGTGCTCGCGAGTTCGCAGCGTTTAATTTCCGGCCATTTTCCTGTTTTCGCCCTCAGGGCTTCGGCCATTCCCAGCCCCATTTACCAAGAACACGCATGCGGATGGGAGAGATAACGGAAAAGTGAGAGAGAAAAAAAGAAAAAAGGAAGAAAGGAACTATTATAGTTAACAAACTCCCTCGCAATGGGGACAACACAGCTTCTCGTTCCAGAAGATCGTACAGTACCTCCGCAGATGCGTCAGACGTTGCGCCATTTGGGAGACGCAGCGTTGCGGAGTCGGGCCGTCTTGTTGCTTCACGGCCGGCGCTTTTGTCCTGGAAAATTATTTGATTAATTGATACATAAATGCATAAATATTTACGATCATTGCTTGGAATTTTGGACGAAAAAAGCAGAAATTCGAAAATTCAAGTTTTCGTGGTGAGACCAAAATTTAACTTTTTCTTTTAAATTTCAGATTTGAAAGTTTGCATCCACACTCTGTACGAAAAAATATTTGATTGTAAAATACATAAATATTTACGATCATTGCTTGGAATTTTGGTCGAAAAAAGCAGAAATTCGGAAATTCAAGTTTTCGTGGTGAGACCAAAATTTAATTTTTTTTTTCTTTTTGAAAACTTAAATTTTTTTTGAAAATGCAACTCAAAAAGTCTGTAAAATACGTCATGTCGTCTGCAAATTCATAACTTTTCAAGCGAAAAATCTCCTAAAATTAAGGCATATTTTCGTGGTGAGACACAATTTTAATTTTTTGGGAGTAAAAATTACACATTTTTTTGTAAAATACGTTTAATTCATCTTGATGAATCTTTCTTTATCACCCAATTAAAAAAAATGCCGATTTTTTCAAAGTCAAGTTTTCGTGGTGGGACCCAAATTTACTGTTTTTGTGTAAAACATTGTAAATCTTTTTGTAAAATACGTCAACACCATCAATATGCATCTATCTTTACCACTCAATCAAAAAATTGCCGGTTTCTTCATATTCAAGTTTTCGTGGTGGGACTCACTTTTAATTTTTTTTGTGTAAAACATTGTAAATCTTTTTGTAAAATACGTCAATGACATCAATCTGTGTCTATCTTCATTATCAAATCGAAAGACCGCTGATTTTTTCAAATTCAAGTTTTCGTGGTGGGACCCAAATTCAATTTTCCAAATTTCTCCAAAACTCATTCAACTCGTCTCGATATCACCTTGAAGGATTGCAACCCTCATTCCGAGTAAAAAATAGCGTCCTTTACCGTTTCAAATACGACTAATCCTAGCCAAACCCATGAAGTGAATGGCTTTATCTTGTTAATCTCACAGAGCATTTGATTTTACCCGGCTTTTTGAAGGATTAGAACTGAACGTTAGCGTGTGATGAAACAGGAAAATAAGTCATAACAAAAATTAATTTGAGTGTAAAGACGGCATTATGGTTCACACTTTTCTGGGAGAATATTAATCCGGAAACGGAAATCCGCTCGGAAAGGAGATTTCCACAAATATCCGGTATTCAGATTGCTTATATAACAGCCCAATTCATAAATTTTTATACATTGTTTGCTTAATTTTTGGTCTCCCCACGAAAAAATTGACCTTTTGGCATTCCGCAACAAGCCTCTAAATCACCAGTAAATTGCCAAAACAACGTTAAATGGTACTAAAACTTATTAGCCATAAAATTTTTAGCATTGTTAGTTGAATTTTTGTCTCACCACGAAAGCTTGAATTTTTGGCATTCTGCAACAACCTTCTAAAACACTGAGAAATTACCAAAAGAAGATCATATAGCGGTAAAATCCATGAATGATAAATTTTCGCATTCTATTTGCTGAATTTTTGGTTTCCCCACGAAAACTTGAATTTTTGGCATTCTGCAACAAGCCTCTAAATCACCAGTAAATCGCAAAAACAACATTAAATGGTAGTACAAATTATTAGACATAAAATTTTTAGCATTATTATTTGAATTTTTGGTTTCACCACGAAAACTTGAATTTTTGGCATTCTGCAGCAATTCTCTAAAACACCAAGAAACCATCAAAAAAGTCTCCAAACTTACGTCGGAGGTCCTTCGGTGACCACATCTTGATTTGGGTAGTTGTTTTCCCTCAAAAATTCTAGAACATCGTCGTAACTCGTGGTCATCCGATAATTGAACTCCACCGTGTAACAGGCCACAATTTTGGCCGAATTATGCAAACATTGCTGCGCCCACGCACTCTTACAGTCTTCGGCGTTACAGTAGAGGAAGTTGAAGGCGTTCCGGCATGAGGAATCGGGCTGGGGACTGCAGCAACGACACTGGAACATTAAAGTAGACGATGGATAATATAATTGGCAAAAACGAATAGGTCGGTAGAGCAAAATGGAGAATCACGGTGTTTGTAAGAAAGCTAGGGGTACTCTTACCTGCTCCGATCCCTCGAACCACGCCTTCTGACTGATGGCGGGCTGTTCGGCGCTGATCAAGTTGAGGAACACTTGGAAACGGCCGCGCTGAAAGTTTCGCGTATAAAATGTCGCCCGGACAAGATCATTCTTTTAAACTTGGCATAATTAATCTCGGGGCTAAGGTAGTACAACCCCCCAGTCCAGTTCAGCCCCCCTTGACCCAGTATAAACCCCCTCATCCAATCTGAACCGCCTACTCGGGATTGGGTTCTCTCGGCTACAATCATCGCTGCCTGAACCACAAGAACGAACTTGGACGGTAACTGGGGGTTTGAGCTAAAACGCCGGGGGTCATTTCACTCTAATTTGCATTTTTTGTATTATTCTAATTTTTTAATTATGGGGGGTGTGAAATGGACAAAACATTGGGGGTTTGAACTACCTTTCGTGGGGGGCTGAACTACCAAAGCCCCTTAATCTCTATAGAGTCTTGAAGGACTGTGCAAAACTACTTTCGCATTATCTTACTCCTTTGTTCAACCTTTTGCGGATTTCCTCATCAACCCCGTTGATTTTCTGCTTGATCTTGCTCTCCAATTCCTTCCTTCCGGGCAAGTTAATCGTCCTCTTGAACTCATAGGCCTTGGCTCCAATCTTGCCGCATTTCGGGGAGAACGCGTCTTCTTCGCCTTTGGCGACTTCTGGCAGGAATTTATGTTCCCCTTGGTTCAGGCCCTGCTCAATCTTCTCGCTGAGGCCGCAGAGCTCGCAGTAGCGGCTGAAATGGAGCAATTCTCACTTTTTTGGGTAAAATACGGTTCTTTTTTCTACTGCATTAAAATTATAACATCACTCTAGTCCGACTGATATTGTTTTTGCGACTTTTTTCCCGAAAAAACTGGAAATTTTCGACTCTCGCAACGAAAACTTGTATTCAAAAGTTTCGCAATCGGCTGTCTGGAAAAACCAGAGTGGAAAGAGCAAAACGACTGACCAGTATTGTCTCTTGTCACGCTCCACAATCCCACTGAATTCATCGCACTGCTGATTCAACAGCCCCGTCTCCGGGATCATCGTGTAAGGCACGTCGAAGCGGATGCCTGCAAAAACAGAATGAAGTTGAAAAATCCTCATTATGAAATTTGAAAAATTAGAGACTTCTGATGCTATGGACAAAAGAAATTCAAAAATTCTGGCTTTTGAATATTGTAAAATACGTAATCGTAATTTTCAGCTAGAATTTTCAGAAAAATGGAAATTCTCAAAGTCACAGAGATCGGATTTTCATCAAATTTTGCATTAACAATCTGTATGAGATGTAAATCAATGCCGCAAAATTTCAGCCAAAAGTTTGCAGTAGTAGCCGAGATATTCAACAATTTTTGTAAGACTATGGAAAATCAGGAGAGGGTTAGAGAAACAAAACTTTTTTGCTATGTTTGACACTCTGGGTATAAAAAAATCATTTTACACTAAATTCTATTACAATCCCCAAACAATTTTTTAATTTTTAGCGTAAAAATGGCAAAAAAATTAAGATTTTTTGCAAAATTTTGTTTTATTTTTTCATTTTTTTGGATCTAATGTTTATAAACTTTATTTTTTTGATTAAAACCACGTCTTGACCTGTTATCCAATGCCCTTTCGGGATGACATCGCGAAGAACGGATATTGCGACAATTCTCTGGATAAAAGACGGATTGCCCTCTCGCGAGAATCGCGCTTGACGCAACAAGTTGAAAACCCCCCGATAATGTTATTTTCTTGATCTTTTGATAGCCTTGATCGTTTGCAGACAACATGCAGATCTCAACAAAGACTTTTAGAGCCCATTTTCAGGCCTTACGCGTAAGATAAGACATGATTTTAGTCATCAAAAAAGTTTTTTGTCATCAAAAATGTTTAAAAAATCATTGCAAAAGTTATGTTCATAGCAAAGGTACCTTATGGGCGATCTTCATCAAATTTTGCATACATATTTTACATAGACAAAGCATCTATTGCAGAAAATTTTGGCTTGATATTCGCAGCGGCGGCCGAGATATTCAACGATCTTTGCAGCGAGAGGTTACTGCACTTTGTTGAGGAGCCGCACCGTGCGAAAACAAAAGTTCATTTTGCACTGTGCATTTTAGTGTTTGCACTGTGCAATCGACATCGCGCGCGACAAGTGCCTTTTTCGGAAGCCATTTCGCGCGATGGGTCAAAATGAACAGTGCAAAATGTCCGAAAAGGGCTTGCACCGTGCGAAAAAAAGGAAAAACGCACTGTGCGAAATAATTCGAAAAGGCCTTGCACGGTGCGAAAAAATACAAACTGCACAGTGCAAAATGGCTTGAAAAGGAGCGCACTGTGCAAAAAGATGCTTGCACGGTGCAAAAAAAGACAAACTGCACAGTGCAAAATGATTCGGAAAGGGCTTGCACGGTGCAAAAAGAGACAAATTGCACAGTGCAAAATCATTCGAAAAAGTGCGAACGACAGCGCACCGTGCGAAAAAAACGCAAAACCACAGTGCAAAATGATTCGAAAAGAGCTTGCACGGTGCGAAAAAGAGGCAAAATGCACAGCGCAAAAATTTCGAAAAGCACCATGCAAAAAAAAGGAGAAACGCACAGTGCAAAATGTTCGAAAAGGTGCAAACGACAGTGCACAGTGCAAAAAAAGGCGAAACGCACTGTGCAAAATGATTCGAAAAGGGCTTGCAAGGTGCAAAAAGAGAGAAATTGCACAGTGCAAAATGACCCAAAAAGGGTTTGCACGGTGCGAAAAAGGGGCAAACTGCGCAGTGCAAAGTGATTCGAAAAGGCCTTGCACAGTGCGAAAGAACGGAAAACGCACAGTGCAAGATGACTTGAAAAGGAACGCACCGTGCAAAAAGAGGCAAATGCACTGTGCGCCACGACAAAGACGCACTTTTGAAAAAGCGTATCATCAAAAATGAGAAGACGGACAAAGAAAAAAAACTTCCTTAGCAAGACTCTCAAAACCCTATAGTCTTACCCGCAGGGCCTTCCAGAATCGGGACCTGCAACGTGACGCCAATCTCTCCGGTCAGGTAGCCGAAATCGTTCAAAACATTGATCTTCTTGAAGTGCAGCGAGTAATTGCCGGGCGCCTTGATGTAGTAGACGCGGTTCCCCTTCTCGTTGATGATGTTCACGTCCTCCTCGGTCATCTTGATCTCGTTCTTCACGCCCCGACAGGAAAACATGTTCATCTCGTCGAGCAGAATGTACAGGTCGTCCGGGTTCGGTTTCTTGGCCCAGCTCGAGGGCAGCGCCGACAGGAGGAGCAATGAGGCCACGAGAAGCCTCATCCTACGATAAGATGGCTGTGTAACCTGAAAGCGCAAAATATGTAGGTACTATCAGTCTGTCGGAAAAATAATGAGCACTCTGTCGCAGCGAAAATGGCCGCCGAAAAAATGAATTGTGTCGCGGCAAAATCAAATTGTTTTTTTACTTCAGCGACACGATTGCCGTAGCAAAATTGTGTTCATTATTTTCCCGACAGACGGTAGTCCGTCCGTAAAGCCGCTGGAATGAAATCAGCGACATGCACTGTGCATAAACAAAAATTCCCTTTGCACCGTGCAAACGGCTTTTTTTTGGTTGTCGCTCGCATTCTGATTTTTTTGCACAGTGCAAACGTCAAAAATCATTTCAGCGACATGCACTGTAAACAAAGGTTCCCTTGCCCTGTGCAATTTTTTGTTTTTGCACCGTGCAGCAAATTTTTTTGGGCTGTCGCTCACACCAGGCACAGTGTCCAAGAATAGTCAAAAGTCATTTCAGCGACTTGACGGACGTTCAAATATGATGACGCTAGGGCGAAAGTTTGGAGGAAATTTAGTTGAAAGGGGTAAGAAAACAGCGGGAGCTTTGGTGGGGTGATTTTGGCAGGAAGTTTAAGAAAATCAATAAAAATATACGAAAAAATTGTATAAAAATTTATAATGACATCAAAAATCGCGAGTCGACATAAAAACTTCAAAAAAAGTCATTAACACATAAAAATTTTTTTTGATTTTTTTCTGAAATTTCCAAATTTTTCCGTCAAAATGTTTTATTTCCAAAAAAAAAAATTTTTTAACTTTTGGAGTGCCAAAAAGTCAAAAAAAAAAAATAACACCCATGCCTTCCGAAACACACACTTTCGCGATTCAGAAAGTAAAAATTGTAGGTCATGAAGCGAAAAGACATAAAAGTCTGTGAAAACGAACATCGGGGGAAACGGGGAAAATATGACTGATGGCGAAGACGTTTATCTCCATAACGCCTTTATAAACCTCCAACCTAAAGCCCTGACTGTAACCGCCAAGGGATTTTATGTCATAATCCTCGTCATAGGTTGGATTAGTCATCAAAAAACTTTTTTAGTCATCAAAAATTTTCTCAAAGATATTACGAAAGTTAGGTTCATATCGAGGGTACCATAGCGTCGATTGTTATGAAATTTTGCACAAATATTGTACATAGGGCAGGTGTCAATTCCACAAAATTTTGGCTTGATATTTGCAAGGGCGGCCGAGATATTAACGGATCTTTTGCGGTGAGATATAATGGAAAATGTGGAGACGGTGAGAGAAAACACTTTTTTTGCCTGTAACTTTTTTAGTATCCCTTGGAAAAAAATAATTTTTAGTGGGGAAATTTTTACTTTGCAGTAAGAAAAGATGGTCTAATTTTCACTATGAAAACCGAAAAAAATTTTTAATTTTTGAAAATTTTTTTTTCAAAATTTTTGAAAAAAATGTCATAAATACCTTACAAAAGTCTCAAAATTTTACCCACTAAAATTTGAAAAAATTCTTCCATCAAAAATTGCAAAAATCCCTCGATTTCCGGCTGATACTTCCCTGAAAACTTTCCGCCAAATCACCCTTTTCCTGAGGCCAATTACCCAGCCCAATGCCCACATTATATCTCCATGACTCAATGGTCAGGATGTGATCCCAACGCCACGCACAGCCCGGCTGTCTGGTGCGGGAAAAACGAGGAAACTTTGGGCTTTTCATCACCCCCACTCGCCCCACCAATTTTTGGCGTCGAGAACAGCGCCGGAGGGGATCGAACGAAAGAAAAAAAAAAGAAGAGTTTTCAGCGCACCGAAACCAGAATATCTTGGGGCGCTGCGGATGACACAAATATCACAAAAATTCGCCCCCCAAGTTCGGGCGGCGAGGATTTTCGACGCGCCGTGGGGGCGAAGAGAAAAAAAGGGGGGCCTCTGCTGATCAGTCGACGGCATTAATAACCTTCCCGAGTCGTTCGAATAAACTCCCAACGCGCTCTCCGATCGCCATGATGCTCCAGCCGATCGTTGGCAGCGAACATGAAGAAGATACGACGAGATGGAAGTAATCATCCCGAGGAAATGGCGACGAAATTGAAAAGGAAAATTTTCAGAATCTTGTCGCTTGGAGTTTCCTCAGATTTTGAACATATTTTGAGCGTAGGCCACTCTCAAGTCTGTTCGCAAAGTCGCCGGAGCGATTTCCGCGACATGCACTGTGCGAAAACAAAACTTCTCTTTGCACAGTGCAATTTTTGCTTTTTGCACCGTGCAGTGGGCTTTTTGGGCTGTCGCTCGCATCCTGACTTTTTTTGCACAGTGCAAACGTCAAAAAACATTTTGGCGACATGCACTGTGCAAAAACAAAAGTTCCCTTTGCACAGTGCAATTTTTGCTTTTTTCACTGTGCAACAGGCTTTTTTGAGCTGTCGCTCGCACCCCAGCTTTTTTCGCACAGTGCATGTCGCCAAAATCGCTCCAGCACTGTGCATAAAAAGCCCCACATTTTGCACCGTGCATTTCACTTTTTTCGTTGGATTCTGCATTGTGCAAACCTAAAAAAATCATTTCGGCTACATGCGCTGTGCGAAAACAAAGTTTCCCTTTGCACTGTGCAATTTTTGCTTTTTGCACCGTGCATTTCACTTTTTTTGGTTTTTGCACTGTGCGGCGAAATATCGCAAGTTTCAACCACGTCGCGGCGTCGGCGCAAGGAATTTGCACAGTGCAAACGGCTGTTTTTTGTAGCTCGCACTGTGCAAAAAGAGAAAAATAAAAATGCACTGTGCGTTGGCGATAAGCGTGGGAAAAGGTTGAAAATGCACTGTGCGGAAGAGAAAAATGTACATACACTTTATGAAAACATAATACGTGATAATTTTAGGTCGCAATTTGCAGAAACAGCCGAGAAAATCAACTATCGCTGTCGACGAGAGAGTACGCGAAACGCGGAGAGCGCTCAGAGAAAAAAATTTTTTTGCCTATATCTCTGCCAGTTTCGTGTGGAAAAAATTGATTTTTTGTGGGAATGAAGATTTCGAGTTCAATATTTGAATCTCATAAAATTTGCAAAAAAAATTTCAAAATTTCACCGATTTTCGATCAAAAAATCTCGGTTGTTTCTGCATAACGCGGGCTCTCTCAGATGTCTTAAAACCTCCCTAGTTTAATTTTCACCAAGTTTCACCACAAGCCAGCGTGTCTCGGCTCGACCACAGATCTTGACCATGTGAAAGGAAGAGACGCAAAGAGAAAAGATCAAAAATCCCAATTTTCGGATGAAATGAGGAAAGTGAAAATGGAATTATTATGAAGAGAAATGAATTCCAAAGTCGTTGGTGCGTAGGATTTGTTGTAATTACTATGCCATTACTTTCCCTCTCCAATTTATTTCGACCTTTCCGTGGGTTGGATTTCACTTTTATTCCGCCGAACAAATTGGAGAGGCGATTCGGAGTGGAAAAGACGATCGTCGAGCAGTCTTTGGCGATAAACAATTACCAGGCGGATCGAAAAGTTTCGGCTGCACGGTGCGACGACGTTGTCGCATCTTTCCAAACGGCGACGAGGCAAAATGCACAGTGCACCCTGATCACACACAGTGTAAATCGGACTCTCTCCGAAAAGCGCTAGTCGCCTCTTGTGTCGCGCGATGAAACTGCACAGTGCGAGTATTTGCAGAAAAAAAAATCGAAAAATTACGTTTACAGTACTGCTTAAGAAAAACAAGTTGACTTCAGAACATTCCATATTCACAAAAATGGGTCTTTTTACCCGTCGGGTCATGGCAAGTTTCAGCTTTTTTGGAGTCAAATTGCGCCCGTAGTGAGCGAAACACTTTGATATTATACTAGACACCTGTTTAAAAAAAAGTGAATTAGTGATGTCGGAGTGAACGGACGTGGCATACACCATTCGAAACATAATTGAATGAAATTTCAGCATGGCAAGTTTCAGCTTTTTTGGAGTCAAATTACGCCCGTAGCGAGCGAAACACTTTGATACTAGTCGCAACATAAAGTCCGTAGAATTTTCTGCACTGTGCATAAACCCGAAAAAGCATTTTGCACTGTGCATTCACCCGAAAACACATTTTGCACTGTGCAATTTCGTTGATTTTGCCTTATTGTCGCGCGCGATTCCCGTTTTTCGCAGCGACAAATCAACATTTCGGAGCGCGACGGAATTTGGGGGCCGCGAAAAATTCTACGGACTTTATGTCGCGACTAGTATTATACTAGACACCTGTTTAAAAAAAAACTTTTTTCTCGCAAGTTCTCCGCTTTTCCGCACTCTCTCGCCCCTCCCCTTCGCAGGAGTTGAAAAGCCTTCGCATTCGCAGTGGAGGGCAAGTGCAACACACGAAAGAAAACTGCGATTTGACTTCCCAAACCTACGATATTCTTCGTGTACTGTTCAAGATGAGTCTTCTACCATATGTGTACGATCCCTTTGCCATCTCTCCCTTCTACGGTCGTCGTTACAGCCCGTTCGATGGAGTGGATCGGTTGGTGAACTCTGTGTTGGACTCGGTGCAGCCGTTCATCGACCAATCCGGCCGACTCATCAGCGCGAATGTGGCCGGCTCTTCCACCAGCTACAATGAGCAAGGTGACCTGAAGTTTGAGTGCGACGCTTCCGGATTCAAACCCGAAGAGCTGGACGTCAATGTGCATGGTCACAACTTGACGATCCAAGGAGTCCACAAAGAAGAGAAGGACGGAGAAAAGGTGGAACGTCAATTCCAGAGAGTTGTCCGTCTTCCCAAGCACGTCGAGATGGAGGAGATTAAGTGCGAATTGGATGAGCAGGGAAAGTTGACTGTCAACGTCCCTAAAGTGGCTGCCATCGAAGAGAAGAAGAGCACCAATATCCCCATCCAGATGAAGAAACAGGATGCTGTGGAGGGCGGAAAAGCTAAGTAAATCTCTGGCTTATCAGCTTTAAATTTTTAGCTTCTTACGAGTGTATACCATAAATTGTAAATTATTGAGATTTTAATAAATTTTAATAATTTTAATTACTGTTGTGGTTTTTTGTTTATTCTTCTGAAGGCATTAACCAGAGTAGTCAACTTTTCCCAGTAGTTTATTTATGCATGAAAATATGGAATTATCGATAAAAATCGAATGTGATGGGACAAGTTTATTCGTTGCCGCGGCTCTTTCTCTTCTGAGATGGTGGTGGGATGCGGGACAGCTGCTGGAACTCTCTTCCTTCTGAATCCGGGGTTGATTTGCATCATTTTTGCAGAGCAACGGAATGGCTCTGTTGGTGACCTTGCTGTCGCCTAGCAACGAGCCCGATCGCTCGACTGATCTCTCCAACTCTGCTGATTGGGATTCTGATTACTATCCGAGGACTTGTTGGCTGATGAGGCCCATTCGCCTTCTCCAAAATCACAATCAACCCAAGTATGTATCTTCTGCGGTTAACGCTGTGCGATTTACGCTCGGTTTATTCGGTAAATTAGACACGCTTAAGAGTTAATGCAAGCCGGCCGTTATAATCAAGAACGATACAATGGTCTTGCAAGATTGGCCAACCATACCGAAAGGCGTACTTGTCTGAGTCATCTGTTGCTCCGATTTTGAGTCGACACAATGTTCCAACATCACGTTCTTCGAACAGCGTAGTGCTTAATGCCAACTGTTGGCCGCCAATGTTGAAGCACAGAAGGAGAGACTTACCGCACTTATAGATGACACGGCCTTCATTGTCAACGGTGCCACTCAGGTAATTTGCAATGACTTTGGCAGCAAAGGGAGGAACATGGATAGTATCCGAGTTGAAGTCGAGAACTCCCAGCCAACTTCCGTTGGTTATCCCGTAATTGGCGCTGACGTTGAAGGTCGGAGATCTGAACACGCATGCATCGGCGGTACGGACGGTCTCGGCAAAGAACTTAACATTTTCGCAGCGTCTTCTGTCAACCTCTCCGATAGTCAGAACACCATCGACAGTGTTGTTATGGCCTTGGTTGTAAAAGTAGGCGGTGAGGAGAGCCGAAGGAATAACTCCGTGAGAAGCGAGTTGTTTGATGGGAGAGGAGAGTCCCTTAACCTCACCGAACCCAAGCCCGAAAACTCCATCGAAGTTGACAAGTTTGTAGGCTTCGTTGAAGCCTTTCACACGCCCGAATTGAATGTTGTTGGCGGTGAGGCCTGGCCGATAATGAGGTCCAATCCTGAGGGTTTCGTAGCCAGTAGCGGCCTCCACCGTGCCTTCCAGGAATTTGAGGCTGACGTTCGCGTCGCCTGAGGAGTCAAATTATAGATTTTATGTGTAGGCGGGGGAAACAAGTAGAGAGCATTACTACACCCTTACCTCCAACGTACGATCGAGACTTTTGTGTGTCAAAAACGTTTTTGTTTGTGCACGAGCCACTCTTCTCGTCGCCCAAGAAACTCTTGGTGCAGCAGTGGGCAGCACAAAGCTGAGGGCAAAGTTTCTCTAGAAAAAGATGGTTCCTTGTCTTCTGGATTAAAGCATTCAAACGTTATATACCTTAGTCCGCACACAGTGTTCAACTCTTACCATTTTTGCATATGTCGCCGCAAGAGCACGCAGAGTCGGGCACCCACAAAGCCGGCGTATTCAGATCAAAGGCCACATTGAAATCTTGACCCGGACTTCCCAACGAAATAACTCCAACGTATGCCTTGGAGGCCGTATCAAAATCAATTGGGATTCCCGAACTGAGAGTGCTGGCCACGACCCTCCTTTGGATGGGAATTTCAACTGAGATGACGGCTGCGGCAAGCAGCAGCGACAAGCAAATCGACTTCATTGGTATAACGAAAACCTTCCACAAAAGCTGTCTTTATAGCGTGTGTAACAACTGATAAAGGAATTTATGATCTTGTTGGGCAGTTTTTTAAAATTGGCTTGAATGCGGGGTGTGCCACTCCTGGAGTCGTCATTTGTGATTGCAAAGTTAAGATAACTGCCGCCTACGTAATTTTTTTGGTACCAAATACATACTATTTCTTGTGTTGAGCGTGTTTTCGATGTGAATTTTTTGGACAGCCCTTCGTGAAGGGTAAAATTGGCTATTGCGGGTAGCCGACATTTGCGTTGTTAGTTTTGGATATCAGCGACATTTCCTGGCAGCTTATACTAGGCGCGACATAAAGTCCGTAGAATTTTGCACAGTGCATTCAACCTTTTTTTCGCACGCACCGCGGCGATTCCCCGTTTTTGCACTAGCGACATGCACTTTTCGGCGATTGCACCCGCGACGTCGGCGAAAAAAATTCTACGGACTTTATGGCGCAGTGGTTGGACGAGTCTCCCTGATAGAAGTTCAATAGAGCCCGAGACCACACCAAATCTCCCAAGTATTCCAGCGGAAACTATCCAAAGGAATCAACAACACCGATACGAATAAAGTAGACAACTGTTTATCCCGAGGAGAGTTGTACAATACCGTAAATACGCCAAATAGATCAATATTATAGTACAAACTGACGGAAGCTATCCTTGTCAGCCGACCACGCCCTGTTCCTATTCCTTCAATCCAACCGACTGCCATTCGGCTCCCCGATCCTCTCCTGAATTCCCTTCTCTCACGTTCCTTGGCTTTCCAACGGTGCGTTCGGTTTCGTGGCGGGACCCAGCCCGAGGTTCGGTGCGGTCCTGCACCATTCGCCCCCTAACCAAGTTGGCATCCCCGATGTCAGTGAAGTCGATGCGCCGTTGGGGAAAGTTGATTGGTTTCTCCTGGGGCTTGTCCTAGCTGCGTTGGTATTGGTGGATGGCATGAAGTGAGCTAGTTCGGAAGAGAATGTAGTCGAAATCTGAAAGTAAACGTGATTACAAGTGAATAAAAGTCCCTAAAATCCCTAAAATATCCTAAATAACCCCAAGCTCCCCTCTAAACATCTGAAATCGTCCTCGACTTCAAAAAACAAGTTCCGGGTTTTCAAGATATTTTATGGGATCCTGATATTTATCTAAAAATAAGGTACGAGTTGATGTTTTACCGGAACAAAATAAGTGAATAGAGAATTTACGAATCAAAAATTGAAATACCTTTAAAATTATACTACATGCTACAACAAAATACGGTATTTCCACACAAAAATAGCAATTTACGATCACGTTAGCCGCACGGATGACATGAATTAAAATTTGGTTCCTTTCCCTTCAATTCGCGAGGAATACGACCATTCTATCGAGTTCTTCTTGTCGAAATCACCACTGAAACCGTGATTTTCCTCCAAGAACTTAAATTTGCAGCCTTTAGCAGGGAGAAATGACTTCAGAAACATATTATCTTTTAGACAATTACCAGGAATTTGAATATTTTGGTCGACTCTTGGCACAATTTTTTTTGACAATTTACAGAGGTAAATCGAAGGCCAATCCCTGTGATCTGCCGCTTTGCTTTTCAGCTCGCTCTCGAATTCAGCCAAATTCTGATCAAAGTCGCTACTTTCCGAAGCCATGCTCGTGTGTTCCCACAACCGTGCCGCTTTTCCCGCTATCTTGGCTTCAAGGAGGTCTTTCTTTTCTTGTGTGGTGTGATTTGCAGTCCCTGCGCGAAATTTGTAGAAGAAACAAATCATTTCGCTTTGGTTCTCTTTCCCCGTCAACGTTGGAAGCCGCATCTCTACAAACATAAGATCTGCGATCGATCTACCACTTCTAACCGGCGGATTCGCTAGACTCGTTGGAGCCATAGGGTCCTCATTCATCGGCTGTTTTGTTTCACTTTGCGCTAATAAGGTTTGGAAAGATTTTGTGAGCTCTTCGATTTGCTTTCTATCTTCCTCCGCTCGCTTTCTATCCTCCTCCAATTGTTTTTGTACTTCTTGAAAGGCCCTTTCCGATTGTTGTTTGTGCTCTCTCATAAAGCATAGAATTTGTTTTATGACTTCATTACTCCCAACGTTATCCACTCTTCAATCAGAGCCAAAATTCTTATCACAAAATTCTCAAAGTTCACGACTCAAGATCAAAATTCAAGATCCACCACGAACAAATAGATCCAAACGGAATCCCAAATACAGTCTGCCAAAACAACAATGCAGCTATCAAACAAGATTTCCAAGTAGTCAAGTCCTCTCAAAGACGGTAATTGTGTCAAAATTCGCCAAGTTCACCTAAAACAATATCAGATAGTCGTAAATTTCTCAATTCTTTGCCAAACCTTCAAATCACAACTTGTGATGGTTATTCTCGCTGATTTGGATAGGTTACCCCGAGAATAAGTCACCCACCGGATAGGTTACCCCAAAAAACACATAATCCGGAGGATAGGTTACCCCACCGGATAGGTTACCCAGAGGATAGGTTACCCCACCGGATAGGTTACCTAGAGGCTAGGTTACCCTTTACCAAAAAAAGAAAAAAAAATTTTTTGAAATGTTTTCGCTTCGAGACTTGAAAAAAAAAACAGCCCCCGGTCGGCCCGGCCCGGGGGCTGGAAGAGGTCGGCGCGGCCCCGGGGCCTTTAAAACTCGTTCGGCCCGGCTCACTAGCCATGTCTAGCCCGCACAGGGTGTCAAGATGGCGAAGATCGAGTGTGAATTGAATTATCAGGGCAGGTATTGTGTAAATGTCCCCAAAGTGGCTGCTATCGAAGAGAAAAAGAGCGCCGAAATTCCACATTACAAGTGGATAACCTCGAAAAAAAGAAGAATTTATATAATAACAGGTCAATGTCTGCCGTTGTTGGATGTTATACATGATCAGAATCAGGAATGTAATACTAAGAATTTTTTTCTATTTTTCATTTTAGATCATGTATAATATAAAAAATTCGTATTTATTCTACCGTAGTGTATTACTAGTCGAAGCTAGCAACAATCTGCATAATCTCGATCAATACTTTGCATTTCGCGTCGGAAACTCGATAATTGGGAAGAAAAAGAGTCGGGAAATTAGTCCCGAAAATCCGTCATTGTGACGCCTTTTATTTAATCACTAGCAAGACTTTATTTCACTATTCACAACCAGTTCAATACTGTAATTTATCATGCAAAATTGGACGAGAATCTGCCGGCGTTTTCGCTTCTAAATTAGAGAGACACGCGTCAGCGCTGACGTCTTTTCTGGAAGTTCGGAAAAATCTCGCGAGAAAATATTTTTATGCGCGCCCAATCCTTTCAGCTCATGCCAAATTGCAGTTCTCGAAGAAATGAACGTATAAATTGGAGTGCAAATAGCTGAGGTTCTTCTGTTGCCTTCTTGAATCCAGGTTAGCCTAAAATAAGGTGGGAATATGACAGAACCATCGACTTCAGCGTTCGATCAGGTAAGAACAGTTTCGTTTCTTCTTTCTTTTGGTTTTAGACAGCCTGTATGGCCCGTATTTTCTGCTGCAGAAGCTTTATAATGCAATTACATTACTCTAGGCGCAAACACTCCAACTTTTGTCCGAAGAAGTCAGTGGTTGTGATCGATGCTATCAGAGGTACTATAGCATCCTGCAGAACAAGCCGCACCTCTTCGATTCGCGTCGGAAACGGCAGAAACCCCCGAAAATCAAGTCTAAGCTCGACTTCCAAAACCATCCCTTGTTCCCGAACGCGGATCTCACCGGAGGTGGACTCATCGAAGCCGGAGAGCTGGGCAAAAGTGTCCTCGATCTGTCAACTGCAATTTCAAGGGCTTCCACACTTAGTCCCAAGCGAAAAGCGCAGCAATTGGAGCAGACTTGCAAGAATATTCATTTATGTGAGTTGCATTTGGAGAACCTGAAGAAGGAGCTGCTTGAAGTGTTGGTGAAGAAGGTGGGTTGACAAAAACCTTTTCTTTTAGTATTTCCAACGTTTAGATTGAGCTGCGGATTGACGGGCTTATAAATGAGGTCTCGGATGAGGGAAAACGCGTTCTGGCACCAATCAAAGAGAAGTACGCCTTGAAAAAACAGGTAAAACAAATTTCTCTGTCGCGTTTCTTGGCTTTATTGCTGGCAGAATTCTAAATTATTGGTTTTAGGAGCTGAACGAACGCTGTCGACTTCAAATGGAAGGCCTACGACGCCAGTTGGAAGCTGACATTGATTTTGAAGAGAGGAATTCGAAATTACTGATTGAAAGAGCAAAACAATCTCGACTAAAGCAAATTGACGACCAGTTGGCTGAGATCGGATGTACTGGAGAAGGTGAGTTGTTTTTCTTTCGTTTTTTCCGCTTTTAGGATGCATTTCTCCGCCTATATTATCCATGACTGATGTTGTTGTAGATTTCCTGGTGAATGGCCCCAAATTGGAAGTTTTGGAGTCGGAGATTGTCGAGGTAGAAGCTCCCAACTTCAAAGGCCAAGTTGTGCTGCCTTTGAACGAGAAAGCCGACCAAAAACTGCGAGAATTGGAGAGAAAAGAGCTGCAGGCCTTCTGTCTGTACGCCAGAGCTCCGGAACGAGTTGGGAGGAGAATGAAGAAGAAGCCAGTGGATATCAAGGTGAACAACGTCCAACTCAATGGCAATTTTTGGGCTCCAATGGAAGTGGAGTGAAAAAATCAGCATCTTAAATTTGTAAATTGTCCCAGGTGTCTTTCGTTTCAAGTCTCAGATAATATTAACGATAATTAAAGTGTATTCTAATATTTTCCTAGCCTACTGCCTTATTTCACGCATTTTAACTTCCAGGTTTCGCCCTCTAAACCGCATTTCTCCTCGTATTTATTATAATTTTATTAATTTTTAATTTTTCGAATCAAAATTCAGTAAATTTGATCGCATTTTCTCTGGAAATTGCTTTGATCTTGACGAAAAAAGCATGGAAATGCTCATTTGAGCACCATCCAGCAATGATTCCGGTCGTTTTTCTCGTTTCCGTCGTTTTGATTCAACTCGCTTTGAGTGCAATATGCAGCAAGAAGAAGACCATGACCGTGAACTCGCCTAGCAAGCACACCGAGAAGAGCCCCAAGTCCCCGGCGTCGGTGCCGCCGGCGGTAAGTCTGCAGCCGAATTTTATTAGCATTTTCGCAAAGTGCCCAGACATTTTTTTGCTTTCGCACTGTGCATCTTGAATTTTTGTCGCCAACGCACTGTGCATTTTTTTGACTTTGCGCACCGTGCAAACCTCAAAAAGCCGATTGCACTGTGCACATTTTGAGCGACCGCCGCGGCACAGGCTTACGTCGCAGCGACATTTCAAATGCACAGTGCAAAACCAAAAATGAAATGCACGGTGCAAGACGAGGGTTGATGACTTTTTTGCAGACATGGCAGGGGGGCCGGGCCGGGCCCAACGTCTCGGGGGCCGGGCCGTGGGGCCTGGGTTTGGTTTTCGGGCCGGGCCGTGGGGCCTGAAAAAATTTGGGCCCGGCCCCTTCAAAAAAAATTTTTTTTTATTTTTTGTCTTGCAACGAAAAATTGGGGTGCCAATTTTTTTGGCATTCTGTTTTGAGCAAAAAATTTTTTGTTTTTTGAAGGAAAAGCGGCTTGTAAGACAGGAAAACCTCATTTACTACTCAGAACCTTGCTGGCAATGACAAAATACATCGAAAAAGTTTTTAAAAGTTAACTGTTAGTCAAATTTGAACAGTGTTTCACTATTTTTCGACTAATTTTGTCTAAAATATTTTTTCATTACAAATCCATGACCTTCCATTGGCTTAAACCTGTATATTCATAAGGATATTGGTATATTCTTTGTTATAAATGGGTAACCGGCTCAATTTATGACCAATAATGATCAATAATTGGAGAATGTTTATCCAGATGTCATGGGTAATATAATTTACCCTCTCAAATGCTTTACATCGGTTTTTCCTGGAGTCTGGATATGGATTTGGCAATCAAATGGACTGTCTGATGTTTTCAATTTACTTCCACGACCTTCTTACTTGTGATTCAGTTTTCCATCTTCCAAAAAATCATTGAAAATCTCAAAAATGTTAAAAAACATAACTATTATTTTTAAATCGTCAATCTTCTTGTGTTTCTGGTATTCTTATTACATTTCCAACATGTCAACACTTTTTACGCCGCTCAATTCTTCCTAGCGCGGACGAAATCATCATGGATAATATCGGGGAAAACTCGGGAAATCGTCAAAAAATTAATTTATTCCCGCCATTTTGGCAATATTTTGGCATTGTGTTTTCGGCCATATTTGACCCCTTATTGTTAGGGCAAAAACTAACGTCATAACTCATAAGGCTCGCAGTACTCGATTTAGTAGAAATACTTTTTAAAAGTCAAGAATCGGTCAATTTATGCTTGAGATATGGTTTCCAAAATGTGCCCAGTAGTTACTATAGGGTTGAAAACCCGATTTTGAAGGTTCAAAAGAGAAGTTTTGGCAAACTATAATCTCCAGTAACTTTGGTAGCGGTTGATGGATTTGGATGAAACTTGGCGGAATTATGTTTCACGACATGCAGATTCTCTGTGCAAATTTTAAAATCTTTCTGTCCACGATACTATGAATTACCGTAGTAAATGGATTACTGTAGAAAAATCAAAACTTTAATTTTTAGTGGAAAATGTCCAGCAGTCCTTGGGGAATGAGAATATGTGCGACTTAGAACTATTTCGGAAGCTTGATATTAATTTTTTGACGATTTTCCGAGTTTTCCCCGATATTATCCATGATGATTTCGTCCGCGCTAGGAAGAATTGAGCGGCGTAAAAAGTGTTGACATGTTGGAAATGTAATAAGAATACCAGAAACACAAGAAGATTGACGATTTAAAAATAATAGTTATGTTTTTTAACATTTTTGAGATTTTCAATGATTTTTTGGAAGATGGAAAACTGAATCACAAGTAAGAAGGTCGTGGAAGTAAATTGAAAACATCAGACAGTCCATTTGATTGCCAAATCCATATCCAGACTCCAGGAAAAACCGATGTAAAGCATTTGAGAGGGTAAATTATATTACCCATGACATCTGGATAAACATTCTCCAATTATTGATCATTATTGGTCATAAATTGATCCTATATCGAAGCCACTGGCCGCTTGTATCAAGTAAGACGCCGAAAACTTTGTGGTAACATCATAAAACAAAAAATAGCAATTAAAACGCAAAATTTAGAGTAATGAAAAAAGGGCCGGGCCGGGCCGGGCCTTAAGACCCCTCAGGGCCGGGCCGGGCCGGGCCGAAGGTGCCTCGGGGCCGGGCCGGGCCGGGCTTTGAAAATTTTGAAAAGGGCCGGGCCGGGCCCAACTTCTAGGGGGCCGGGCCGGGGGCCCGAAGGGTCCCCGGCCCGGCCCGTTTTGCCATGTCTGACTTTTTTGAGGGTTGCACTGTGCGAAAATGGGAAAATGCACTGTGCGTCGGCGACATGCGTGAGAAAGAGTTGAAGATGCACTGTGCGAAAACAAAAAAAAGTAAATGCACGGTGCAAAAAAAAAAGAAGTGAAATGATAGCGGTAGTGTAAAAATATCTCCATTCCAGCCTCCTCCCCCGCCCGCCGAGCCCAAACCAGCCTGTAAGCCGGCCGCCCCACCACCGGAGGTTCAGGCGGCCTCCGTTTCCGCAAAGGAGAAGCCCGAGATCGAGAAGACGCTGGTCGCCACTTTCAGCGAGAAACAAGAGGAGTTGAAGGACGAGACGGCGATGCCTAGCAAGCGATCCACCGTCGAGCCCACACAACCGGCGTCCGGGAAGGAGGTGCGGAGCCATCGAATAGAACAGACTCAACAGGTCTCGGCCACCGAATAAAACACTGTTCTGCTCGCCTATGTCGAATTTTTAGGTCCAAAAGTGTATATAAATACAAACTTTAGTAATTAATTCTCTTCCAAAGGCATTTCTGGACCTCTCAAGGCAATTTTCATATAAAAAAAAACGAAAAAAAACTTGAGACATCAATTTATTGGCTTTAAAATCATATACAAGTCTATAAAGTCGCTATTAGACGAAAATGCAGAGTATTAACCGTTTCTAAGTTTAAACCTGAGACCTTACAGTTTTAGGAGACGTCCAGAAGATGAGAAAACGTTAAAAATTCAGAGAGATTTGCTCAATTTCTTGGCTTCATCGATGAAATTCCGATCGGACTGATCGATGGGCTCCACATTGATCAGTCGGTTCACAATGGCCTTGGCCGCCGCCTTGTCGCCCTTGGCTTGATAGGATTTGGCCAGATAGTAGAGGTTTTCGGCCCAATCGGCACGGATTTTGTCCACCTGAACAGATCAAGTGTAATATAATCAAGGTGAATATAATGCAAAATTGGAACAATCCAAAGGAAAAAATGATACTAATAGGTCACAAAACTTGTGAAAATGTGGCGTAGAAGACATTGGGTTTTATTTTGGACACTAAATTATCTTATCCTTACCTCCAAGAAGTCCTCGATCGCTTCGTCCATGGTGGCGGTGGGCGGGTCGGCGAAGAAAGTGGCAGCCGCTTTGCGCTCCACCCAAGTCAAATTTGCAATATTGTAGGCCAAACGGCCTCTCATATGGAGCAATGACCAGTCGTCATGCTTTATCGCCAGCGCTTTGTTCAGATACTCCTAAAACAATAAAAAAAAATCGAATAAATCTCCTACCCTGAACTTGAATCCCTCTTGAATTCGCTCTTTCGTTCCCAAGAAGTCAGTGAGCGATCCACTCAGGGCGGCGGTCCATTGGAGAACATCGAAATGTCCATCATCCATTTCGTAGGCAAGCATTGCGTGTTTATAGCCCTCTTGGATCATACGCTTGTCCTTTCCGAACTTGTAACCCAACGCATGACAAGAGCGGGCATAACGCCACAATAATTCAATGTTATTCGGATCGTCCTCCAACAACTCTTTCAGCTCTTGATTCAATTCGTGATGTTGTCCGGTTTCATGGAGATGATCGAAGCGGGAATATGGATTCTAAGACCGAAAAAATTGCATAAAAATTCGCAACCTACCGTCTTCGTTGCGCCATTCCCAAACGCGGCTTGATGTTCGTTGAGAAACGCCTCCGTCGCCATCCAATCATCATGCGCGTCATGGTAAACGAGGCTGGAAGTGGTGGACGCGGCTCGACTCATCCGGTTCGTACCCTCGCCTTGCGGAACGGAGGACGAAAAGGTCACAGTGCAACGGCGTTTATGGCCGCCAGAGTCTTCAACGTTCTTGAGTCGCATCCACAAGTTATCCAACTCTTGCCTAAAATAATATCGATGAAAACTCGGTGATAATGAAATAAATAGGCCCTAAAAATGACATAAGAATAATGCAAGAGTCTTACCGTGCCCCATTGTGAGTAGCAACCAGTTCCTCATGCTTCATTCTCAGCCGTTTCAGGCATTTGTTCAAGTAGAAGATGCAGACGAAGGAGATCAACAAAAGAGCTCCCAAAACAGCCGAAACCACCGCAAATATCACTACCACGTCCTGCACATCCAATTTGGTGCTCTCAAAACATAAAAACAATTAACAAAATGTTGTTCATTACCTAAAAACAAAAGAAAATCAAGTTTTGACCCAGAACCAACCTGTTGACCCAAATTCCCAACCTGTACGTCCCTGTATGCGGATGCAGAAGGCCCAGCTGGCCTTGGAGAACCCATCTGTTACCAATGCCGCGGGTCTCTCTTAGCGTTCGCTTCGATTTAGGCCGAAGGAAGAAGAAGATTGAGAAAATTCCGACAGATTTCGATCGTGTCCAAAAAACCCGTCAGTCCCACTGATAATTTCGATTCATTTTTTGTGGACCGACTTCAATCGAACGCTGATCGGCTGAACAAACAAGAAGAACGTGGTTTTATCTTATCAGAAGCGTCTAATTTTGCATGTTTTCTGTTTTTATATTCCACTTGGGAGCAAATTTTGATAAATTGTTCAGAAAAGCTGATGAATGGAGGGCTGATGGTGGATTCGGCCAAATTAGGGCGTTTAAATGTGTCGTAATGAACTTGCGAAGCATTTGTCCACCAAATTACAGGATAAAACCAAGATAAAACATGTTTATTTAATTTTTTATCATGTAACTGGATCATGGATAATATAATTCAAATTTCTCTACTTTACTGACAAAAACCGTGCAATTTCTGATGTCCAATATAAAATCCGGAGCAGGACGATTGGGGAAAAGGAAGACTGGGGAAAAGTACGATTGGGGAAACCGAAAAGTATTATTTTTCTTCGATGCAAGTGTCGAAATTAGAATAATCGAGGGTACCGATTTCGAAAATGACATTCATTTTTTTTTGATCTTTACTTTTTTCCTTTAGGAGTACTGTAAATTAGTAATTTTTTGATTTTTTTCACAAATACTCGATTTAGGGGGGTTTCGACCTTGCTGATTTCGAAAATCTTATTCATTTTTTCTGATTTGAAAGCAGCACCATCGAAAACCCCAAAATCGAGTATTCCTGAAAAAAAATCAAAAAATTACTAGTTTACAGTACTATTTAAGGAAAAAAGTAAAGATTTTTATATGAAAAAATTAATGTCATTTTCGAAATCGGCACCCTCGATTATCCTAATTTCGACTTGCATCCAAGAAAAATAATACTTTTCGGTTTCCCCAATCGTACTTTTCCCCAATCTTCTTTTTCCCCAATCGTCCCAGTTCCATAAAATTCAACCCAAATTCTTCGTGTTATAACTGTTTATGGCATGTTTGAAATGCTGAATGCATCAAGTACAATATAAAAAAAAGTTAGCTGAAAGAATGCAACTATTGACAAGTTTGTTCTGAGACCTTTTATGGTGACTGTAACCAAGATCAGAGGGATTTGAGGGTCTTTTTGGCTTCTTCGATGAATTCGCGGTCCGCCTCGTCCTCGGGCTGCAATTTGATGGTCCGGTTCAGGACCGCCTTCGCTTTTTCTTTGTCGCCTTTGGCGATATAGGACTTGGCCAAGAATATTAGGTTCTCCACCCAGTCGGGTTTCAATTTCTCCACCTGGAAGGAAAGTGTGTCTAGTGTAATATAAAAAAATTTTACCTCCGCAAAGTCGGTGATGGCTTCATCGAACGTAGCGGTTGGAGGGGTGGCAAAGAAGGCTGCCGCGGCTTTTCTTTCGAGCCATGAGAGATTTGCGACATTGTATGAGAATCGGCCCCTCATATGGAGAAGTGAATATTCGCCCGGACTGATGGCCAAGCCTTTGTCCAGGTATTCCTAAAATCACAAATATAGTCTAATCCTTCCTTTTATTCACCAAATTTTCAATTTCAATTTGATTCAGACTGTTTTTAGAGCAAAATTATCTTATCCTTGACATTAACCCTGCGTCCCGCCACGAAAACCTCACAGCTCCCTGAATCCCGCCAAAATCGCAATTACCTTGAAAGTGAATCCCTCTTTGATCTTGTCCTTGGTTCCCAGATAGTCAGTCAACGCTCCGCTCAGCACTGCGGCCCATTTGAGGACGTTGAAGTCCTTGTCAGTGATTTTATACGCGGCGACGGCGAATTTGTGCCCTTCCTGCACCAACTCTTTCCTCTTCGGGTTCTTCTGATCGAAAGTGTTGGCCAGGGAGTGGCAAGCGCGCGCGAACCGCCACAACACTTCCGGGTTCGTGGGCTCGGCTTCGGCGCGTTTCTTCAGCTCATCGTAACATTTCTGATGTTCGCCCTTCTCGTGCAGCTCGTCCGCGTGCTTCAGACCAGTCTGAAAACAAAATTCCTTCATTTTTCGTCCATTTAGACCTAAATTTGCCCACTTTTATCTTTCTATTTCAAAATTACCATCAAATTTATATTATCCATGTCCAAAAACCCTCCTTACCATAATTCAGCCGGAAAATAATGGTCTTTTCCTCTTTTGGGCCCAATGTTCGACCACTCTAGAGCGAAACGGATCAAAAATGAATTCAAAACGCGGGGGAGATTCGAATAAAACTTGCGGGGAACGCGATGAAACGCATAAAAATTGGAACAAGTCCGAATAATAAGGTATAAAACGGATCGTTGATCCTGAAAAACGGCGCAATCCGGTCTCCTAATCTCTATACGCTATGCAAATCGCAAAAAGCGAATAAAAATCTTTTTTAAAATCCCGTTTAAAAGGGAAAATTTAGGTAAAAAAGCGAAAAATCTTGTTAAAAAGTATCAAAAAGTATCCGAATGTCTCAAAAAACCATTTTAAAGTGGACTAAATCCAGTAAACCTAAAAAAACAACTTTTGAGGAATCCTGTAAGCGTCTCTAATGTACAAAGTCCGAGAGCTTTTCCCTTTCTCTCCCAACTTTTCTCTAATTCCCACCAAAAGCCACCCGGAAAAGCGCTGTGTCCCATTGGATTTTGGGTTCGCTTTTATAAAAATCCTTTATCCATATCGCTTTACACCGCGTTCCCAGTGGATTCATCATCGACTTAGCTTTCAAAATTTGTTTTTCAAACAAAAATTTATATTGTTTTAGTCATGTTTAATAAAAAAAATTCAAAATTTCCCAAAAAATGTTTTCAAATCCAAAATTTTGAAATACTAAACTCATTTTCTCCTCTCTAAGCTGTAATTACAATAGTTTCCCTATTTTTTAATTAAGTTTTTGATCAAAAAAACCATTTTCAAATAAAATTAGAACGCAATTTTAGGGAAAACGAAAAATTTTATCTTTTTTTGGACATGGACACCCGAAAAAGACTCGTCTTTTATCAATTTGAGCCCTCAAGACAAAGAGACAGAAAAAATGACCGGAATTTTCAATATCCAGCCAGTAAAAAGGTTACTTTTATATTACAGTAAGTCAAATTGGACGATTGGGGAAAAAGACAATTGGGGAAACTGAAAAGCATTATTTTGCTTCGATATAAGTGTCGAAATTACGATAATCGATGGTGATGATTTCGAAAATGAAATTCATTTTTTTTTTTGATCGTTACTATTTTTCATAAGTAGTACTGTAAAGTTTGTAATTTTTTTGAATTTTTTTTCACAATTACTTGATTTAGGGGTTTTCGGCAGTACTTATTCATTTTTCACCGTCGAAAACCCCTGAATCGACTATTTGTGAAAAAAATTCAAAAAATTAGTAACTTTACAGTACTACTTAAGGCAAATAGTAACAATCAAAAAAATGAATGTCTTTTTCGAAGTCATCACCATCGATTGTCCTAATTTCGACACTTACATCGAAGCAAAATAATACTTTTCAGTTTCCCCAATTTTCTTTTTCCCCAATCGTCCAATTTGACTTACTATAACATTAAAGCAATCTTTTCTTGGCCGGCTATTGAAAATTCCGGTCATTTTTTCTGTCTCTTTGTCTTGAGGGCTCAAAGTGATAAAAGAGGGAGTGTTTTTGGGTGTTCATGTCCAAAAAAAGATAAAATTTTTCGTTTTGTCTAAAATTTCGTTCTAATTTTATTTGAAAATGGTTTTCTTGATAAAAAACTTAATAAAAAAATAGGGAAACTCTTGTAATTACAGCTTTAGAGACGAGAAGATGAGTTTAGTATTTCAAAATTTTGGATTGGAAAACATTTTTTTGAGAAATTTTGAGGTCTTTTTTTGTGTCCATGTCCAAAAAAAGATAAAATTTTTCGTTTTCCCTAAAATTTTAGACGACATTTTTTTTGAAAACGATATTTTAATTTAAAAAAGTTCCCTACTGCAGTATACTGGAATTAATTTGCGTTTCAAAGGTTAAAAATAAATTTTTAATGCAAAATATGACAACCCCAGCCCACTTCAGCTCACAAGGCTTCCCTAGAAAGCCAAAGATCCCAAATTATCACCAAATTTCTCTAAATTTTCCTTGACAAACATCAAATATCAAGTATAATATAAAATAAATTGCGGTTTCGTCAGTCTCGCGAAAAATACAAACCCCAAAAATCAAATAGAGATGATTCATGGGGCTGGTTGTTTAAGCGAGGGCTTCTTTTGTTCAGCATCTGCTATAAAAGCCAGTTTTTTGTTGATTTAATTAAGGGATGTTTTTTGTTGTTTGGTTACCTATTTTGAGTCAAAATTGGGGGTGGTCTGAATATAAACTCCATAAAGCCTATATTTAGCTGCAAGACTCGTTAATTAGCCGATATATTGTACTTTACGACTAAATTTTTGGATAAAACTTTTGTCATGGATAATATAAATTTTTACCTCAATCGTAATAAAATGAAATAATTTAGTATTCATGACAAATAATGATGTCTAAAAAGCGTTTTCCACACATTTTACCATCGAACAACCCCTTCTATTTACCTCATATTACACTTGACAAATTTTAGTCATCCTGTATAATATAAACCAAAATTTTTATCCCTCTTACCGTTTCCACACTTCCATTTGACTTCCAATCGCCTTCAAGATTAATCAACGGTGCTGTTCCATCATCGGGCCAATCGTCATATGCGTCTTGGAAATCACTGCTGGAAGTTAGTGAAGCCACTCGACTCATTGATGTGGAAGCTGGATCGCCACTTGATGGTGGAATAAAAGATGGGAAAGTCACTGTATTTCGTTGTTTTTGAGGAGCCTGCTGCTCTTCTAGGTGCTTTACTCGTTGTTTTAGACCATTCACATCATCTCTTAAACAACAAATAATAATTCATCTCGTATTTTACAACAATTTTCTATAATCCAAGTTTAAATTCGACTAATTCGACTCACTGAAGTGCATTACAGGTGGATGTGGTCTGTTCGCATTTTATTCGGAGAGCTTTTAGCTTCCGGTAAAGGAAGTACAGCGCTCCCGATTGGATGACAACAGCGGTGGCTAGGAAGGCAGTGCTCGCTCCTAGGACCGTGTTGTATGTGTTCATTCGATTTGTTATCCCTAAACGAGATTTCAGTCGATTTCCGAGACATCTGGATCAAAAATATCGGGAAAATAAAAAAATCAATTTGAGTCCCGCAACGAAAACTTGAAAATCTCTGAAACCGATGGGAAATAAATAAAAACTACCAGTAGTCGTTCCAGAAAGTGCGTGGACTTTTTTGGGTCTTTTTCGCACCGCACAGTGCAAGTTGCCTGTTTCCCGCGCGACGAAATGCACTTCGAAACATTTTGCACTGTGAAATTTCTTCTCGCGCACCCAAAAATTGCCCCGATTCCGTTGAGAAAAGCTTCTGTCGCTGCGATATTTCGCTTGCACGGTGCAAAACATCAAATGCACTCCGAAAAAATTGGGTTTTCTGCACGGTGCGGCCCATGACAAAAAGTCTACGCACTTTCTGGAACAATCCTTTTCGGCGTTTGCACTGTACAGAAAAAGTCAGGGTGCGAGCGACAACCCAAAAAAAGCCTATTGCACAGTGCATGTCGCCGAAATGATTTTTTACGTTTGCACTGTACAGAAAAAGTCAGGGTGCGAGCGACAACCCAAAAAAAGCCTATTGCACAGTGCATGTCGCCGAAATGATTTTTTACGTTTGCACTGTGCAGAAAAAGTCAGGGTGCGAGCGACAACCCAAAAAAAGCCGTTTGCACGGTGCGAAAAGCAAGAAATTGCACAGTGCAGAGTGAACTTTTGTTTTCGCACAGTGCATGTCGCCGAAATGGTTTGTTGACGTTTGCACTGCGCAGAAAAAGTCACGGTGCGAGCGACAGCCCAAAAAAAGCCGTTTGCACGGTGCGAAAAGCAAGAAATTGCACAGTGCAAAGTGAACTTTTGTTTTCGCACAGTGCATGTCGCCAAAATGGGTTTTTGACGTTTGCACTGTGCAAGAAAAGTCAGAGCCCCAAAAAGCTATTGCACGGTGCAAAAATCCCCAAATCGCACAGTGCAAAGGGAACCTTTGGTTTCGCACAGTGCATGTCGCCGAAATGATTTTTTACGTTTGCACTGTGCAGAAAAAGTCACGGTGCGAGCGACAGCCCAAAAAAAAGCCGTTTGCACGGTGCGAAAAGCAAGAAATTGCACAGTGCAAAGTGAACTTTTGTTTTCGCACAGTGCATGTCGCCGAGATGGGTTTTTGACGTTTGCACTGTGCAAGAAAAGTCAGAGCCCCAAAAAGCTATTGCACGGTGCAAAAATCCCCAAATCGCACAGTGCAAAGGGAACTTTTGTTTTCGCACAGTGCATGTCGCCGAAATGATTTTTTACGTTTGCACTGTGCAGAAAAAGTCACGGTGCGAGCGACAACCCAAAAAAGCCGTTTGCACGGTGCGAAAAGCAAGAAATTGCACACTGCAAAGTGAGCTTTTGTTTCCGCACAGTGCATGTCGCCGAAATGGTTTTTTGACGTTTGCACTGTGCAAGAAAAGTCAGAGCCCTAAAAAGCTATTGCACAGTGCAAAAACCGCCAAATTGCACAGTGCAAAATGGACTTTTGTTTTCGCACAGTGCATGTGGCCGAAATCGCTCCAACAACTTTGCTAATGGATTAGTAGAGTTTTCAGGCCCTGAGGCAAAAAATTTTTGGTTTCAACTACATTTTTCCCCACCAAAAAGTCAAAAATCGACAAAGGTTTCCAAACACGAGTAATAAACTTTTGTAAACCATCGTAAAATGACGAATAAAGTCCAAAACACTCCCCCTTCGTACAGGGGGGAACAAAAATTGATCAAAGTCGGGCTTTCCCTTTCCAAAAACGTCTCGTTTCCTTTTCGTCCGCAAAAAAATAGACTTTTGTATCTCTATCTTCACCATCTTAGCCGCAATAAAAAAGTCTAATCTTTTCGAATAAATGCTAATATTTTGGGTCATAGGGGTTAATTGAGGCCAATAGAATTTTTTGTTATCATTTGTAAGTCAGGAAATAGTTAGCAGACAGTGAACTGTTAATAGGTGCGACATTAATTTTCTTCAATTTTCTTGATTTTATTTCAACAGTAAGTGTATAAATAAAAAATAATTTTGAGATTTATAGAATTAGCTGTTATTTAGAGCCATTTCCGAGAGGCTTACATCAAAATTCAAACTTTTGCGAGCACTTTTTTACTTTCATATCATGTATAATATCCCAAAGCCCAAAACTCCTCAAAAACTTGCAAATTCTAATATCCAAACAGCTCTAAATTTTTCAGCATGCTCCTTCATCTCAATAACAAGGACTTTCAACAATGCCCTAGGGCAATCTGGGTAATTTAAGCGATTTTTTCGCCATTTCAATAGCATCTTCTTTGGTTTTGGCGCCGCCAATGAAGCCAGTGGCATGAACAAAGACGGCGGTGTCGACCCCAATCTTATCGGCCAATTCTTTGTCTCTCAGACCTCTCCATTCTTGCGGTAAGGGCCATCTATTATCGAATTCGGTGTTCTCGGATACCGGGACCGACTGAATTCGCCAGCTGTTTCCACTTTTGTCGCCCGGATAAATGGCGTAGACAATCTTCCCGCCAATCTGTTGTTCCTGTTCGATCATAAAGAAGTGCTGTTTCCATGGGCAGCACTCTTCCAGGACCATTATTCTTCCGCCTTCATCAACCTGAAGATGGATAATATAAAAAGTGTAAAAAATCTCAATTTTTTTCGTCAAATCAGACTACAAAAGCACCCAATATTATCCATAGTGTCTATTGAGACAATTTTTATGACAAAACTTCACTAAAATTTAAAAAATTATATTGCACATGGCAATAAATTAAAATAAAACAACTCACCTTCAATCTCCCGTTAACCGCGTCCTCCACAATCTTCCTGGCTGGCATCCAGTTCTTGTGGATGTATAAGACCTTGTCTTTGAAGATATCACCCACGACTTTCATGGCTTTTTCGAATTGAACATCAGGACTAAAATCCTCATTCCAAGCCGGATTTAGGTCCTCAACAAGACCTTCCAGGGACACTGGGATAATGTATCTAAAATAAAAATTCCATAAAAATTGACATCTGGCACACCCTCCGATGTTATCCTTGGCAAAAGCTAAGAAATTTTAGGAAAAAATGATAAATCCATAAATAAACTAAAGAAAAACTCACTTTGAAGGCTCATCATGACTCTTAATTCCATTGTCAACAGCATCAACAGACTCAACAAAGTGTTTGTAAAGTCGATCATAGTAGAAGTCGATCGTCTCTTCGTCAACACCATCCTGACCGTCCACGAATAAGATCTGTCGTATGACCTCTTGCCCGTAGAAAGCATAGATTAGACCAGCCGAGCTCAATTTTGTATTATACTGAAGAGACTTTCTCGCATTGAGCTTGCCGTTTTCGAAAGTACAGGCAAGAGTCGACATCGTCTCATTAAATTCGCTGTAAAGAAATGCTTTGCTCATTCGAACCTCCAAAACGCTTTGGAATAGCATCTAAACATCAAAGACAATCTAATAAAGGCACTTACCGCTGATGATGGTCATATCGCTTCTTGGAATGATCAAAAACACCTCCAACGTCAAGTACAATATCGCAGGTGGCCAAAATCTGCGGATCCCGTGTTCTGAAAAAGACAAATTACCCAAAAGCATTTGCAGCTTATAATAAGGAAGAAAACAACCAACACCCACCTCAAAATAACGTGCTTCTTGAACTCGGGGAGCTGTCTCAACATCCAACAGCCAAAGACCTCGTCGCAATGGAACTTGCCGTTATGTGTGCCGATGTACTTGTCTTTCGTCGTCATAATGCTTCTCCACCCGAAAAACCGATAAAGCCCACTTCTGGCGGCCAAAAAGTTCATTGGACCATCAAGAAAAAACAAAAAGCGAATTTCCGCATCCAATCCATAGTGACACTTCGTCAATTCCACTATCGACTAGAAAAAATCGCTGGTAAATGCGTCGAAAAGCTGAAAAATGGTCAGTTTTGCTGGTGGGACGCCTTGGAGATGGTTGGGTTTGGGGTTTTCTCTTATTTTGAGGGTTTTTGGGGCGTTTATACTGTTTTAGACGTGTTCCTTGCGTTTTTTAACCTAAGTTTTGAGTTTGACCTATTTTCTCGGGTATATTTTTAGGTACATGTCTTCGTACTTCCAAGAGCAGGCCGAGGAGTCGGAGAATGAAGGATCTGTAGCCTCGAACAGCTCTGATGGGCCAAAATCTAAGAAGAGGAAGGTCGAGAAGAAGAAGAAGCGAAGAATCGAGTGAGACCTTTGATTTTTTTTGTGTTTTTCCTTTTTAGATTGTGGCTTCTTTTTGTTTATGCCTTTTACGAGGTGTTTCATCTTGTTTTGCAGCTGAGTTTTGTGTTTTCAGAAGTTCCGATGAAGAAGAAGATGAGGAAGATGATGAGCTCAAAGCCCGCGAAGAAATGAAAGGTTTTGTCGTTGATGAAGACGAAGATGAGGGTAACGAAGATGGCAGCGACGATGAGAAGGTAGTTTTGCTGTTATTTGTTTGATTTTTGAGCTTTAGAAATCAGAAAAGAGCGAGTCTGATGCCGACGATCTTCTGGAAGACGACTTGGATCTTGTCAACGAGAATATTGGCATGAAAGTTGGTGGAAGAGTCCAAATTAGCGACGATGAAGATGACAGAGAGAAAATTCAACGAGAATTGTTTAATGGGGTAAGCGAAATTTATTTATTTTTTCTAATTTTAGATGGTCTTTATGGAGAATATAAAATTTTATCTTGTAGACTGGAGACGATTATGAAGACGACGATTTCGTTGAGCGCAGACCTCATAGAAGAGACAGATCACGTTCCCGGTCTGAGAGTTCACATGAAAGTGAAGAAGGTATGAAATTTTTTGATGTTGCCAAGTATAAGGTCCAATATTCCAAAAAAAAATTTTTTTTTGATTTATAGATGACAGATTCATTGTCGAAGACGACGATGGTCACCGAAGACGGAGACATCGTGGTACCGCTTCTAATAGAGCGTAAGTTTTTTTTTGGAAATTTGATGTCATGGTGAATATAATTTTTGCCCATGAATGTTATAAAAATTGTATTTTCAGCGAGCTCCGAGAAGCGCAAGATATTTTCGGGTTCGAGGATGAGGATATTTTGGGGATGAATGAGATTTTCGATCAAGTCGATGATTATGAAGATGGAGAAGGAGATGAGACCCGAAAGGAGAAAACCCTGCTCAGCGTATTAGAACCAGAGGATCTGGAGCTCCACAAGTCCGAAGACCACAAAATTATCTATGCGGACATCCCTGAACGCTTCCAAACTCGGCCAATTCCAGTGCAGAAAGCCGAAGAAGACGAGTTGAAATTGGAAGCCCAATGGATCATGAAGAGGGCCTTTGATCGGCTGAATGTCATCTCAGTTCAAGACGGCTATCAATTGGAGTTTATTGAGTCAGGCACATCGAATGAGGACACCGTGAAACAGGAGGCTCCGGAGAAGGTGCAAGAAGCCCTAAATTTTATCCGAAATTCGAATCTAGAAGTGCTGTTCATCGCGTTCTACAGAAAGGAACATATTTATGAGATTTTGGGGGTGCAGGATTTGTGGGCCATCTATGAATACGACGAGAAATGGCTGCATCTTCGAGATCGGCAAGCCCGATTGAAGGAATTGCTCAGAAGAATGGAATCTTTCGTGAATGAAGTACCGGAAAGTGAGGGTCTGGTGAGAAGAGTCAAGGCAGAAGACTATGCGAGGTAACTGGTTTGATTTTTCTATCAAAATTTTGATTTTTTTCAATTTTTAGGTCTAGTATAATATAATTTTTTTTGAACTTCTGAATTTTTCTTTTTAGAATTGAAACCGCCGAGACGAATGAGGAAGTCAACGATTGTTTCGAGCACTTCCAATTGTACTATTCCAACTTTTTGACCAGAATGGTGCAACATGAAATTGAGAAGAACCAGGACCCGGAACATCAAGCCCAGGCGGTCCCGAAAACCACCGCCAAGAACGATAAATACTGGAGCTGCGCCTTGAATGGCCCTGGCGATGTTGTCGCCAAGTTTGGGCTGACGGCGGAACAGGTCGCTGAAAATTTTGAGTTCCCCCGGCATATCGCCGAATCCAACCCGCAAGCCCCGTTGGAAGTGGCCAAAGACCTTGTCAATCAACTCTTCGAAACCTCGGAAGTGATTATTAGAGGCGCCAAGTATGTGTTCGCATATCAGCTGAGTCGCGAGCCGGCTGTGAGACGGCGAGTTCGACAGGTGAGCCACTAATGTCAAGTACAATATAATTTGCTTCAGATGTACCGGAATTACGCGAAGCTGAGGGTCTACCCGACTCGCAGAGGTCAAGTAGACATTGATGAGTCCAATCCCATCTTCCCCCGCCGCTATTTGGTCGGCAAACCGGTCAGAGAATTGGAAAGAGCCGAGTTCTTGGAGTATCATGCCGCCAAAGAACAGGGATTGTTGAATGTTGAGGTCTACGTGGACCCCAAAGGCTCCATCGAGGGACACAACATTGCTGAAGACTTTATGAACACTGAGGATGTGTTTGGGGAAACCACCGAGACCAGTCATTCGGCCATGGAATGGAAAAGACTCCGGGAAGAGGCGCTGGAACAGTGCATCATGGACATTTTGTGCCCGTACTTTGCCAAAGAAACGTATGAAGTGTTGCTAGATGAGTCGAGAAAGCATGTACTGAAAGTAGGTTGATTTTAGAGGGGTTTTGGAAAAGTTACAGCTGATTTTTGGACAGTGATACCTAGTGTAATATAATTTTTGATGAAAAGTCAAAAATTTTTGGGAATTTTCATATGATTTGGATGTTTTCAGGAGTGTCGAGCCAAACTGGAAAAAGCCTTGATGGTCGGCCGCTACAGACCGACCATTGAATACGCGAATGAGGAGGAGGAAAGAAGGGAGCCGGAGCAGGACTCGGAGAACAAGAATTTCCCCCCAGCCCGTATTGTGGCAATCGCCCCGACCGCCGAATTTAGCGGAGAGAGCCAGGCAGTCGCTCTGGATGAGAATGGAGTTGTCCTGGATCATTGTCCGGTCACTTTTCATTCAAAATTTAGAGATCAAGGGGTAAGTGTAATATAATTTAATTTTTGGAGATAAATAGCAGTTTTTTGAGGGATAAGGGTTTTTTTGTGGTTTTGAGGCCCTTGTGGGAGATTTGAAAAGCTTTGCCGTTGGTTTGGAGAGAAAAAATTGAAATTTTTATATTGTAGTAGATATCAAAATTTGGAGATAAATAGCAGTTTTTTGAGGGAATACGGACTTTTTGAAGTTTTTAGGAGCTTATAGGAGACTTGAATCAGTTTGCAGTTTGTTTGGAGAGAAAAAATTGAAATTTTTATATTGTAGTAGATATCAAAATTTGAAGATAAATAACTGTTTTTGAGGGAATACGGATTTTTTTGAAGTTTTTAGGACATCTTGGGAGATTTTAATCACTTTGCAGTTGATTTAGAGAGAACAAAATTTTGATTTTTTATATTGTATTATAGTAGATATCAAAATTATTTTTTTTTTCGATTTTCCAGGTGAACTGGGATGTTTCGCTCCGCGCATTCATTGCGATGTGTAGAAAATACCGCCCGCATGTCATAGCCATCGCCGGAACGGACTTGCGCTCGGTGAATTTGAAGCGGGACCTGGAAAGAAGTCTGGACGAGGCTGTGGACGATCAACGATTGGAGATTCGAATACCCGTGGAAATTGTCTCAGCAGAAGTGGGGAGGATATTCAGCAACAGCAAGACTGGAAGAGTATGAATTTTGCGGTTTTTTGGGGGAATTTTGCGATTTTTTTGGCAAGGAAAGAACTTCTATGGGGTATGGAGTTGCAGGTCGAGACATGTATCAAAAAATCGCAAAATTTTGCTGATTCAGTATGTGTAAAAGTTTGCTGTCTAATTTTGGTTTGTAAGGGTGAAAAAGTCCTCAGAACTTTTCTCACAACACCACGCAAATGCCTTTTTTTTTGACCGAGTTTTTACCAAATCAAAAGGTTTTTTTCGAGCTCATACCTACTTATTAAGGTGTAGTATTAATCAAATTTGATATTTTCAAGGCTTGTCAAGAAGCCAGGGTTTACGTTAGCTCAAAAAAAGCTTTTGAATTTGTAAAAACTTGGTCAAAAAAGAAGCATTTGCGTGGTGTTGCAAGAAAAGCTCTGAGGATTTTTTCACCCTTACAAACCAAAGTTAGGCAGCTAATTTTTACATATTCTGAATCAGAAAAGTTTTGCGATTTTTTTGATGTATGTCTCGACCTGTAACTCCATACCCCATTGAAGTATTTCCTTGTGAAATTTTTATACGAAAATGGGTGGATTTGGATTTTTTTTTTGGATTTTTTGGTGGTAGAAATCTTTTTTACCGAGGTGTAGTGTGGATGAAAATTTGCAGGAAGAGTTCCCCCACCACAACCCCAACACCCGACTCGCAATCTCCGTCGGCCGCTGCCTGCGCGACCCGTTGTTGGAGTACGCACGCCTGTACAACAAGGAGAAGGATTACTTGAGCATACGCCTCCACCCGATGCAAGCCAACGTCCCCGAACGCGACCTCAGCTGGGCCTTCCAACGAGAGTTTGTGAACCGCGTGAATGAGGTCGGCGTGGACATCAATTACTGCATCGAATTCCCCCATACCAACGGCGTAATGCAGTTTGTTTGTGGGTTCGGCCCGAGGAAAGCGGAACATGTGATGCAGTTACTGGAACATCAGAGCTTGATCTTGGATGCGAGGTGAGTGGGAGATGCATTTGAGGGGAATTGATGGTAGTTGGAGGGGATTTTTGAGAGCTTTTATATTATACTAGGTAGCTTGGAGAAAATTTTTTAAAAAATCATGGTTTTTGACTTTAACTTTATGATTGATGGTGTTTTAAGGTCGAAACTGGTCACACTGTGCTCTCTGGGACCCACGATATTCATCAATTCCGCCGGCTTCATCAAGATTGACATTGAAAAAGTACGAGATACGGCTGAAGATTATGTAGAACAATTAGACGGCTCGAGAGTCCATCCCGAAACATACGAATGGGCCCGGAAAATGGCCATGGATGCGCTGGAGTACGACGAAACGAATGACCCGGCAAACGCGATCGATGATGTCATTCAACAGCCGGATCGACTGAAAGAACTTGATCTTGATGCCTTTGCCGAAGAACTGGCTAGACAAGGATTCGGAAACAAGCAAATCACTTTATATGACATTAGAGCCGAGCTGAATCATCGGTATAAAGATCTGCGACAGCCGTATCAGAGCCTTCAAGGCATGGACCTGTTCAATATTTTGGTCCCAAATCCCGATTTGTTCTTGCCTGGTAAGAAGATTGGGGAGATTTAGGGGTGAATTGAAGGATTTAGGAGATGTATAGAGAGTTGGAGTTTGATTGGGAGGGGTTGAGCAGGGATTTGAGATCAATATATATAACTTTACAAGGAAAGTATATACTTATATGGGGTATGGAGTTACAGGTCGAGACATGTATCAAAAAATCGCAAAATTTTTCTGATTCAGAATATGTAAATGTTGGCTGCCTAATTTTGGTTTTTAGGGGTGAAAAAATCCTCAGAACTTTTCTCGCAACTTCACGAAAAATACCTTTTTGACCAAGTTTTTACCAAAATCAAAAGCTTTTTTTTGAGCTAAAGTAAACCCGGGCGTCTTGACAAGGCTTAAAATATCAAATTTGATTAATACTACACCTTAATCAGTAGTTCATTTTTACATTGGATTCCTTTTTATATTGGAACTACTAATTAAGGTGTAGTATTAATAAAATTTGATATTTTAAGGCTTGTCAAGATGCCAGGGCTTACTTTAGCTTAAAAAATTGCTTTTGAATTGGTAAAAACTTGGTCAAAAAAGGCATTTGCGTGGTGCTGCGAGGAAAATTCTGAGGATTTTTTTCACCCTTACAAACCAAGATTAGGCAGCTAACTTTTACATATTCTGGATTTGAAAAATTTTGCGATTTTTTTGATTTATGTCTCGACCTGTAACTCCATACCCCATAGAAGTATACACTTTCCTTGTAAAGTAATTTAAATTTATCTCAAATTCCTGCTCAACCCCTCCCAATCAAACTCCAACTCTCTATACATCCCCTAAATCCTCCAATTCTCCCATAAATCTCCCCAATCTTAATGATTGTAGGCAAGTTGATCACCGGCCGCGTCCAACGAGTCCAGATGAAGAAATCGGACCCTGACCGCGGCCCAATGGACGAGAACGACTCGAGGAATCAGGTGGGCGTGAGGGTGATCCTGGACGAGGGAGTGAACGGCTTCATCCGCCGAAAAGACTGCTCCGACGACCCGGACTCGATCCGCGACTTGAACGACGTCTTCAAACAACAGATGCCGATCATCTGCAAAATCCTCCAGTTCAACGAGAACAACTTTTCCTGCAACCTCAGCTGCAAGGGATCGGACTTGAAGTCGGGCCAACCGCAGCTGGACAAGTACTTTGATACGCCCAGGTGCGAACAGGACAACCGAAAATTGGACATGCGCAAGACAATGAACACGTTCAAGACCCGATTTGTGAAGCGGGTCATCTCCCATCAGGCCTTCCACAATGTCACCCATGCTGATGCGGAGCGAATGCTGAGGACCATGAACCAAGGCGAAGCCATCATCCGACCCTCATCGAAAAGCATGAACCATTTAACGGTGACCTGGAAAGTGGCCGAAGGCGTGTATCAACACGTGAATATCGCCGAAAGCAAGAAGAAACATTACTTTAACTTGGGGAAGGAACTGAAAATTGATAAAGAGGTGGGAATTGGAGAGGTTTGAGTTGAAAGTGGAGGAAATTTGGCGGAAAAAGAAATTGGAGAATTTTTATTCTTTGGCTAAAAAATTTGTCGAAGTTTTGGAATTTTTTAGCGAATTGTCATAGGAAAAGATAACCAGCTAAAAATTGCCCTTAAAAAATCTCAAAAAGTGTTGGAATTTTGGCATTTTTGGACTCAAAAAATCTCAGCGAACAATTTCTAAACTTTTTGGGAAAGAAAAATAAATTTTCCACTGTAATTTTATAGTAGACAGCTCAAAAAGTTTTATCAAAAATCCGGATTTTTTTAGCTAAAAAATCTCGATTTGCCTCAAAATTTCGATCTAAAAATCTCAAACATGTCCTATCAGTCTGTCGGGAAAATAATGAGCACTGTGTCGCACATCAACCACAAAAAAAAAGAGTTTCAAATCGGGAAAACTGTTTGCATAACTTTGTTAGGGTGCCCAAGGGTAGCTCAAATTAAAAATTGGAAACGAGTCGGACTGACCAAAAAATAGTAGTAGTAGTAGATTTGAAAACCTTATTTTAGACATCTTTTGCCACTAAATCGTTTCGTAACGAAGCAATTGCCTAAATTCTTTTTTCTATGAGCATAATTAGAGTATTTTTAGAGAACAATAAGCAACCCTGTGTCATATACTAGCTTACTCACTCAAAATTCCAAAAAAAGTGATATTTAGGTGACTAAAATAATATTTTAAAAATCGGTAAATTTTGGCTCAGCTAGGTCCATTATGATCTAAAAAGACAATAAGAGCATAATTAGCGGCATCCGCACCAGTTTAGAAGCTGTTCTAAGAACCTTGTTTTAGGTGATATTGGCCATTTTTGAAATTGGCGCAGCGAAGTTGAAACCAACTCCAAAAGCTCAGTATAGCCTTAGAAAGCCATCTCAATTTACATAGATAATTTTAAAACTTTGACTTCAGTCATAAACTTTCATTATTTTTGGTATAAGATCAGGTATGCTACTATAAGGTAAAACTTTTTTTCGACCTAAGAGTTAAAATTTTTGCAGTTAATCTCCCTTAACAGGATGTTATGAGATAATATAGTTAAGCTTACTTTTTTATTATCTGTCCGATTTGCTTCAAACTTCGCATACTACCTTAGAATACAATATTCTGAAGATCGTTGCAATCACTTTCCGTGTTTCAATCGTTTCAGACAAGTTATTCAGCCGCAAAGTTTGCAAAAATTCGATTTTCTCCGGCAGTTTGTCGCTAACCTGGTGGCCGAAGAACGCCAAAATCCATTAATTTAAAAAATATGGGTCCTTGGCAATGTTTTAATCGCAGGTTCATGTTATTTTGTTCATTACCCACTGCACAGTAAGCTAAAACATTAGAGACCCTTAAAAAACCGAATGCCAAAAATCTTGGCATTCTGTTTGTGGTTGATGTGTGTCGCATCGAAACTGCTGCCGAGAAAGTGAATTGTGCGGCAAAAAAATTGCATTGCATTCCAGCGACGCAATCAGCGACAGAGTGCTCATTATTTTCCCGACAGACTGATAAGACATGTTTGAGATTTTTAGGCCGAAATTTTGAGGCAAATCGAGATTTTTTAGTTAAAAAATTGCGGAATTTTGATAAAATTTTTGTGAGCTGTCTAGTGTAAGATTACTGTGGAAAATTTATTTTTCCTTACCCAAAAAGATTTAGAAATTGTTTGAGCAGATTTTTTGAGTCGAAAAATGCCGTAATTTCAATATTTTTTGAGATTGTTTGCAGTTTACCTAAAGTAATATGGATGATTTTAGTCATACGAAGACTTGGACGAAATCCTCGCCCGTTTCGTCACACCCATGGCCGAATACGCGAGAGAGGTGCTGGGCCACAAGTACTCGCTGGAAGGCTGGATCTTCGAGGACCACAAGGAAGAAATCGAAGCCAACATCAAAGCCCAACGAGAACAGGCGCCGGCCCGAATCCCCTACGTCTTCACGGTGTCCAGAGAGTTCCCCGGGAAGTTTGTGATCTCCTACCAACTCCGAAAACCCCTCCACGAATACTTTACGGTGACGCCGGAGGGCGTGCGCTTCCGACAACGCACCTTCCCCACCCTGGAATCAATGATCAACTGGTTCAAACAGCACTACAGAGAGATGCCGAGACGTTGAAAAAAAGAGTTGAAAAAGAAGAGGAATCCCCTAGAAGACCCTATTATTTATTTTTTTTTGTTGCTGTCAGAAATATTTTTTTTTGTTGACCCATCTCATCATTAATGTTCTCTTACGCCGTGTTTTGTAGATAACGATTTTTTACGCCCTGATTACAGCGAGTAAATATTTGGCAAAATTATTATGTATTTTATCATTATTATGGATGGTTTAGCAATGGGAAGCAATTTTTGAAAAACGCTTTTCATTTATGGAGAGGAAAAAATAAAAAAAAAATTAACAGGGGAAGTACCCCAAGTGCGACGCTCAGATTTTGATGAAACTTGGCACAAATTTAGAATAATTTTTTCTAACAAGATATATGCGAGAATCCAAGCTCGCGCTTTGCAGAAACAACCGAGATTTTTAGATCGAAAGTCGGCGAAAATTTACGACTTTTTGCCGAATTTCGGGACGAAAAGTTTCATGCCTATTTCTACCGTAAAGGATAATGTTTCCACAAAAAATCAATTTTTTCGGCGCAAAACTAGCGAAGTTATGGCCAAAAATTGTTTTTCTATTTGGCCGCTCTCCACGTTTAGTGTGCTCTCTCGGCGGCAAAAATCGTTCGATATCTCGGCGGCGCCCGCAAAGCGCGAGCTAAAACTTTCAGGAATTGATATTTAGTCCATACCCGACGTGTGTGCAAAATCTCAAAAAAATCTGAGCGTGGAGTGCTTACCCTGTTAGGTTATACAGTAAATAAGGCATCGCCAAGTCTCCGCCGAGCGCTTCCCTTGTAAATTCAAAAATCTGATCGCTGCCCATGATTACAGCGAGTAAATATTTGGCAATTTTTTTTGTGATTTAACAATGGGGAGCAATTTTTGGAAAACGCTTTTCATTTATGGCGAAGCAAAAAAATAAAAAAAAATCAAAAATCTGATCGCTGCCCTGATTACAGCGAGTAAATATTTGGCAATTTTTGTGTATATTATGGATGATTTACCAATGGGAGCAATTTTTGGAAAACGCTTTTCATTTATGGCGAAGCAAAAAAAATAAAAAAAAAATTAATTTGATATCAAAAATCTATGTTAAAAAGCTGAAAAAAATCTCAATTCATCAAGTTCTCGGCGGCGCTCTGCTCCATCGCGATGGTCTCGGCCATCGCTCGACTCAACTTCTCCTCGATCGACCGGATCATCGGCGTATTCTCGGCGTTCCGCTTCGTCACCGCCATATGATGGTCGAGATGACGGCGCGCGTCGTGCAAATAGAGCATTCGATGGCTCACGTTCGACGTCTCACACGCCGTACTCACCATGTGGTCGATGCGGAGGAGGGGCGTCACGCGCCGGTTGGTCTCCACCTCGGGCGGAACTATTGGGGCGGCTGGAAAAAAGAGCTGGTAAAAGGGGGATTTTTCGATTTTTTTTCAAATTTTTTGCAAATTTGGTGGCTATTTTTGAGCCGACACTACATATATCAGTCTGTCGGGAAAATAGTGAGCACAATTTCGCATCAAAAACCGCAAAATCTTTCGAAAAGAATCGGAAAGCAGGCAACTTTCACTATGCCGAAAAAAGCCCTAAAAAAGTCTACGCTTTCTGCAACGGCTTGTATCAATTGTCGGGAAAATAATGTGGATTTCCCATGCCTTAGAATCTCACATCATCGCTTTGCAACGGCTTCCCGTAGCTGGGAATTTGGCGCCTGACAACACCCTTTTTTCGATGAGGCAAAGCATTTTGCTGCTACGAGCCGCCACTATTTTCCCGACAGACTGATACAGCAACCAAATCTCCCTCCCTACCATTCTCCTCCGAACACTCGTCATCTTTCGCGGCGGTCTCGGCAAACGTCCGATACATTTCGGTCGCCAACCCCGCAGCAAGCACTCAAACACCATGTACAACCATGCTTGTCTAGTTAAAAGTAGCCCTACCTCGCACTAATCGATACTCCTCCAGCCAAGAATGCCGCTCCACCATGCTGCCCGCAGGCCTCGGCGATAATTATGGGCTCCGATCGAGGCCGAAATTTCGTGACTTTGTGCGGAAAAAAAGAGTTCGTGCCCCATTGTCGTGACGCAAGTTTACACTTTGAAATAAGCGGAATAAATAGTGGAGGGCAGGTGGAAACATGCGACACTTATATTTTGATGAAACTTGGCGCAAATTTAGAAAAATTTTTTCTATGAAATATGCGAGATTTTTAGATCGCGTTATGCAGAGACAACTGAGATTTTTAGGCCGAAAGTTTGTCAAAATTTGACATTTTTTGTGAATTTTGCCATGAAAATTTGCATGTCTATTTCTACTGTAGAGTGTAATATTCCCACAAAAAATTATATTTTTCCCCACAAAATTGGCCGAGATATGGCCAAAAAATGTTTTTCTCTCTGATTCTCCGCATTTTGCACACTCTCTCGGCCAGAAAAGATTGTTGAACATCTCGCTGAAATTTCCAAAAATTGAGGTGCTTTTGCCAAAATTATTATTATTTTTTTGAAAAGTTTTGATCGACTCTTGGTATGAAAAGCCTCTTCGCCACGGCAAGGCGGTCGATCTTCGAAGAGGAAATTCCTTTTTCGCCCGAAGGCGGGGAAAGGAATAAACCCGCAAAAACACACTGAAACCCGGCGTTCAGTGTAGACTGAAGAGGGAAGACAGACGATAAATAGAGAAAAAATAATGAAAAATAAGGGAAAATAAGACAAAATGGAAAAATAAAAGATAATTAAATTAAAAAATTAAAAATTTTTTTTGGATTTTTTATTTTTTATATTGATTAAAATAATTAAATAAAAAAAGTATTTTTTTTTTGGATTTTTTATTTTTTTTTGTAAATTAAAAACAAAAAATTTTTTTTTGTATTTTATATTTTCTTATAATAAAAAAATTACTAAAAGTCACGTTCAATAATTTTCAAACCCCTCTAAAACCTCGTCCCAATTGTCCTCGGGCGCAGTTTGCGCCTCCGAACTCTCCGGCGCAGTTTGCGTCTCCTCCGCCGCTTCAATGCCAGCAATTTGCATGGCATTTTGCAGGAAGTCCTCGTTCGACTGCTCCAATGGAGCCTCCGAACTCGGACTTTGCTCAATTTGCCCCGAGGGCATATTATCTCCAGACACAAAATTGTGGCAGTACTCCTGTGGGATTTGTGGAGTACAGTAGGTCATCTGCGGATAATAATTCGCTGATGGGTTACTGTACTCTGCAAATCCCACCGGATTACTGTAACCATTTTGTGGTGGGCAATAATTATTGCCCGAGGCAAATTGAGCCTGGTTTTGAGCAGGTGCAATATATGGAGCATGGATATTCAAGTTTTGACCTGAATATCCATGGTTCATATATTGCACTTGCTCCAAGCCACTTGCAAAGTCGGGGGAGCCCTCTAAACTCCCGTATCCCTCACTTACCTCCGTCAACTTACGTGGGCGTCCCGGCTTGCGTGGCTTCTCCTCCTTCTGGCTCTTCTTACATCGCGCCCGGTGGTTGGCGAAGTAGACCTTGATGGTCTTCTCCGGCAGCCCCGTTGAGTCGACCAGCTCCGACATTCGCGAGCCAATGTCTTGACTCTCCGCGAACGCCTCGGCCAGCGTCTTCTCCTGGGCCGCCGACCACTTGGTTCGGGCGAACTTCTTCTCCTTCTTCTGGATCCTGCCACTTTGGACCCGTCCAATCCCGCCTAAAATCAAATTTGAGGCAAAACCAGCCTCCGCGACCAAATTTGCCTGAGGCAAAGCAATTGGGACTGGTCCTTGATACCCCGAAGAGGCATGTTGGATCATGGAAGGGTCATAAAAGGCAGGGACATAGGCGTAAACGGGGCATGGGACATTATACATGATGATTTAATGAAAAATCAAGAAAATCAAGAGCAAATTTGAAAAATCACCTCACAGTAGGCTGCGAAATCAATGAATAAGCCTATAGGCGCTGAGTTTCGGCCCTTCCGCAATTTTCTGTCCACGTGCCCCGCCCAATTATTGCGCAGAAACAGGCGTTGCGCAGAAATTTTAGGCCTATTCTCTTGCGCAATCGCACGCTTTGGATTTGAAATTTTTTTCTGCCATACGATTTTTGGAATTTCAAACAAGCCCTCAAGTAAAAGTAGGACCTGTTTTTACCATTGTAAAACAACTTGGCAATCAGTTATAGGCATTTCAAAAAGTTCATGACATTTCTGAACCAAGTGTAATATAATCACCAAAAACTTGTCAAATTTCCTTACCTTTTCTAAATTTTCTATTCTCAATTTCATTATTCTTTACTTTACTATCAAAAAACATAAATTTGAATACATTAAGATTATTTATTTATCGTTAAAATTCAAAAAACCAAACATTAACAATCGAATGATCAAGTACAATATTTTTTCAACTTCTGGACCTGGACCTGTAGCGGCGTCGATGGGAGCGATGTCTGGAAGTAAAATAAATAAAAATAAATCAAATTCAATTCGTATTTTAGCTTTTTTATAGCAAAAAGATCCAAAAAAATCTTATTCTACCCACCTTGGACTTGGTGATCTTCTTCTGTAGCTTGAACTCCGACTTCTCGACCTTCTCCTTCGTCTTTTCGGACTTCTGCTCGAACTTCGCTCCCTTCTCGATCTTGAAGAGCTTCTGGATCTTCTTCGTCTCTCCGGGCTTCTAGACCTTCTTCTTCTTGACCTTGATCTACTCCTTCTTCTCGAACTTCCTCGGCTCCTATCGCTTTCCACACTCTCCCTAGACCCTCTACTTTCTGCTCGATCATCTGCTCTCTTCTCCTTGAATTTTTTGAGAGTTTGAACAAAATTTTAAAATGTTTTCGCTTCGGGACAGGGGAAAAAGAATTTTTTGAAGAATTGAGGTTTATTTTTTAATTTTTCAGGGAAATAGTGTATAAGCGACGAGCAAATAAGAAAATCGTATCCATTGCCCATGTTTTTAACTGGGAGCACGGGATTTAAACGCAGACAGTGCCAAAGAGTGGAGTAAGAATATAGTCGTAATGATTGTATGCACATAACGATTTTTTTATTTGTTCGTCGCTTATAAACACCATTTTCCCAAAAAAATTTTAAAATAAACCTCAATTACCTCTAAAATAACTATTTATCTAAAAAATTAAAGAAATAACATTCGTACCTTATGAAAAAATAAATTGTAACATTCAGAACAAAAAAATCCTTTTCCCACGTCCCGAAGCGAGAACATTTAAAAAATTTGTTCAAACTCACCAAAAAATACTTTTTTCCAAGTCCCGAAGCGAAAATATTAAACGGCATCGTTGACCCGAAATGTCGTTGACCCGAGTTGTCCCTGACCCGAAATGTCGGGACGCGAAATTTTAATCTGCTCCACCACTTCTTTCTCCGGCTGTATTGGGACCAACGGTGGTCCGGGATAAAAAGGGGTGGGTCGCTGATAAAAGTTCTGATGCCATGTGTTATAATTGTGAATCTCGGTGGGATCGGTCTCATAACATTGAGGCTTCGTCGGAGATTCGTCATATTATACTAGGCCTTCCGATGTCGACGGGGTTGGTTCTACGGGTGGTTCTGGTGGTTCCTGAGGTTGAATGGAGTGTATCGCGTAGAGGGATGAGTATGGGTTCGACTGGAAGCTCAACACCATTACTTTATACCAAAAAATCAAAAATTTTGACCTAAAGTAATATAAACTAATATAAATTGGTCAAAAAATGTTCAATTTCTCCTATACAATCGCCTCAACTCTCTCCAAAATCTCCGCAGACGGGAAAATAATGGCGAACCGCCATTATTTTCCCGACAGACTGATACAGCAACCAAATCTCCCTACCATTCTCCTCCGAACACTCGTCATCTTTCGCGGCGGTCTCGGCAAACGTCCGATACATTTCGGTCGCCAACCCCGCAGCAAGCACTCAAACACCATGTACAACCATGCTTGTCTATAGTTAAAAGTAGCCCTACCTCGCATTAATCGATACTCCTCCAGCCAAGAATGCCGCTCCACCATGCTGCCCGCAGGCCTCGGCGATAATTATGGGCTCCGATCGAGGCCGAAATTTCGTGACTTCGTGCGGAAAAAAGAGTTCGTGCCCCCATTGTCGTGACGCAAGTTTACACTTTGAAATAAGCGAAATAAATGGTGGAGGGCAGGTGGGAATATTTTTAAACTTTTTGACGTAGAAAATGAGGTGGGATTAGGAAATTGAGAATAGTAATTTTAGCCCCTTCTCACTAATTTTAGTCATCATTTTTGGGTTAAAGTTGCGATAGAAAATGCTCAAATTACGACACTCAGATTATGATGAAACTTGACACAGATTTAGAAAAATTTTTTCTATGAAATATGCGAGATTTTTAGATCGCGTTATGCAGAAATGACTGAGATTTTTAGGCCGAAAGTTGGTCAAAATTTGACATTTTTTTGTGAATTTTGCCATGAAAATTTGCATGTCTATTTCTACTGTGGAGTGTAATATTTCCACAAAAAATTAATTTTTTCCCCGCAAAATTGGCCGAGATATGGCCAAAAAGTGTTTTTCTCTCTGATTCTCCGCATTTTGCAAATTCTCTCGGCCAGAAAAGATCGTTGAATATCTCGGCAAAATTTCTTAAAATTGAGGTGTTTTTTGTCAAGGATATTATTCTTTTTTGAAAAGTTTTGATCGACTCTTGGTATTAAAAGCCTCTTCGCCACGGCAAGGCGGTCGATCTTCGAAGAGGAAATTCCTTTTTCGCCCGGAGGCGGGGAAAGGAGCAAACCCGCAAAAACACACTGAAACCCGGCGTTCAGTGTAGACTGAAGAGGGAAGAGAGACGATGAACATAGAAAAAATTATAAAAAATAAGAGATTATAAGACAAAATGGAAAAATAAAAAAAATTAAAAATTAAAATTTTTTTTTGATTTTCTATTTTTTATGTTGATTAAAATAATTGAATAAAAAAGTATTTTTTTTTTTGGTTTTTTTTTTATTTTTTTTTGTAAATTAAAAACAATATTTTTTGTATTTTTTATCTTTTTTTTTGTAAATTAAAAAATAATTAAAAATAATTAAAAAATTTTTTTTTGTATTTTATATTTTTTTATAAAAAAAAATTACTAAAAGTCACATTCAATAATTTTCAAACCCCTCTAAAACCTCGTCCCAATTGTCCTCGGGCGCAGTTTGCGCCTCCGAACTCTTGGGCGCAGTTTGCGTCTCCTCCGCCGATTCAATGCCAGCAATTTGCATGGCATTTTGCAGGAAGTCCTCGTTCGACTGCTCCAAAGGAGCCTCCCAACTCGGACTTTGCTCAATTTGCCCCGGGGGCATATTATCTCCACTCACAAAATTGTTACAGTACTCCTGTGGGATTTGTGGAGTACAGTAGGCCATCTGCGGATAATAATTCGCTGATGGGTTACTGTACTCTGCAAATCCCACCGGATTACTGTAACCACTTTGTGGTGGGCAATAATTATTGCCCGAGGCAAATTGAGCCTGGTTTTGAACAGGTGCATTATATGAACCATGGATGTTCAAGTTTTGACCTGAATATCCATGGTTCATATACTGCACTTGCTCCAAGCCACCTGCAAAGTCGGGGGAGCCCTCTAAACTCCCGTAACCCTCACTTACCTCCGTCAATTTACGTGGGCGTCCCGGCTTGCGTGGCTTCTCCTCCTTCTGGCTCTTCTTACATCGCGCCCTGTGGTTGGCGAAGTAGACCTTGATGGTCTTCTCCGGCAGCCCAGTTAAATCCACCAGCTCCGACATTCGCGAGCCAATGTCTTGACTCTCCGCGAACGCCTCGGCCAGCGTCTTCTCCTGGGCCGCCGACCACTTGGTTCGGGCGAACTTCTTCTCCTTCTTCTGGATCCTGCCACTTTGGACCCGTCCAATTTCGCCTAAAATCAAATTTGAGGCCAAACCAGCCCCCGCGACCAAATTTGCCTGAGGCAAAACAATTGGGACTGGTCCTTGATACCCCGAAGAGGCATCTAGGACCATGGAAGGGTCATAAAAGGCAGGGACATAAGCATAAACGGGGCATGGAACATTATACATGATGATTTTAATGAAAAATCAGTGAAAATCAAGAGCAAAATTGAAAAATCACCGCACAGTAGGCTGCGACATCAATGAATAAGCCTATAGGCGCTGAGTTTCGGCGCTTCCGGGATTTTCTGTCCACGTGCCCCGCCCAATTATTGCGCAGAAACAGGCGCTTGCGCAGAAATTTTAGGCCTATTCTCTTGCGCAATCGCACGCTTTGGATTTGAAATTTTTTTCTGCCATACGATTTTTGGAATTTCAAACAAGCCCTCAAGTAAAAGTAGGACCTGTTTTTACCATTGTAAATCAACTTGGCAATCAGCTATAGGCATTTCAAAAAGTTCATGACATTTCTGAACCAAGTGTAATATAATCACCAAAAACTTGTCAAACTGAATTTTCTTATCCCAATATCTTTATTCTTTATTTTACTATCAAAAAATATCAATTTGAATACATTAAGAATATTTATTTATCGTTAAACTTCAAAAAAACAAACATTAACAATCGAATGATCAAGTACAATATTTTTTCTATTTTTTCAACTTCTGGACCTGGATCTGTAGCGGCGTCGATGGGAGCGATGCCTGAAAGCAAAATAAATAAAATTCAATTCGTATTTTAGCTTTTTTATAGCAAAAACATCCAAAAAAATCTTATTCTACCCACCTTGGACTTGGTGATCTTCTTCTGTAGCTTGAACTCCGACTTCTCGACCTTCTCCTTCGTCTTTTCGGACTTCTGCTCGAACTTCGTTCTCTTCTCGATCTTGAAGAGCTTCTGGATCTTCTTCGTCTCTCCGGGCTTCTAGACCTTCTTCTTCTTGACCTTGATCTACTCCTTCTTCTCGAACTTCCTCGGCTTCTATCGCTTTCCACACTCTCCCTAGACCCTCTACTTTCTGCTCGATGATCTGCTCTCTTCTCCTTCTCTCCATTTTCCTCCTTCTCCACCAGCTTGTTCACCTGTTTCTGTACCAAATTCGAGATTAATCCGGGTAGCACCTTCTCGGGAGGTGCAATACTTTCCTCCGTCTTTTTTCGTCGTCGCTTCTCTTCCGATACTCCGTGATCTGCTCTTCCTCTCCGAAAGCCTCTCTCACAGACTGTTTGACGTCTTCAGCCTTATCGACCGGTCGATTTTCCTCATTTTTATTGCGTTTTCTTTTCAAAAGGTCTGCCATAAATTGTCGGGCCCTCTCTTTCCGCAATTGCTTCACTTTTTCGTCGGCTTCATCAGGAACAGCGTCGAATCCGGGGAATTGCTGAGGCTTGGGAGGTTCTGGAGCAGAAGGCACAGTTATTACCGTGCTCTCAAGCTTCTGATTCAGTCCACTTCCGCCCAAATTTGAATTTCCCAAAATTTTATATCCCACTGATGTCGATGGCTGATCATAACGTTGTCCTCCAATTCTCGCTGAATTTGCCAGTCCATTCTGATGGTTATTCTCTGCTTCATTGCCTTCCATCATATAAAAATATTTGCTCTTGGTGAAGGCGGCCGAATAGGGGTTCAATTTGCATTGAAAATACCGTATTTTCGTGTGGTAGAATATGATATTCGGGTTGTCGGGGTAGAGGAAGCTGAGTGGAGTGCGGTTATCTGCAAAAGAATCCAGTCAGATCATCAGAACAGTACAATCTTCCAAAAAATTATATTACACTAGACATCTGATGTCAAAACCTGTCATTTTTCGCGTTGAAGACCAAAATTACTGTCCAAACCAAGTTGAAAATTAATCTTCACACTCTTTATTACTTACCCAATAACCGTCTCTCAGCGTATGCTCCATTCGCAGCGACATATCTGGCTGCCAAATTAATCTGCTCCACCACTTCTTTCTCCGGCTGTACTGGGACCAGTGGTGGTCCGGGATAAAAAGGGGTGGGTCGCTGATAAAAGTTCTGATGCCATGTGTTATAAGTGTGAATCTCGGTGGGATCGGTCTCATAACATTGAGGCTTCGTCGGAGATTCTTCATATGATACTAGGCCTTCCGATGTCGACGGGGCTGGTTCTACGGGTGGTTCTAGTGGTTCCTGAGGTTGAATGGAGTGTATCGCGTAGAGGGATGAGTATGGGTTCGACTGGAAGCTCAACACCATTACTTTATACCAAAAATCAAAAATTTTGACCTAAAGTGATATAAACCAATATAAATTAGTCAAAAACTCTTAAATTTCTCCTATACAATCGCCTCAACTCTCTCCAAAATCTCCGCAGACGGGAAAATAATGGCGAGCCGCCATTATTTTCCCGACAGACTGATACAGCAACCAAATCTCCCTACCATTCTCCTCCGAACACTCGTCATCTTTCGCGGCGGTCTCGGCAAACGTCCGATACATTTCGGTCGCCAACCCCGCAGCAAGCACTCAAACACCATGTACAACCATGCTTGTCTAGCTAAAAGTAGCCCTACCTCGCATTAATCGATAGTCCTCCAGCCAAGAATGCCGCTCCACCATGCTGCCCGCAGGCCTCGGCGATAATTATGGGCTCCGATCGAGGCCGAAATTTCGTGACTTTGTGCGGAAAAAAAGAGTTCGTGCCCCCATTGTCGTGACGCAAGTTTACACTTTGAAATAAGCGGAATAAATGGTGGAGGGTAGGTGGGAATATTTTTACTACTTTTTGACGTAGAACACTGGGTTGGATTAGGAAATTGGGAATGGTAATTTCCGCCCCTTCTCACTAATTTTAGTCATCTTTTTTGGGTTAAAGTTGCGATAGAAAATGCTCAAATTACGACACTGAGATTTTGATGAAACTTGATACAAATTTAGAGAAATTTTTCCTATGAAATATGCGAGCTTTTTAGATCGCGTTATGCAGAAATGACTGAGATTTTTAGGCTAAAAGTTGGTCAAAATTTGACATTTTTTTTCGAATTTTGACATGAAAACTTGCATGTCTATTTCTACTGTAGAGTGTAATATTTTCACAAAAAATTAATTTTTTCCCCGCAAAATTGGCCTAGATATGGCCAAAAAATGTTTTTCTCTCTGATTCTCCGCATTTTGCACACTCTCTCGGCCAGAAAAGATCGTTGAATATCTCGCTGAAATTTCCTAAAATCGTGGTGTTTTTGCTAAAAATGATTGGGCCCGGTTTTGTCCCCACCCCGGTTTTGTCCCCAAGACGGTTTTGTCCCCAGGACGTTTTTGTCCCCAAGCTGGATAGTACGATTAAAAATTATGCATTCAGATGTTAATGCTGTTGGTTTGGCGCCCAGTACTGCTCAAAAAATGTGTTTTTAGGACTTGGTACTGTATAGTACAAGGTGGTACTATATAGCACGAGGTAAAAATTAAGCTATAACGCGTGAATGACGTTGTTTTGGTATGCAGTACTGATCAAACGTGCATTTTGTGCAAAAACAAATTCGTGCTATATAGTACCATGTGCTAAAACACATTTTTGAGAAGTACTGGGCTTCAAACCCATAGCATTGACGTGTTATGGCTTAATTTTTACCTCGTGCTATATAGTACCACCTCGTACTATACAGTACCAAGCACTAAGAACATGTTGTTAGAGCAGTACTGGGCACCAAACCAACAGGATTAACATTTGAATGCATAATTTTTAATCGCACTATCCAGCTTGGGGACAAAAACGTACTGGGGACAAAACCGGTGTGGGGACAAAAACGTCCACTACGGCTGAAAAAATAGTAATATTTTTTTGAAAAGTTTTGATCGACTCTTGGTATTAAAAGCCTCTTCGCCACGGCAAGGCGGTCGATCTTCGAAGAGGAAATTCCTTTTTCGCCCGAAGGCGGGGAAAGGAATAAACCCGCAAAAACACACTGAAACCCGGCGTTCAGTGTAGACTGAGGAGGGAAGACAGACCATAAAGATAGAAAAAATCATGAAAAATAAGAGAAAATAAGACAAGATGAAAAAATAAAAAATAATGAAATAAAAAAAATTAAAAAATTTTTTTTTTGATTTTTTATTTTTTTATATCAATTAAAATAATTAAATAAAAAAGATTTTTTTTGATTTTTTATTTTTTTTGTAAATTAAAAAGAATATTTTTTTGGCTTTTTTACTTTTTTTAAATTAAAAAATAATTAAAAATAATTAAAAAAAAATTTTTTTTGTATTTTATATTTTTTATAATAAAAAATTACTAAAAATCCCATTCAATAATTTTCAAAACCCTCTAAAACCTCGTCCCAATTGTCCTCGGGCGCAGTTTGCGCCTCCGAACTCTGGGGCGCAGGTTGCGGCTCCTCCGCCGATTCAATGCCAGCAATTTGCATGGCATTTTGTAGGAAATCCTCGTTCGACTGCTCCAAAGGTGCCTCCGAAATCGGACTTTTCTCAATTTGCCCCGAGGGCATATTATCTCCACTCGCAAAATTGCCATAGTACTCCTGTGGGATTTGTGGAGTACAGTAGGCCATCTGCGGATAATAATTCGCTGATGGGTTACTGTACTCTGCAAATCCCACCGGATTACTGTAACCATTTTGTGGTGGACAGTAATAATTGCCCGAGGCAAATTGAGCCTGGTTTTGAGCAGGTGCAATATATGGAGCATGGATATTCAAGTTTTGACCTGAATATCCATGGTTCATATATTGCACTTGCTCCAAGCCACCTGCAAAGTCGGGGGAGCCCTCTAAACTCCCGTATCCCTCACTTACCTCCGTCAACTTACGTGGGCGCCCTGGCTTGCGTGGCTTCTCCTCCTTCTGGCTCTTCTTGCATCGCGCCCGGTGGTTGGCGAAGTAGACCTTGATGGTCTTCTCCGGCAGCCCAGTTGAGTCCACCAGCTCCGACATTCGCGAGCCAATGTCTTGACTCTCCGCGAACGCCTCGGCCAGTATCTTCTCCTGGGTCGCCGACCACTTGGTTCGGGCGAACTTCTTCTCCTTCTTCTGGATCCTTCCACTTTGGACCCGTCCAATCCCGCCTAAAATCAAATTTGAGGCCAAACCAGCCTCCGCGACTAAATTTGCCTGAGGCAAAACAATTGGGACTGGTCCTTGATACCCCAAAGAGGCATCTTGGACCATGGAAGGGTCATAAAACGCAGGGACATACGAGTAAACGGGGCATGGAACATTATACATGATGATTTAATGAAAAATCAACGAAAATCAAGAGCAAATTGAAAAATCACCGCACAGTAGGCTGCGAAATCAATGAATAAGCCTATAGGCGCTGAGTTTCGGCGCTTCCGCAATTTTCTGTCCACGTGCCCCGCCCAATTATTGCGCAGAAACAAGCGCTTGCGCAGAAATTTTAGGCCTATTTTCTTGCGCAATCGCACGCTTTGGATTTGAATTTTTTTCTGCCATACGATTTTTGAAATTTGAAACAAGCCCTCAAGTAAAAGTAGGACCTGTTTTTACCATTGTAAAACAACTTGGCAATCAGTTATAGGCATTTCAAAAAATTCATGACATTTCTGAAAAAAGTGTAATATAATGACCAAAAACTTGTCAAATCTCCTTACCTTTCCTAAATTTTCTATTCCCAATTTCTTTATTCTTTATTTTACTATTAAAAAATACCGATTTCAATACATTAAGAATATTTATTTATCGTTAAACTTCAAAAAGACAAACATTAACAATCGAATGATCAAGTACAATATTTTTTCAACTTCTGGACCTGGACCTGTAGCGGCGTCGATGGGAGCGATGTCTGGAAGTAAAATAAATAAAAATAAATCAAATTCGATTAGTATTTTAGCTTTTTTCAAAACAAAAACATCCAAGAAAATCTTATTCTACCCACCTTGGACTTGGTGATCTTCTTCTGTAGCTTGAACTCCGACTTCTCGACCTTCTCCTTCTTCTCTTTGGACTTCTGCTCGAACTTCGCTCTCTTCTCGATCTTGAAGAGCTTCTGGATCTTCTTCGTCTCTCCGGGCTTCTAGACCTTCTTCTTCTTGACCTTGATCTACTCCGTCTTCTCGAACTTCCTTGGCTTCTATCGCTTTCCACACTCTCCCTAGACCCTCTACTTTCTGCTCGATCATCTGCTCTCTTCTCCTTCTCTCCATTTTCCTCCTTCTCCACCAACTTTTTCACCTGTTTCTGTACCAAATTCTGAGATTAATCCGGGCAGCACCTTCTCGGGAGGTGGAATACTTTCCTCCGTCTTTTTTTCGTCGTCGCTTCTCTCCCGATACTCCGTGATCTGCTCTTCCTCTCCGAAAGCCTCTCTGACAGACTCCTTGACGTCTTCTGCCTTATCGACCGGTCGATTTTCCTCATTTTTATTGCGTTTTCTCTTCAACAGATCAGCCATAAATTGCCGGGCCCTCTCTTTCCGCAATTGCTTCACTTTTTCGTCGGCTTCATCTGGAACGGCTTCGAATCCGGGGAATTGCTGAGGCTTGGGAGGTTCCGGAGCTGATGGGACGGTAATTACCGTGCTCTCGAGCTTCTGATTCAGTCCACTTCCGCCCAACTCATTTGAATTTCCCAAAATTTTATATCCCACTGATGTCGATGGCTGATCATAGCGCTGTCCTCCAATTCTCGCGGAATTTGTCAGTCCATTCTGATGGTTATTCTCTGCTTCATTGCCTTCCATCATATAAAAATATTTGCTCTTGGTGAAGTCGGCCGAATAGGGGTTCAATTTGCATTGAAAATACCGTATTTTCGTGTGGTAGAATATGATATTCGGGTTGTCGGGGTAGAGGAAGCTGAGTGGAGTGCGGTTATCTGCAAAAGAATCCAGTCAGATCATCAGAACAGTACAATTTTCCAAAAAATTATATTACACTAGACATCTGATGTCAAAACCTGTCATTTTTCGCGTTGAAGACCAAAATTACTGTCCAATCCAAGTTAAAAATTAATCTTCACTCTCTCAGCTACTTACCCAATAACCGTCTCTCAGCGTATGCTCCATTCGCAGCGACATATCTGGCTGCCAAATTAATCTGCTCCACCACTTCTTTCTCGGGCTGTACTGGGACCAGTGGTGGTCCGGGATAAAAAGGAGTGGGTCGTTGATAAAAGTTCTGATGCCATGTGTTATAATTGTGAATCTCGGTGGGATCGGTCTCATAACATTGAGGCTTCGTCGGAGATTCTTCATATGATACTAGGCCTCCCGATGTCGACGGGGTTGGCTCTACGGGTGGTTCTGGCGGTTCTTGAGGTTGAACGGAGTGTATCGCGTAGAGGGATGAGTATGGGTTCGACTGGAAGCTCAACAACATTACTTTATACCAAAAAATCAAAAATTTTGACCTAAAGTGATATAAACCAATATAAATTAGGCAAAAACTCTTAAATTTCTCCAATACAATCGCCTCAACTCTCTCCAAAATCTCCGCAGACGGGAAAATAATGGCGAGCCCCCACTATTTTCCCGACAGACTGATACAGCAACCAAGTCTCCCTACCATTCTCCTCCGAACACTCGTCATCTTTCGCGGCGGTCTCGGCAAACGTGACGCAAGTTTACACTTTGAAATAAGCGGAATAAATGGTGGAGGGCAGGTGGAAATTTTTTTAAACTTTTTGACGTAGAAAACGAGGTTGGATTAGGAAATTGAGAATGGTAATTTCCGCCCCTTCTCACTAATTTTAGTCATCATTTTTGGGTTAAATCGGCTAAAAGTTATGATGGAAAATGCTCAAAATACGACCCTCAGATTTCGATGAAACTTGGCGCAAATTTAGAAAAATTTTTTCTATGAAATATGCGAGATTTTTAGATCGCGTTATGCAGTAATGACTAAGATTTTTAGGCCGAAAGTTGGTCAAAATTTGACACTTTTTTGTGAATTTTGGCATGGAAATTAGCACGTCTATTTTTACTGTAGAGTGTAATATTCCTACAAAAATTAATTTTTTCCCCGCAAAATTGGCCTAGATATGGCCAAAAAGTGTTTTTCTCTCTGGTTCTCCGCATTTTGCACACTCTCTCGGCCAGAAAAGATCGTTGAATATCTCGCTGAAATTTCCTAAAATTGAGGTGTTTTTGCTAAAAATATTATTATTTTTTTGAAAAGTTTTGATCGACTCTTGGTATTAAAAGCCTCTTCGCCACGGCAAGGCGGTCGATCTTCGAAGAGGAAATTCCTTTTTCGCCCGAAGGCGGGGAAAGGAGCAAACCCGCAAAAACACACTGAAACCCGGCGTTCAGTGTAGACTGAAGAGGGAAGACAGACGATAAATGTAGAAAAAAATTGTGAACAATAAGAGAAAATAAGACAAAATGGAAAAATAAAAAAATAAGTAAATTTAAAAAATTAAAAAATTTTTTTTTATATTTTTTATTTTTTTATATCAATTAAAATAATTAAATTAAAAAAGTATTTTTTTTTAGATTTTTTATTTTTTTTGTAGATTAAAAACAATATTTTTGGATTTTTTTTTATTTTTTTTTGTAAATTAACAAATAATTAAAAATAATTTAAAAAATTAACTATTTTTTTTTGTATTTTATTTTATAATAAAAAATTACTAAAAATCCCATTCAATAATTTTCAAACCCTTCTAAAACCTCGTCCCAATTGTCCTCGGGCGCAGTTTGCGCCTCCGAACTCTGGGGCGCAGGTTGCGTCTCCTCCGCCGATTCAATGCCAGCAATTTGCATGGCATTTTGCAGGAAGTCCTTGTTCGACTGCTCCAATGGAGCCTCCGAACTCGGACTTTGCTCAATTTGCCCCGAGGGCATATTATCTCCAGTCACAAAATTGTTGCAGTACTCCTGCGGGATTTGTGGAGTACAGTAGGCCATCTGCGGATAATAATTCGCTGATGGGTCACTGTACTCCGCAAATTCCACCGGATTACTGTAACCATTTTGTGGTTGGCAGTAATAATTGCCCGAGGCGAATTGAGCCTGGTTTTGAACAGGTGTATTATATTGACCATGGATATTCAAGTTTTGACTTGAATATCCATGGTTCATATATTGCACTTGCTCCAAGCCACCTGCAAAGTCGGGGGAGCCCTCTAAACTCCCGTATCCCTCACTTACCTCCGTCAACTTACGTGGGCGCCCTGGCTTGCGTGGCTTCTCCTCCTTCTGGCTCTTCTTACATCGCGCCCGGTGGTTGGCGAAGTAGACCTTGATGGTCTTCTCCGGCAGCCCAGTTGAGTCCACCAGCTCCGACATTCGCGAGCCAATGTCTTGACTCTCCGCGAACGCCTCGGCCAGCGTCTTCTCCTGGGCCGCCGACCACTTGGTTCGGGCGAACTTCTTCTCCTTCTTCTGGATCCTGCCACTTTGGACCCGTCCAATCCCGCCTAAAATCAAATTTGAGGCCAAACCAGCCTCCGCGACCAAATTTGCCTGAGGCAAAACAATCGGAACTGGTCCTCGATACCCCGAAGAGGAATCTAGGACCATGGAAGGGTCATAAAAGGCAGGGACATAAGCATAAACGGGGCATGGGACATTATACATGATGATTTAATGAAGAATCAAGAAAATCAAGAGCAAATTTGAAAAATCACCTCACAGTAGGCTGCGAAATCAATGAATAAGCCTATAGGCGCTGACTTTCGGCGCTTCCGGAATTTTCTGTCCACGTGCCCCGCCCAATTATTGCGCAGAAACAGGCGTTGCGCAGAAATTTTAGGCCTATTCTCATGCGCAATCGCACGCTTTGGATTTGAAATTTTTTTCTGCCATACCATTTTTGGAATTTCAAACAGGCCCTCAAGTAAAAGTAGGACCTGTTTTTACCATTGTAAAACAACTTGGCAATCAGTTATGGCCATTTCAAAAAATTCATGACATTTCTGAACCAAGTGTAATATAATCACCAAAAACTTGTCAAATTTCCTTACCTTTTCTAAACTTTCTATTCCCAGTTTCTTTATTCTTTATTTTGCTATTAAAAAACACCAATTTGAATACATTTTAATGTATTTCTTAAAAGAATATTTATTTATCGTTAAACTTCAAAAAAACAAACATTAACAATCGAATGATCAAGTATAATATTTTTCAACTTCTGGACCTGGACCTGTAGCGGCGTCGATGGGAGCGATGTCTGGAAGTAAAATAAATAAAAATAAATCAAATTCAATTCGTATTTTACCTTTCTCAAAGCAAAAAAATCCAAAAAAATCTTATTCTACCCACCTTGGACTTGGTGATCTTCTTCTGTAGCTTGAACTCCGACTTCTCGACCTTCTCCTTCGTCTTTTCGGACTTCTGCTTGAACTTCGCTCCCTTCTCGATCTTGAAGAGCTTCTGGATCTTCTTCGTCTCTCCGGGCTTCTAGACCTTCTTCTTCTTGACCTTGATCTACTCCTTCTTCTCGAACTTCCTCGGCTTCTATCACTTTCCACACTGTCCCTAGACCCTCTACTTTCAGCTCGATCATCTGCTCTCTTCTCCTTCTCTCCATTTTCCTCCTTCTCCACCAGCTTGTTCACCTGTTTCTGCACCAAATTCAAGATTAATCCGGGCAGCACCTTCTCGGGAGGTGGAATACTTTCCTCCGTCTTTTTTTCGTCGTCGCTTCTCTCCCGATACTCCGTGATCTGCTCCTCCTCTCCGAAAGCCTCTCTCACAGATTCCTTGACGTCTTCTGGCTTCTCGACCGGTCGATTTTCCTCATTTTTATTGCGTTTTCTCTTCAACAGATCAGCCATAAATTGCCGGGCCCTCTCTTTCCGCAATTGCTTCACTTTTTCATCGGCTTCATCAGGAACGGCTTCGAATCCGGGGAATTGCTGAGGCTTGGGAGGTTCCGGAGCAGAAGGCACAGTTATTACCGTGCTCTCAAGCTTCTGATTCAGTCCACTTCCGCCCAAATCATTTGAATTTCCCAAAATTTTATATCCCACTGATGTCGATGGCTGATCATAGTGCTGTCCTCCAATTCTCGCTGAATTTGTCAGTCCATTCTGATGGTTATTCTCTGCTTCATTGCCTTCCATCATATAAAAATATTTGCTCTTGGTGAAGGCGGCCGAATAGGGGTTCAATTTGCACTGAAAATACCGTATTTTCGTGTGGTAGAATATGATATTCGGGTTGTCGGGGTAGAGGAAGCTGAGTGGAGTGCGGTTATCTGCAAAAGAATCCCGTTAGACCATCAAAACAGTACAATTTTCCAAAAAATTATATTACACTAGACATCTGATGTCAAAACCTGTCATTTTTCGGGTTGAAAATCAAAATTACTGTCCAATCCAAGTTAAAAATTAATCTTCACACTCTTTATTACTTACCCAATAACCTCCTCTCAGCGTATGCTCCATTCACAGCGACATATCTGGCTGCCAAATTAATCTGCTCCACCACTTCTTTCTCGGGCTGTATTGGGACCAACGGTGGTCCAGGATAAAAAGGGGTAGGTCGCTGATAAAAGTTCTGATGCCATGTGTTATAATTGTGAATCTCGGTGGGATCGGTCTCATAACATTGAGGCTTCGTCGGAGATTCTTCATATGATACTAGGCCTTCCGATGTCGACGGGGTTGGTTCTACGGGTGGTTCCGGGGGTTCTTGAGGTTGAATGGAGTGTATCGCGTAGAGGGATGAGTATGGGTTCGACTGGAAGCTCAACAACATTACTTTATACCAAGAAATCAAAAATTTTGAGCTAAAGTAATATAAACTAATATAAAATAGTCAAAAACTCTTAAATTTCTCCTATACAATCGCCTCAACTCCCTTCAAAATCCCCACAGACGCTTACTTTTGCCATTTCACTCATGCTTTTCGGCAACGGCGGTAGTTTTATCGGTTCTGTGGGTTCTTTTTTGAGAGGTGCTCCAGAAAGTAGAGGGTGAAGATAATCGCCGTCGCTGTCCGAGTCGGACACCTCCTCGTCCTTCACAAAGTTCTCCGGCTTCTGTGGGACGAAGGCTTCGCCTGGTTTTGGGTGTCGTTTCGGCGGCGCCGGGAGGTATTTCTTTTCCCGGATCAATTTGCACATAAACTTGTAGAAGGAGAAGAGGCGGTTGTCAAAGTTCAGAAAGTCAAAGTTCTGGGTTCGGTCGCGCGCGTGCTTCGCCTTGATGATGACCTCCATTTGTGGGCCGTTTAGAACGACGAATTTGGCGGTTCTCTCGATCAAATGGCCGTGGCGCTGGGTCTCGGGCTAAAAGAAGGTCAGAATTGCCTAGAGTAATATAGGGGAAACTGAAAAGTATTATTTTACTTCTATGTAAGTGTCGAAATCAGGACAATCGATGGTGCTGATTTCGGAAATGACATTCATTTTTTGATCGTTACTATCTTCCTTAAATAGTACTGTAAAGTCAGTAATTTTTTTGAATTTTTTTACAAAAAAGGTCAGAATTGCCTAGAGTAATATAAAAATTGTCCGTGGACCACTTCACTTTGAGCCCTCAAGAAAAAGAGAGAAAGAAATAACCGGAATTTTTAATATCCAGCCAGTAAAAAGGTTACTTTTATATTACAGTAAGTCAAATTGGACGATTGGGAAAAAGACAATTGGGGAAACTGAAAACTATTATTTTTCTTCGATGAAAGTGTCGAAATTAGGATAATCGATGGTGCTGATTTCAAAAATGACACTGATTTTCATTTTTTTGATCGTTACTATTTTGCTAAAGCAGTACTGTAAAGTTAGTATTTTTTTTGATTTTTTTTTCACAAATACTCGATTTAGGGATTTTCGATAGTGCTGATTCCGAAAAACTTGTTCGTTTTTTGAAATCAGCACTATCGAAAACCGCTAAACCAAATATTTGTGAAAAAATTCAAAAAATTACTACTTTACAGTACTACCTAAAAAGGCAAATAGTAACAATCAAAAAAAATTGAATGTCATTTTCGAAATCATCACCATCGATTATCCAAATTTCGACACTTGCATCGAAGAAAAATAATAGTTTTCAGTTTCCCCAATTGTCTTTTTTCCCAATCGTCCAATTTGACTTGCTATAATGTAAAAGTAACCTTTTTACTGGCTGGATATTAAAAATTCCGATTATTTTCTCTCTTTTTCTTCATGGCTCAAGGTGAAATAGTCTACGGGCAATTTTTATATTACTCTAGACATTTCTGACCTTTTTTTTGTGAAAAAATCTAAAAAATTACTAACTTTACAGTACTACTTCGGCAAAATAGTAACGATCAAAAAAATGAATGTCATTTTTGAAATCATCACCATCGATTATCCTAATTTCGACTCCTACATCAAAGAAAAATAATACTTTCCAGTTTTCCCAATCGGTCAGAACAAGCTGCCGATAGATGGGTTCAAGCTATAGATTCAAATGGCCTTTCCACTTTGAAACTTACAGGGGAAGTGCTCCAAGTTCGACGCTCAGATTTTCTTTAAATTTTGCACACACGTCGGGCATGAACTAAATATCAATTCCTGAAAGTTTTAGCTCGCGCTTTGCAAACGCCACCGAGATATTGAACGACTTTTGCCGCCAAGAGAGCACGCTAAACGAGAGCGGTCAGAGAAAAAAAAGTTTTTTGGCCATAACTTTGGCAGTTTCGTGCGGAAAAATTTGATTTTTTGGAGAAACATTATCCTTTACGGTAGAAATAGGCATGAAACTTTTCGTGCCGAAATTCCGCAAAAAGTCCAAAATTTAGGTCGACCTTCGATCTAAAAATCTCGGTTGTTTCTGCAAAGCGCGAGCTAGGATTCTCGCATATATCTTAGAGAAAATTATTCTAAATTTGTGCCAAGTTTTATGAAAATCTGAGCGTCGCACTTGGAGTACTTCCCCTGTTAACTGGTTTACATTTTTTGCAAAATTATTTAAAAAAAAAAAAAAAAAAAAAAAAAAATCGGAAAAAATTTTTGGTTCACCCTAATAATACAAAAATCATCGCCAATTCGCAAAAAATCCCACCAATTCCAGTCCTGTTGGGAGTTTTATCCCTTGTGGTGGTTGATAAGCCTCATTGGCCTCTTCTTCATCGCTTTCTTCCAGTTCGTCATCACTTTTAATCTTCTCCTCATCATAATTGAACGCGATTTCGGCGCGTTTCCGTTTTTCCTCGCGTTCCTCTCGTTCGTCCTGCTTGATTCTTGCTTCCAGGTCTTTGTAGCGCTCTTGTTCGCACATTTCCTCTTCGAGTTCGTCGTGATTGTCAGTCTCCTCCGACTTGCCCGGCTTTCCAATCGTCTTTTCGCTGAGATCCAAGAGATATAGGCGGCAGTCGAACCTGAAATCCATACAAAATAGGGTCCTTTTCTCTAAAATTTTTTGAAAAAATCAAAATTATCAGCAAATATTCAATTTTAATCCGTTTCGCGAGTGTTTTTCCCAATTTTCGGACTTACGATCAACCAATGAAGATGAATTTTTGGATACTCTGGGAATCTTCGGGCATCTAAAATACTAATATAAGTATTTGACCTCAATAAATCATATTCTACAATGAAAAAAATACAAAAAACTCCAAAAAAATTGGAAAATCCATCGAGATTTGGTCTAAAGAAGGCACCGTGAACTGTAAAGTTATATAAAATACGTGGTAAAAGCGGTTTCCCGCCTTAACAAGTGCATTAAAAATGGTTTTGCTTCAAAATAATCAAAAACTCACCCGAATTTCCGACCTTTGACCAAGTTGAAGATGAGAAGTCGGCTGAAAACGCGAAAATCCCCCGTTAGCAACATTTATCGTAAAAAATAAATTCTCTCTCGACTATTCCAAGCTCTTTACAGGACAGCAAAGACTTAACAAGGGTTCGTACCGATCAATTAGAAGGGATTCGTCGTCATTCCAGGGGATCAGAAGATCTTGATCGGAACGGGTGTTCGCGGGGTCTTGCGGGAACAAACGCGACTCGTAGCCAATAACAAGAAAGTCCTCGTTCTCCTATAACATCGTTTGTTCATGTTGTCCACTAAACTTCAAAGAAAAAACAAAAAAAAAATAAACTTACATCATCAGATGGCATGATGAAGATAAAATTGCTCTGCACTCTTATGCTGACGTCTTTCAAATATGGCCACTAATCCGAAAACATTCTAAATACATTCTTATTTCTAAATTCACTCATTTTAAGATATTATCCATGGCCAATTACCGAGAAAATACAAATATTCAAGTCGAACCTCATCAACTTTACTTCAATGTAATTACAATGTTCAGATCATGTTTCAACAAGTGTAAATAATAAATAAACAACGGATTAGTCACCACCAACAAATTTGGCGAGTAGGGCTTGCTTCTTTCGCTCCACAATCATCTCCTCGATATCTTTTTGAGAGGGTACCATCACATGTTTGATGATCATTTCACGGCCGTCGTCGCCCAAAACCACGGATTCTTTGACATCGATCGGCTCCATTTCATCATCAGAGTCCTGAAAAAGAAAGAATTTTTCGAGTTCGACGCTGATTTCGTAAAGATCCATCGAAAATTATATTATTTTAGATAATAAAATCAAAGTTTTAGCCAAAAATCATGAAAATAAAAGGTTATTCTGGCCGAAGCAAGTTTCAAATAGTCAAAAAAGATCTCTTCTTTCTTCACAATCACCTACTTCCTCCACTTGATAGATATTATCATCCAGATCTTTCGATTTATTCATCTCCGGACCCCTTCGTTCCCATTCCTCTTCCAATCTCTGTATTGACTTCTCTTCCTCCGGCTTCTCCAACGGAATCAGCCATCCGTCGTCTTCGTCCATGTACCCATAATAATGCGCATCCACATTCTTTATCAACTGCTTTCGCGTCGCCCTCTTCTTTACCTCATCTTCATCAATTTCTTTTTGGAAAAGCTCTCTGACACCAGGCAAATCCTTCGCCGCGCCGAAATATTTGTATCCTCTGTTGCTCTGGACTTCTCTCCCGTCTTTATCCAATTCGCGCGGTGCAAATTTCCTAAAATTGAAAATAAAAATAACTAAATGATGGCTTACCTATAATCTGGTCCGCCAAGCTCTGATATTCGCCGCTCCCACGCGTTTTTTATCTTTATCATCTTGTTGATGTCATCGTTGAGGTCGCGGATTTTGAATTCGCCCAAACCGGGATTCTGGAAAGACAATATAAAAAAATTTTGGTTAAGGTGCAATGGATAACATAAATCAGCCTTTCTCGTCCACAAATCCAACCAAGAGAAGGAAAAGGTAAGCACGAATAGCTTAATGACGTCTCGACACAGCTATTCATCTAAAAATCGAACAAAAAAAGTCAAAGTATTACCTGAATATTGGCGATTTTCCGTGCTATATCAGCCAGAACTTCTCGACGATATCTTTCGGCATCTTCGAGTTTATCACAGAGTCTGACATCGTTGGGCCGCTTCTCCATGGGTCCTTTTTCTTCTTCTTCCTTCATCCGACGCCATCTGGCCAAGGCCGTCATAGCTTTCTCTGAATTACGGGCCTAAACCAAGATAAGTCTGACTAAAACAACAAACTTACCATTTTTGCTGATGTCTTCGAGTTTTCCTGTCAAACAAACGACTCAAATCTATCGAAAAACACTGGAAATAACGTGTTCTACCAAAAAATCCGAGAAAATGGCGGAAAAATATATTTTCTTGGCATTCTGTTGCAAGCGAATTGTTTTCGTTGTGGGGCGCAGAAATATGAGTAAAACAATTACAAAACAACTAATGAGGCCTGTTAAAGTCCTTGGAAATCAAAAACAAGTTATTTTTAGGTGACAGACATCTTTTTAAAGCCAATTAGAAACGAAATTTTGCAAAATTTTATGGTTTTAATTGGAGCTGTCATGTACAATATAATTTTTCTCTAAAAAACGCTCATTTTAGAGTCCAAAATTTTCACGAAGCTTGTAAACAGGTGTTGATGCTATTTTTGGCTTTGGAATCGACCTCAAAATGGCTGAAATTTCAGGAGTTTACCGTAATTCGACCTTTTTCGGTCCCTTGAAGCCAATGACTGAACTTTTCCCCACCGCCCTTATAATTAATTCCGTTTTCGATTCTTTTACAAACCTCTTTTCATGTTCTTCCGCCGGGCGGATAAAAAAACAGGAAGAAGAGGCCGTAAATGAAGCCAGGTTCGTCCGAAGTAACCCTCCTGTTTGGTGGTGTCAGGAGAATTTTCCATAGATACAGTGAGTACGTTCCGAAAAACCTCGCCTTTTCCAAGTTTATTCGAATTTTTGAGTGGTCATTTTTGTCAGGAACACTTGTGGACAGGTGCTTTGGAGCGGGTTGTTGTTGATGAGAGAGGTTACTATGGTTATCTGCGATGATATACGAAAAGTGCAGATTTATGCATGTGTAGGAAGCAGAAAAGAGGGTTTTGAGAGGGCTGCAGGCAGAAATTCTGTTATTTTTTTCATAAAGTGCATAGACTTTTTCCGCACTGTGCAATTTCTTGCTTTTGCACCGTGCAAATGGCTTTTTTGGGCTGTCGCAGGCACGCTGACTTTTCTGCACAGTGCAAACGCCAACCACAATTTCGGGCGACATGCACTGTGCGAAAACGAAAGCCCACTTGCACTGTGCGATTTCTTGCTTTTTGCACCGTGCGCCGCACCGTGCAAGAAAAAACTCGTCTGCACAGTGCATTTGATTTTCCAATCAAAGTCGCTCCGACACAAGCTTTTTTCCATTGCGCCGCCGCGAAGTTTGAGACAATTGCACCGTGCAAAAATGTTTTGAAAAGGATCGTGTCGCGCGAAGAAAGCAAAATGCACAGTGCAAATGTCCATGAAATTTGGAGCAATTTCGGCGACATGCACTGTGCAAAAACAAAAGTTTTCTTTGCACTGTGCAACTTCTTGCTTTTTGCACCGTGCAAATGGCTTTTTTGGGCTGTTGCTTGCACCTTGACTTTTCTGCACAGTGCATGCGTCAAAAATCCTTTCAGCGACATGCACTGTGCAAAAACAAGAGTTCACTTTCACCGTTCAAATGGCTGTTTTGGACTGTCGCTCGCGCCTTGAGTTTTTCTTGCACAGTGCAAACGTCAAAAAACCATTTCCGCGACATGCACTGTGCGAGAACAAAAGTTCCCTTTGCACTGTGCAATTTCTTGCTTTTTGCACCGTGCAATAAGCTCATTTGGGATGTCCCTCGCACCCTGAATTTTTTCTGCACAGTGCAGACGCCAAAAATCCTTTCGGCGACACGCACTGTGCAAAAACAAAAGTTTTCTTTGCACTGTGCAATTTCTTGCTTTTTTGCACTGTCGTTTGCATCCTGACTTTCTTTGCACAGTGCAAAAGCCAAAAATCATCCCAGCGACATGCACTGTGCAGTTTCGTGCTTTTTGCACCGTGCAAATGGGTTTTTGGGCTGTCCCTTGCACCCTGCATTTTTTCTGCACAGTGCAAACGCGAAAAATCAGCCCACATGCACTGTGCAAAAACGAAAGTTCAATTTGCACCGTACAAATTGATTTTTTGGCCTGTTGCTCGCCCCCTGACTTTTTTGCACTGTGCATACGCTAAAAATGAGATTCCAGCGATTTTCTGGACGATACTGGGGTGAAAAATTGTACTAATTTGAGGTTTTTTTATAATTTTACAATTGAAGCGTCTCAAGTGTTTGCGATTTTCGTCCTTGTTTGAAACCTCTTCTCTTTTCGTGATAATGCTCCAATCAAAATAATTTTTTTTCCGGTTTTGATCTAATCGTAACAAAAACAAGTTGACAAAACGACCATAAAATATAATTTTTGATGAATTAGGATACAGAAATCGGAAGGTCACTGCGAATTCCGTGCGCTTTCAAAGTTGCTTCAGATTGATTTTTAGGCTTTTTGGGGGAGTTTTAGCAATAGCAGAGCATCTTTATTAAGGGGAAGGGTGTATTTTGCGAAGCTCAGAATTTCTTTAAATTTTGGACACATTTTTGGTATAGACCGTATATCAATTCTAGGCAGCTTTGGCTTGCAATTTGAAAGGGCAGCCAAGATATTCAACGATTTTCGGTACCAAGAAAGCATGCGAAAAGCGGAGAAGAGGTCAGACAAAAACTCTTTTTGGCCATATCTTTGCCAGCTTTGCGGGGAAAAAATTGATTTTTTGTGGAAATATTATACTCTACGGTAGAAATAAATATGAAACTTTTCATGCCAAAATTCGCAAAAAAATTAAAAAATTTTTAACAAATTTCGACCTAAAAATTTCGGTCGTTTCTGCAAAAGGCAAGCTAAAAGTCTCCCATGTGTCCTAGAAAAAATTATTCTAAATTTGGGCCAAGTTTCATCGAAATCTGAGCGCCGCACTTCGAGAATTCCGCTATCAGCCTAAGGCAAAATTAAAAAAAAAGATTTTTTTTTGAAATTGTTTCTATTATAAAACTCAAAAAAAAGGTTCAAATTTTTGTCATTTTGGTCCAAAAAGTTCTCTGATCGCTCAACAAGGTCAAAATTTACCTCATTTTGCGTCAGCTTTCACCTAAATCCAATCTAAACAAAGTAATGTGCCCCCAAGACAAACAGTTCCCCGACGTGGCTAAGCTGTTGAAGAATTCATAATTTCGGATCGAATTCCACTCTAAACTGATCGCAAGGGTAAATAAAAAATAATGGAAGAGGTTTCGAATATCGGGCGCGGGTTGCAGTGATTGAAGAGGTGATGGGAGGTCATTTCTGGACGACTATGCGTGCTTGATGGAGTAATTTTGATGCATTTTGCACTACACTTTCTTTTTCAAAAACGCGTAGATTTTTTGTCCCTGCGCACAGTGCATTTTCCCAATTTTTCGCACGGTGCGGGCTTTTCGAAAACTTTGCACAGTGCAATACCCTTTTCCAGTTACTTTGCACAGTGCATTTTGTCTCTTTTTTGCACCGTGCAAACATTTTTTTCAAGTAATTTAGCACCGTGCAAACAATTTTCAAATCATTTTGCACAGTGCATTTTGTCTTTTTTTGCACAGTGCAGACCGCTTTCAAGTCGTTTTGCACGGTGCATTTTGCCCAATTTTTCGCACGGTGCGGGTTTTTCGAAACTTTTGCACAGTGCATTTTGCCTTTTTTGCACCGTGCAGACCGTTTTTAAGTCGCTTTGCACGGTGCATTTTGTCCAATTTTTCGCACGGTGCGGTCTTTTCGAAACTTTTTCAAGTCGCTTTGCATGCTGCATTTTGTATTTTTTTGCACCGTGCAAAACCTTTCCAGTCAATTTGCACAGTGCATTTCCCATTTTTTTGCACCGTGCAGGCCGTTTTCAAGTCGCTTTGCACTGTGCATTTTGCCTAATCTTTCGCACGGTGCGGTCTTTTTGCACCGTACAAGCCCAACAGTGCAAATTTTCAAATGCACCCTGGAAGATGGGGGTTTTGCTGATTTTTGCAAATTGCTAGTATCAGTTTGTCGGTAAAATAATGAGCATTCTGTCGCATCGAAAATCGCATCGTCGTCGAGAAAAGGAATTGTATCGCGGCAAAATTGAATTGCCTTTCACCTGACGCAATCGGCTCGACGACATTGTGCTCATTATTTTCCCGACAGACTGATATCATTTCCTTAAAAAAAACGTCGGCCCAAAAATCGCTTGGATTACAACCATCCTGTAGATGGTTGTAATGACATCTCATGGGAATATTCTGAAATTACATCTGATACCCGGCAAGCTTACAGCTCAACCCGTCTCAAAAGTTGGGCTCATTTTTATCATTTATCGGTGCATGCGCCCGTGAAATCTGATTATCTCCCTGATAGTTCACTAACCGCTCTAATAGTAAGCAGATTATTCTTGGGTGGCTACATCAGTTCTCCGAAAATGACATGGCTGTTTTTATTTGTTTTTGCTACGTTTTTTCAAAAGTTCGTAGACTTTTTGTCTCCGGCGCACTGTGCATTTTGCTTATTTTTTCGCACCGTGCAAACCTTTTTCGAATAATTTCACACTGTGCATTTTGCCTTTTTTGCACCGTGCAAACATTTTTCTAATCATTTTGCACGGTGCGTTTTGTCGCATTTCTTTCGCACGGTGCGGTTTTTGTAAACACTTTGCACAGTGCATTTTCATCTCTTTTTGCACCGTGCAAACCCTTTTCGAATCATTTTGCACTGTGCATTTTTTCCAGTTTGCACCGTGCAGACTGTTTTCAAGTCGCTTTGCACGGTGCGTTTTGTCGCATTTGCTTCGCACAGTGCGGACTTTTGCAAACATTTTGCACTGCGCATTTCGCTTAATTTTTCGCACCGTGCAAACATTTTTCTAATCATTTCGCACTGTGTATTTTGCCCTTTTTGCACCGTGCAGACTGTTTTCAAGTGGTTTTGCACGCAAAAACGTACTCTCTCGCCCCAAAAATTCCCCATTTCTTCCCCGACAAAAGTTTTTTCGCGTCTTTTTTTGGGAAATTTCCAATCCATTGACCGGACTGTTTTAGCTTATCTATCTCAGTTTGGCGTGCACCGTGCAGACTGTTTTCAAGTCGCTTTGCACGGTGCGCTTTGTCGCATTTCTTTTGCACGGTGCGGTTTTTTGTAAA